TCTTTCCGGACGCCAGACTGGGCTGTTTGTTATTTCTCCAAATACACCGTGAAACAGTGGACAAGGTGCGCTAATCTCCCCATGACCATTGATTTCACTCTGTGTGTCTCTTTCCTGTTATGCTCTCGCCATGATCGCTATGTGCGCGAGAATTTATGGGCATTGTGATGCAGTCCAGTCGCTGACACCTCCTCAGCGGACACCATTGCTTTGATCCGCTGACTGTTCTTTCAATTATCACTTCCATGATATGATAGAACACATTAATAAGCCTGAATTACACGCGAAAACCGCCAAAGAAGACAAAGATTTAGGATAGAAAGCATTAAATGCAACAATTGGAGGACTTTCCTGACCACACGCCGTAGACTCTTATATTATCCCAGAAGAAAGTGCTGAAAAAACAGGCTGTAACGCAGCTAAAGTAGGAAAGAGTTTCCACTTAATGCAACTGTTATGCATTATTTGGCATAAGTCATGTCAAAATATCTGCATAAGCCCCGACACGATTGAACCCTTGCGAGCAATCTTCCTTGAAGTCTTAGCGCGGTGAATAATGCGATTAGTCCGTTGTGGTGTGTCGTTAAAGGTGAAAAATTTAACGGCAAGTAAGATAGAGGGAATTTTAATTAAAGATCAATTCCTGTCGCGCCACAAATCTGACGCGGTTCAGCAAACCAATAAACCTGATGATAAGTCGATACGCGGTGTGTCTGTGCAAATTAATTGCAGTCGCTGTATGATTTCTAATGAAATTTATAGATGATAACGCCGCACGGCAAGGGCAAAACTGGATCTGTTGCCGCCGAGAAGAGATCACTTTCTTGCGCCCCGTCACGATCGATCACCGCCTTTTTGTGCGCTTTTTGGCATCTTGTCGAAAATTGCGCCTTATTGAATAATTATGCAAATGACACCATCGGAGATTAATCAGTTGTTTATATTTTCATTGCACTGGCTTCATTTTTTTGTGTCCAGCACACTCTTTCGAATGCCACGAGAGGCCCAGAAAGACTCTTCGCGCCGCTGCGCCAGCGTCAAAAAATTGAGGTGATGAAAAATGATAAAATATTTATGTGTTAAATTATTTAACCATGCGAGCTTTATGTAAATCAACGACGCCAGCGTCTATGTTGTAAACTGCTCGTAAATTTCCCACTGCCGATGCTATTCATCTTTTGACATAGATATCGCGCGACGACTTCAAACCGTCGATGAATTTTATGGATGATTTCGAATACAAAGTGATTCATTATCGTGGCGATTAAAATGTTATAATAATTATTTTAATTTCTAATTTTTGCATCTCACATTTCTATCATCGCCGCCCAGTCGCCAAACTTCACGTGCGCTGATCAAATTGCGTGCGCGCGCCTTCGAATGGCGTTTGCAAATTCCGTGCACTTTTTGACTTACAATTTTCACATCTTGCACAGCAGTGAATAGGCGAAGATCATGGAATATATTTCACATCTGAAAAATCTCTTGGCAAGTGAATTGACGAGAAGGTCAAGGGACACTTGATGCAATATACCGCTTAATTAAATGTCAATAAGAGTGAAATTGTGGGTTTTTCTCTTCGAAAGAATTCTCACTGCTAATTTAAATTCCTCCACAAATAAAACATCAGACGAAGATCAATATTTTGACAATTCGAAATCGACTCTGAAATAAATTGTGCAATATTTTTATCTCCATATTAATTCATTGACCGAGAGAGAGAAATGTTATTCCTCTACAAAGTCCCCACTTTGTCGGCAATTCACACCCGCACGGAATGGCATCTCTGGCGGATTTTCTTCTCCAGTCCATTCTTTAAATTTCTTAAATCATTATTTATTTGTATATGCCGCGACAATGGCCCATTGGCAGAGGAGATTACAGATACTTAAGTCGGTATAATCTTGTACAAATTACCATTTTTAAATTTTTGTGGCTTTCCTGGCACAAAACGCCATCCATTCGCATTTATTGGCTGGCGCGAGATAATTGTTGGGAAATGACAAATATCACATTCTTGGCGACTGTTATTCAACATGCGTGATTATTTAAGCCCATAGAGACATTAGCGCCTACATTTTGTCCCCTTGTGTCATGTCTTTTTTCTTTCTTTCTTTTCTTTCACCATCTACTGAAACAGAAGTATCGGATTACCCATCATTAAATTAAACTGCGATAAATATTGTGGCGCGATAGAGATGAAAATTCCGTATATAATTTTCCTTCACAGTCCAAAATGGATTTATCTGTTTACCCATTGATTTAATGACACCCTCGAGATGTTATGGCAAAAGGAAAACATGCATAAATATTGATGTGAAATTGCAATATAAAAAGCGTTTTATAATCGTCACACTATTGACTAATTGATCGCGTGCCTTTCCTCGGTGATCTTTTTTTCTCTTCCTCTCTTATTTTCTTTCTTCTCTTCAATACATAAAACTCCCCAAAGACACCATTGCATGTGTACTTCCATACTCCAATCACAGAACATAATCACAACTCGTCTGTAAACAGGCAAAAACCATTTTTTTTTATATATTATTTACAGCTCTTTCTTTCGATTGGTGTAAAAGAAGCACAAGTGGCGAGAAATTGTTTCCGTTTAATATGGATTTGTTTGCAATTAAGCCAGAAGTTGGCAGTTTCTTTCACCGGCGCAACAAGAAACTGCGTTATGGGAAATCGCTCTCATTTTCCTTTTTGGGAAATTCGCATGTGTGTTCCGTGGAGCAGAAATAGCCAAAATAATGTTCCAACTAATCAAGTGCACGCAATGTGACATTTGCCAATCTGACCCATATCTTTCCCAATCTTTCTTGAATAATATCCCGATTATCAATTATGCAACGCAAACCATCATCGCGTGTCATGCGATGTTCCTTTTTCGTGTGATGAGAAAGAGAGAGAGAAAGAGTGAAATTTATGGGTCGTTTTGGTGTGTGATAAAAGTAAAGAAAGACCATCTCATTTGCCTAAATTGGCGCTCATATTTTGCCAGAAGCTGTGCTGAAGCTCTGCGAATGTCCAAGAGGCTGATCAGTGCCAGGGCTAGGGTAGATTTGCACCCAGGCATTTTCGCATAAAATCTGAAAGTTGAAACCTTGCTTGAAGAGCAATTTAGGTGTAATGCTGCCCCATCTCATCCTATACATGGAATCCTCAGAGCATTTCGCTCAGTCGCGCTTTCCACATGCCCATAAGCTGAGAATATGAGTCTCTGTGCGCTGTTCTGTAATTGATAATTAAAATGTTCAACCAGTTTCAATGGTGAACATATCATTGGTATTTTGCACGAAATTCCGCAGAATAAAATTTATGAATGACGCCAAAAAGGCGATCCACGCGCTTTCTTCATTTCCCTTTTTGCATTTTATCCGATTTGTCTGAGCGCACTTCTGCGTGAGCTTTAAATCTTCAACATAATTTTCCCTCTCTTTCTCTCTCTGTTTTATATTAAAGCATGTATACAGAAATGCCAAAACTCGACAGACACACAAATATTTACATTGTGCGATAAATTATTAAGGTTTTCAAACTGATTTAAGGGCGTTCCAGTTAAGTGAGAAAAACTTTCTACATCGCACTTTAACTTGGCATAAAATGACTATTAATTGAGTGAATTGCATGATTTCGGTGAAGTGACAAAATGCCGACCGATTCAGCGGTGCATTGTTGTGATCATCAATAGCCTCAATCAGAGATCTTTTTTCTCACGCACGTCACGATGGGCAAAACAAAGAATTCACCTAGCTTTACTTTCTACATATCATTGTGCTGACTAGTCGTCGTATGATTTTCTTCTTCACTTGCTGATAATCATCGCGTACTTCTTCATTGCTTCTCACACCAAACAACACCTCTTCGTGAAGGAGATGTAATAGCAAAGAGATCATTAAAAGCACTTCGTCTCACTCTCACTCCAGACAAGAGCGCGATCTGTGAAAATGTGCAGAGAGCATTTCTCAATCGTGAAATTCTCATTGTTGACACACAACATTGTCATATTTTTCATCTAATAAATGCGCGTTGAATAACAATTGGATTTCCGATAGCGCCTCAGAGTTCTTCTCACAAAAATTTCCCGCCGAATACCGGATAGTGAGTAAGACAGAGAAAACACAAAACTCAATGGCATTTCGCAAGATGCACAAGTTGCAACTCATTCCTATACTTATTCCCCCATCCTCATGGTTATTTTTTCTTTCAATTACAATCCACAAAGTGAAATATCGCGAGTCCAAGAAGCCAAGAATCTTCTATGATGGATCAATGTTGAAAAATTCAATAACTTCTTAACTAAAAGATTCGCGATCATTTAATTAAAATTGGTATTAATTCCTAGCGACAGAATTCCATTGTTTACTCTTCATGATCACGTCGCTCTGCATCAATTTTACCCAGAGATTTTCCTCACACAATTTCCAACGTCATTCCACTCTATTTGCTTGCAATCTGAACTGATCGACCGTAGATCACTTTCAATTAATTTCATACACCACATTTTGCCGCAGCAATTCTTATTGCCGCGCAGAAATCACAACACTTTTTTCTTGCTCTCCAAAACGTGAAAACTCTGTTTGAAAAATCAATGGGGAATCGTGCGAGTGAGCACGTGAAACATACTGGCAAATGCAGTGAATCGTGAAAAACTCCACCAGTGAAATTAACATCAAATTCTTCTGCTGCGCTTATTGAGATCCTTTTTGTTTTGGTCTCTTTGCAATTCGTGGGCTGGAAGAGAGATGGTTTTGGGGCTCTTTTTCCTTCTTCTTCTCCTTCTTCCTCTGTATTTCGTGTGTTGGTGGGCAAAAAGGTAAAATCGCAGAGTGTTTAAATCCCCTCCGCGCGCGCTTTCAATCCCTACCATGAAAGAGAGTCTTTGCTGGAGTGTCTTCCTCAGTCGCTGGGCAAAAGAGCATTACGCCACTCAAAGCTACACCAATTCTTAGTCAGTCGCTGTGCAACACACACCTCGATATTGGATAAATATTGATCAGAGTGTTATTGAGAGTTTTGTCTCATCATCGTTCCATTTGTTCCTATTTCTGCCGATTCACATTGCGCGCCGATCTCTCGAGCCATCGCCGGATGGTGAATGCGCGCGCCTCTCGTGCAGATCGGTGTGGTGGTCTTGTCTTTGCCTAAGCCACTCGCGGTGCCTTCAGTTCGCATCCATCTGTCCGCGTGAGCAGTGCTGCTCTTGTGCTGTGGGGCATCTTGAGCCAGAGTGTGTGCGCGATGGTGAATAAGCAGTACAATGTGCAAAATAAGACGGGCAAGCAGCCGAAGAACTATTCGCCGCCACCCAAGAGGGACTTAAGTGCTATCTCAACTGTGCCAAACATCGTGGACTCTGACACGGAGCCGCAGAGTCTCCCCAATGAGTACTTCAGGAACATCACCGACAACTATTCACAGTGCGCGAGTGAGAAAGATCCCGACAGTTGTGACCGTGTGAGTGCCAAGGAGCTCTCAATTGGCGACATCGGGCGCTTTCAGTATATCCTTCAGATGGATAAAGAGATGGTAAGTGCGACCCTTGTGAGAAATCGGAAATGATTGTCGTGGGACAACAGCAAAAGTCCACAATTATCCCGCCTTTTTCTTGTGTCTCTGTGTGTCTTTTGTGCGCGCGCGCAACACATATTGCTTTGGGAAAAAAGACCTCGCGGCAAAACAATATTCCCATTTTCTTTTCAGATTTTTTTTTGCGAAAAATCATGTCGTGAGATCAAGTTTTCCACTCGTATTGATCGCGAAACAATACAACCCGCAAATACCTTCCCTTTCATCGCCATGTTGGAAAACACTCCGCAAAGAATATCGTCGAGGAATTTTTCCATTGTAAATCATAATAAAAATTTTATTGAAAAAAAAGACAGTGGCGAAGGAAATTGAAAGCATTCACGCAACAATTGCATTGCTGAACGTCGCCGCAGTGACAAAATTCCAATATTTAAATACCAACATTTATGTGTCAATTCACGTCGTGATATATCGAAACATTACACCCAATTAGGCGCTAATGTAATTGTGCGTTAATAATCGTGAGGAAGTCATTGAACGTTTATTTCCCAATATCTATATACAATTTTTCTTTTCACTTTCATTGCACTGCAGGGAAATTTTTGCTTGTTTTTCGGATTTTTTAGCGCGGTATTCTTGGAATTTATTTACACTCTGACGACGTCCTGATAATTTCTTTTCACACTGGCGAATTTTCCATTCCACTTCACGCAATTTCGTCGCCCATTGAATTGGCAAAGAAAGAGTGTATAGGAGGCAATAAAAGACATAAAAATTGGATATTAAAGTCCAACACCGTCAATAGTTATAAGAATGCATTTACTTTTCATTATCTACACACAGCAATCAAACTTTCCAAATCAATTACGACAATATTCACCGTATATTTCACATTCTTGCACCTCTTTTTTCCCTCAACTTCTCCTCCTCTTTATCTTTTCCTTCACACTCTCTTCCAGCAATACAATTATTGGGGTATATAAATAACACTCATTCATGCCGTATTTTGACCTTCAATTGAAGAATAAAAATCAGTGCGGCGCACTGAAGACTCACAGTAATTGCTCTCTTAAAATGCTAAAAGAAGTAACACACCGCGCATGGTTGCGCCTACTGAAACATGCTTTAAATAAGGGAAAGAAATTTGTCAAGTTTGGTATAAAATCTATGATGTTAAACTGTGAAACTTCTTCAAATTACAAAAAAAATGTCCTAAAAACTCATGCACAAATTTCCAATATCATTTTCAGCTATTGAATGTCTCAGTTTAATGTCTCGTTGTGCGATTCCATGTACGATATGAGAGATGCAAAAAGAGGAAAAAGACTTTTCTGCACGCTGATTGAATATAAACACATACATATAGCGTATGAAGAAATTACCGTGAAAATGCTGCTAATTTATCTAGTCTACCATCGTGTCTCTCTCAATGTAGATCAAAGCCGTGCTTTTTTTTTCAATCAATGTCTAAATGGAAAATTATAGACAAAATTGCCACACAATCTTCACTGTTTAATCAACACCTCTGCCGAGACAAGTTGACCTATTAGCGCTTTATCTCCCATTTGAATCATCTCTCACGCAGAAAAATGAGATTATCTTCTCACCTGGCGATCAATTGAAGGAGAGGAAAGGGAAAAAAGGCATTTCAATAACACCCATATTGAGTTATTGCATATTTCTCACGATTGGCGCAGAAATGGTTTTTGGGTGGCAAAAGAGGCCGCGCGCGTTGGGGGCAGTAAAAAACATTGGCAGACATCTGTTCCAAGAATGAGTGAAATACCAATTGAAAACTAGGTCTTTCTTGTACTTTCGATGACACCAATAAATGTTTGGGATGGGCGCCCACCGCAGTGTGTGATGTTGAGAAAAGGTGCGCCACTGCGCGTAATTGAGAATAAATGAAAGTGAGGAGAAAAAAAACCCTTGTAAAGTCACACAATTGATGAATGTGCTCGAGATCTAGAAAACCGTGTATATATGCGCCAAGTGGTGTGCGAGAAGAGACCTCTAAAATTGCCCACTTGTGCGCCTTTTTTGCACGCAAGTGTGTCCTTAAGAGATTACTTTCATTGGTGGCCCGATATCATCAGAATGCTGTATGACATTTTTAGCACGCGATTCCGTTTGGTGATAAGGAGAATTATATTCATAAATTTCTATCCAATATTGTGATTCCCTCATGAATTTCAATAACACTGATTGCACGTCAATTAAGGGGGTGTGTTAATTAAATACACCCAGAGATAATCTCTGAACATGTCTCGCAGCTGTGGAGGAATTCTGCATTGCCAAAGAACTGTGCGAGTGCAGAATAATTATGATTTAAATTAGTTATTCTAATAACTGTGGTAATATTTTGATTTATTTCCCACCATCAGAAGTCAATCTTTACAAACTTTTATCGCCCATAGAATAAATCCTTGAAATCAGATTGAATTTTAAGGATAGTCTCGCGCTTGATACTTTCACGATATTCATTTATATACTTATTCATAAATGATCACAGCAAAAACAACCACCGGCAAGTGATAAAATGCCATTTTCATTTGTTCATGCTCGATAATGGGAAACACTTAATGTGTCCGGTAATGAAATTTGCGAACTTTTAACATGGTTTTCTTCACTTGCCGGCAAATTTATTGCCCGCCATCATAAAAATTCATATTATGTGAACATATTTTCTTCTATTTGCCATGCATTTACCAACTCATTGTGAAGTGTGCAAAAACATCCGAAAAATGTATGAAAAAGCAAATATAAATATTGAATTTTGGAAGATGTTCTCCAATTTTTTTTGTGCCTTCATCTCAAGTGCTAATGAGAGGCGAAAATGAAGAAATTAATACCTTCATCGTGTTATTGTTACGATTGAAGTTATAGATATATGTTTTCACTTTGGGAACCCTAATGACGTCTTTTTAACAAGCCAAGAAATTCATACGCATACACACATACGCACACACGCATTCCAAGAGAGAAAAGATGATGATAAATCACGATGAAAACAAACGATGGAATATAATTAAACAGTAGCGCCAGGCAAAAAATCGACCAAAAAACACTCATTTCATCTTGTTAAGATTTTGTAAATTGATAGAGAGAGACAAGAAAAACAGCCCAGAGAAGTCCACAAAAAGACCTTTTCTTTCAATTGACGGACAATTTAAAAATACACCTTCTGGCTAAAGTGTTATGCAATGTGGCGATGTGATCCTAAGGAAAGATGCTTGAGAGCACAGAAATCTCCTCCAGCCAATTATCTGCTCAAAAATCGACAAAATCCTCTCCAAAAAAACACCCATGTTTTATTCTCAATTACTCACAACTCATTGTAATTTAATCTGCGAATAGGGAGAAAATGACAAGATACGGATGAATAAAAAAGAATTCATAAATTACCAATGTTTGACATCAAATGGCGGTAGCAAAAAATAGCAATACAACCTCATAATTTTTGCATGATTGACCTCGACTGATCACAAACGCACTAAACGCACAAGCTCTGCAATTACCAGCTTTCATGAGAATTTCCTCCACTTCTTTGCACATTTAGGAATTGAACATACAAGGCCAAATTTGCCTCTCAGCGCGCGCGCATCTTCCGCGTGTCATCAATCTAAGACATCACGCGAATGAGTAAGATATTCATGTTTTTTCCACACATGGATAACACCAACAATACCAATATTCTTTGGCTGAAACAATTGGAATCTCTGCTATTTTGCCCAGTGAATGGCGCGAGAGAGAGAGATCTTCTTCGAGCACTTTCAATTGAATTGATACATTACATAAATTTGTGGTCAACTGAAAGGAGAGAATCCAAACGATGGATGATTGAATAAAGACAAATAATTTCCTGGTTTCGAACGCGCTCATCTTCGCTGGAAAAACAACAATAATTGCGCATGAACCATACAAGGAAAAGAAGAAGATATCGCGAAAGAAAACCGTTGAGCAATCACTCATCCTTTCTCCCCTCAATGGAGGCGGAATTTGTATAGACAAATTTGTACCAACAAGATTATCGCGAAGCTCAATTTACAATTCTATGGTGAATTTCATAAGAATAATCGCTAATCTATTCATCTATACATGAAACCAAGTTGCATCTTTGATGCATGAATGGGTGAAAATATAGCTTCATGTTTTCCCCGCAATAATAATAAAGATGATGAAAGATAAAGTTGGGAGACTTTCAGTGACTGTTTTCCGAGGATATCATTTTGTCAGTTGCCAGGAAACTTTAGCACACAATTTAACAAAGACAAAGTGTGCATTTGCGATATGAAAAAAGTGAGAAAAAATCACTTTCTATGCGGATAATGAAAGTGTAACAATTGTTTATAAATTGTTCCTTCCTTTGCAGTTGCAGCGCGTGTGGAAGACGCTTTGCAAAAGTGGTTAATTCGTATGGAAAAAGACGGGAAATTCTGCTGGCCTCCAAAGAAAAGGCATCACAAAACACTATTGACTTCACTTGTTAATTGATAATTTCCTACTTTCGTGCTAATTCTTCCACTTTTCAATAGTTGGGCGTTTAGTGCGATTTATCCATCGCTTCGCTGCAATTTCCATTCAATATTATATTTCTCTAGGAAGAATTGCACGGCGTGTGAGATTCAATCACAATGTTGCCACATATTAATCAAAAATTCACTCGAGATTTGTTCCACGGGTGGAAAAGAGGTGCAAAAATGAAATTCTTTAGCACTCAAGGAGACCTACATATTGGCGTCAACATCGCGCTGTGCACACAATGAACGTGGAAGTGTTCTCAACTGTGCGCTCGCGTGAATTTATGAAGACAATTCTCCGGCCAGCTAATCTCAACTCCTTCGTGACATTTATTACAATTGTATAAATCTGACTTCCAGTGCAGTGGCACAATGTTACGCACAGAGATTGGCTCTCTTCTGGCCATTATGTGGCCGCCTGACTTGAGTTGGCCTGTGAAAAGTGTGGCCCAGGGAAGGCTTTCGCACTCACTTGGCGATTGCACAATCGCGCACATTTCCCCACGTGAATCTTCACCAGGTATGGGATGTGCAGAAGAATTGGACATGCGCGGCTCTCACTTTGAATATGAGTGCGCGCTTTGATTGAAAAATACGATTATAAGTTTCTGTATGTGAGGAATTTTTATCGGCACTTGTGCTAAGCTCAAAAATTTATTTAATCAATTTTTCGTCTGCCACACTCTCAATGTCCATGATATTTTGCAATAATCGCACATGTGTAAAATAATCATATTAACTATAAGGTAACTCTTTGCCTTGGAGAAATTTCACTTCGCATTTGCGCGTCTCTTGTTCGAATTATAACCACTACTCAATAATAATGCAGTTGTGGGTGATGAAGAAAAAAAAACAGAAAAGAGTGGAAAATGTGCTCTTCTTGCGCAAGTCCTTCAATTTTCTCTGTGCTTTTCTTTTTTCTTAATGTCAGCAAATTTGCCCCTTAAACACGCGCTCTTGAACATGGCTGAGAAACAGCTGCACAGAGCCATATAATTAATGATAATCTCGCGAAAATTGATTGATATTTCTTCGTTGTGTAGCTCGAGGAACTCAATATATGGAATGTGAATCACACACACCTCAAATATTTCGGTGCGTGCGCCTCAAGAAGGAATTTGTTGTGCGCGCGCGCGCGAAAAAGGAAAGAGCGGCGGTGAGACAATTAATGTGACTTAAGTCGTATGTTAATTCTTATCCATTCTATTATTATTTTCCCATATATCATTTGAATGTCAACGTGTGACAGCGACAGAAATCGGCAAGAAATCTTTACTCACAGTCTTGTGAATGGATTAAACATCATTTATTAATTTTAGGGGAGGAGCTGATGGATTCAGAATTGAAGGAGGAAGTTATGTATTTTTTAGGATCTTTAATGTGAGAGATTTATTGTATGGTTCTGGATTACGTGTCACGCCTCAATTTTTAATCTTTATACTCTTGCGATGCTCTAACCATTCAGTGTTTAAGTGTGTCTGACCAGGTATTTTGTCGGATTTTCAGGGCTCACACCCGGACTCACTCTACAGAATACCCACCAGACCCACAAATTCATCCAGCACATCATCGTCCAACTCGATTGGCAGCAATCTGCACAACATTGGCTTCTGGAAGGCGACCGGGAGTCAGACACCAATCGCCTCCACATCGTCCAGTCGCCGGAGATGGAGTGACATCGAGAGGGTCTTCAGCAAATGCTGGCAATACATCAAGTGGCCGCTGGCACTTGTATTTATATGTGCAGTTCTAGGAGTAGTTGTATACTTTATAGTTGTTGGTAAGAGAGAGAAAGAGTGTGTAGTTTAACATTGGGATTATAGTGCTTCTCGTTACGCTGACTGTGATGCATTTCTTCTGCAGAGAGTGAAATCAATAGCAATCTCGTGGGGAGTGAGAATCACGTAGTCTCGCTGGACACTTCGATAGAATCGGACTTGACGGTGGACTTCAATGATCTGGATAAGTTGAATGATGACGCGAGAGTGGAGCGACCGAGAGTAATAAATGGCCATGCGAATGCATACAATGTCAGCGGAGCGACACTCAATCAAACTGACGAGTTGCTGGAAGTGATCAAGGGCCCGGACTTGGCCAATAGACTCAACGATGACTCAGAGGTGTTTGCCATTTTTGTGAAGAAGCCCTCCAGCACAACAGAACAATCATCGACGGAGAATTCGACAAACGACAGCGTGACACCAACGACAATCCGCCAAACTGCATCATCAACCACAACAGAGGCGGCGCGGAGTGCAGTGAAGTTCAACGTGCCAACAAGGGAAAGTCTGCAGCAATATGGATTCACGTCGGGCCACCAGAACAACTTTGGCATCCCAATTGAGGAGGACGAGCGGATTCTCAGTCTGCTGAATGCGGAATTGATCAAGAGTCAAAATGGTTCGTCCTCGCTCTTCTCCACCACCGATTCCAGTGTCTACAGAACGAGAGTGTCTCCCACATTGCCCATCATCTCGAGAGTTGACCACACAACAGAGGGACTCAAGAGCAACGGGAGTGACGATGGTGAGTTCAAAATCGCATAAAGCCCACCTTCCGTCATTTTGAACATCCCTAAAACACATTTTCCTCATTTGTTCAACTCATATGGCATGGATCGAGCTCAAATTTCAGTACGTTATAGCTGGTCTCGTGACCTTTCCAACGAACTACCACTTAAGGCTCTAGGTCCTCCAGAACCCTTGATTTCAGGGTCTAAATTTTGAAAATAAGAATGTCCTTTCTTCTTCGCCACGCATTTCAGGCATCTGCAAGTCAACCTCACTGCCGCTCTGTCGCGGCGTTCTGCCCTATGATCTGACGTCACTGAACCGAAAGGCCCTGAGCCAGGTGGAGATAGATCATTTGCATTATCTGATCGAGGCGCAGTGCTCAATTCGGGCGGCAGAGTTTGTCTGCACCATCCTCGAGCCCGAGTGTCGACCCGCGAAAATGGGCAATCCACTGCAACCGTGCAAGAGAATATGCAAATGTGAGTCACATGCCAGTGTGATTATTAGACCTTTAGTCATACCCAAAACCTTTCCAGCCATCCTCGAGGCGTGCAGCCACGTGATCGCCAGCTCGGAGATTCTCACCACGATGTTCGATTGCGACAGCTATCCAGACTCGCTGGATCGCAATGTGTGCGAAGATCCGACAAGACGTGGGAAATGCTACAAGAACGAATTCAAGTGCTTGGACTCGACATGCATCCCACTCCAGTGGAAGTGTGACAACATTAAAGATTGCGCCGAGGGCGATGATGAGGAAAATTGCAAATTTTGCGAAACAAATGAATTTCGGTGAGAATTTTTGGACATTGCGTGCGCGCTGAGAAGATTGTTACAAAATGCTCGTTTTTTCAAGGTGCGTCTCCAATGAGAAGTGCATTCCGGACAAGTGGCGATGTGATCGCTACAAGGACTGCCCGGATTCGTCTGATGAGCTGGACTGCGAGGAGGAAGAGGACGCCAGGAGCTTCCCGCTGTCGTACGGGAATGCGAGGGTGTATCCGTTCGTGCACGAGCAATCGCCGAGCAATCCCAATAGCCGACCGTATCTCACCATTTCGGGCGATGATCGGCTGAATGCGGGCGAAGCGAGCAAGCCGGCCGACGGTGAGAAGGACATCTACGCTTTCTCAGACGATGATCACTTCGAGCGATCCGTTCCGAGTGTCACACTTCCGCCAGAAGACGCCAAGGCGCACCGCGAGAGTGACAACGACGAGATCCAAAGTGAAGCGGCTTCCGGCCGAGCGGTGCTGTTCAGCAAGAGTCTGGGTAGTGTGAATCTTCCTCATTTCATTCCATCACACGCCACAAAGCCTCTCGAGCGACATGACAACCACTCAGACGAGCATATCTCCACTCAACAACAATAAAACCGCCGAAAGACTCCCTCTGCATATGATCCAACTAATCCCTTTCACTTGCCATTCTCACATTCTTCCAGCCAACTTCCAAGACAGCAAAGAGATAATGATGACAAGTGATTCTGAGGCGGACTACAAGTACTCGAGCACTGATCGTGTCACACTGAGAACAGCCCACATTTCCCCGTGTCCGGAAGGTGAACTGCGATGCATCAGCGGCCGCTGCATTTCCGTGAATCAACTCTGCGACAAGGTAACACACGTGATGTGCTCAGCGCGCATTGTTTTGACTTTCCCATCCTCCAAAAGATCACCGATTGCCCAGATGGAGCCGACGAGGCGATGTGTGTGTACAAGAATTAAGCCATCCACAGCTGTGGCAGCTCAAGAGGGATTTTGTGTCCACCCGAGAAGAAACTCCTCCGCAAAACACCCAAGTGGATTTCCTGTCAACTTCATATCTCTCTTTTCTCCTTTCAACTCTGGCGCGCTGTTGACACGAGCAAAAAAACCACTCACCATCAAAACGAGTATTATTATTTAAAGACAATCTCACTCTTCCTATATCTCTATCTGTAATTTTATTGTGATAAACACTAGATTTAATTGGAGACTCACTGTCATTCTAATCCCATATTTGTAAACTGTGTATTCTTGAAATTCATTGTCTCTTCCGCAATATTTTCGCTCAATTTCTTTCTAAAATTTATCAACATCGCGAATCTTGAGGATTTTTCAATTGATTTCTTTGGATGTATTTTTTGTTGTTGTAAAGAAGAGGAATCTGTAAAAAGTTGTAATGAATGTATTTTGTATAATGATGAAAAATATATAACATGATGAAAGTGTTGATCTTCACTCACATGGAATTAAGATTTGTTGTATAATTTGGCGAAGAAAAATCACGGGAATATAACTAAATCCGTTGATTCAGAATGAATTTTCTGCATCAACTGAAAATGGAATGTGCTCAAGTTCGTTGAAGAATGATTTCAAGTCTGCAGATGAGAATATTCGCATCAGCGCCATCTAGCGCACGACATTCTGTGAATAAATATGTCTGGGATACGTAAATTTTTGCATAGTTGAGAGAAATTCATTCATTCGCAGTCAAACTGTGTGGCGTGCATTAATCCAATAGACAATTTTTGAAAATTGTCATTGACCACAGAAAAATCACAGGCGATTTCTCTAATCTACCTCATTATTTAATCGCAAAATCCAGAGCAGAAATGCCTCAAAATGCGACTGCGAGAGTGCGAGAGAGTGTCAAGTTTAAAAAGTAAACAAGTTAATGAGAGCGGAGAAGCCAGAGAGCGCAGCAACGGCGAGAGACTGAGAGAGACTTTCATCGGCCGAGAGACACAACCGGATGACTCATCCAGTTCGCACGATGACGAATAATCGCTTTTCGAGCGAAAATACAAATAAAAAAATCACATATTTGCTTGCATTTCGGTCTTGAGTGATTCTCAGATTTTCGCCTCACGGACAGACGCGCGTGTTTCGGCGCTCTTCCGTGCGGAAAACACCCGCGGAAAAGGTGGCCTTCTTGCGGTGTTGTGTGTGAAAGAGTGGAAGGGAAAAAGATGTGAATCGTCAGTTTGATTGTGCATCCTCTGTGATTGAGTGATTAATCTGGAACCAGCCAAAGAGACGCGACGAAGGGATTTTTCTTCTGTCCACCTTCTCGTCCCCACAAAAAATCCACCAGCGCCAGACGTTCACCAGCCAAAGACATGACGTCACAGTACGTTCTTCTTAAGGTGAGAAGATGAGTCAACATCGTGTCTTTCTCTCACGCATGTGAAAAGTGATATGCGGAGCACAGATTGGGGCTCTTCACGAGGCCCTTCAATGTGTTGTTTGCACTTCTTTGTAATATCATTCCAGTTGAACTTATGTAACCCGGTGCGGGGTGAATCATAATCTCATTCAAGTCAAAGAGGCGAGAGATGTTAAGGAGGTAAAAATAGACTAACATTTCCCCCTCAAAACGCAATTCGCGAAAGAAATTCAGCCGCTGAAAAGCGTGAGGTAAAAAATGTGTTATTTTAGCACAATTCAACAATATCGTATGGGGATAAATTCCCTTTCTTGGGCGAATGCCACTTCTTATCAGGATCAGGGCGTGACCCTTGAAATGTTGATAAGGGAAGGATTTTTTAAAGTTCAGACTGGCAAATGTGTAATTATCACAGGACATGATAAAATTCTTTGGGTAAGGTTTAATGCGACAAATTGTGCATTTTTCACCGTTCTTTTGCTGTCTTTTCGGCAAAAACAGACAAAAACACGCTGTGATAAGAAGCGAGCCTTACTTTTTCTCCCTCCACTGTACTTTTCACACGATCGCGTGCATGTGTTCGTGCGCGCACGATCGTGTGTCAGAGCTTCGGCTCAATCGCCCCTTGATATTCTGTCAAAAGTGCTCAATCAGTCACAGTGTTTACAAGAGAATTGGTGTCTTTGGACTTAGTGTGTTGCAATAATCTTATGATTAGACGGAATATAAGGGATCTTTTGCCATCTTTACACCTTCATGGGCACACTTTGTGATGTTGAGACGAAGATAAGGGGACAAATTGAAGTGAAAACCACGCGGAAAGTGGGCAAAATCGGTAAGAAAATCTGTATTGATCTCAGCAACTTGATGATTGAAGATGTGAAGAAATCCATCTGTAATCTCTCAACCATTTCCCACTCCCAATATTATCATTACACACAACCACGAAAGAAGTGTTAAAGGCTCGGTTTTTGGGGGTGATATTTGCCAATGTTCACGCCTACAAATTTGTGATCTTCATCTTTGCTGGACTTTTCTCTCTCCGCTAAGAAACTGAGCCAACAAAGGGACTCGACGAATGCGAGACAATCTCGTCAAGTGACGTCAACTTGGGAAATTTCAACAAACACCACTGATAGACTTAAATGGAATTAATCAATGAGGCAAATTTCATGGGAGGTGAAGAAAAAGAAGGAGAAATCAAGCGAGATTGCTTCAGTTGACGTTTATTTTCGTGGAATTCGCACGGGTTTATCATCTGTGAAATATTTGATTCAAGTGAATTCAAGCAATCACTCTCTTCCTTGCAGACAAACTCCTACATCATCAGGATGAATAGAGAGGACAATTTGTGTTGGTTTCACGGGCGAGTGTCTCGCGAGAGAGCCGAACAGATTCTGCGTGATGGTAAGAAATTTTTTTTTTGTCACAGCACATTTATAGTGCTCTAATTATGTTAAGTCAGAGCATTTCTCTTTATGCTCCAATCAAAATAAATTATGCCAAAAAAGAGCAATATAGGGCAAGAAATATGATCGATGATAAACAATTGACTTATGAAGAACCTTATATTGATGGGGGTTTCAGTTTCACAACAATAACACTGCCATTCTTTGATACTTCCCCCCAAAAAAAAACAACAAACAAGAATAATCCATTGTTTGGCGAAAATGATTAACAAGCACATGCTTTTGCCATCCACTCACAGAGGGCTATGGAGATGGGGTGTTCCTGGTGCGCGAGAGCAACTCTTCGAACGGAGATTACGTGCTGTCGGTGCTGCACGAGGGACAGGTGTGTCACTATCAAATCCGACGGCACGGCGAGGACGCCTTCTTCTCCATTGACGACAACAAGAGAATCCATGGACTGGACTCCCTGATCGAGCACTATCAGCACTCATCGCATGGCTTGGTGACCAAGCTGTCGGCCATCGTCAAGTGCGATCCGCCGCCGCACGATTCGCGCTGCCACGGCCGCATGAACTTGCTGCATCGTGCCACGAAAGAGGGCAACTACACCGTGGTGTCGGAGCTGCTGAAGTGCGGCTATCGCAACATCGATGCGAAGAACCAGGATGGCCAGACGGCCGTCCATCTCGCCTGCCAATACGCCGATGCGGCAATTCTGCAGAAGATCATCGAGTGCAACGCCAATGTAAACTTCCGCGACATCAAGGGCAACACACCTCTGCATTATGCCTGCCGATCGCAGCCCGCGGCCGTGATTAAGCTCCTGATTGACTCCAATGCTAACATCCAGGCGAGGAACAACGAGACCGGCTGCGTGCCCCTCCACGACGCAGCGGAGCATGGGAATTTGGATGCTGTGAAGGTGCTTCTGGAGGCTTCGGCGCCGCTGAGGCCGAGATCTGCCTGTGGCGAGCTGCCAATTGACTTCGCCCGCGACAAGGGTCACAGTCACGTTGTGGAATACCTGACGAACTACGTGGAGCCCATGCCGGTGACGTCCAGGATTCAGTGGTATCACGGCACACTGGATCGCGTGGAGGCGGTGAGTATGATTGAGGAGTGCGCCAAGAGTCTGGCGCAGGCGAGGCGATCAGACGCTTCGACAGTGAGTGAGGAGGGCAGTGTTGATGGGAATGCGAATGAGGAGGATGACACTGATGTGACGTCTGGTGTGTTCCTCGTGAGGTACACCGAAAAGAACAAGGGCAGTCAAGTGCTGACGCTCTTGTACGACAACACGCCCAAACACTTCATCATCCAGAAAACGGTGAGTGAAGAATTGTGACGAATTCGAGCAATTTCTTCCTGCCCAATGGCAGTTGGATGTTAATCTTGAATATCTTCTCCTCTCTCCAGTTACACTACTTGTACATCGACGAAGGGCCGTACATGACATCCTTGGAACACTTAGTACAACACTATACACAATTCGCCGACGGGCTTCCAATTAACCTGCGCCATCCGGTGAAACCGAAACCGAAACCGCCGCTACCTCTGCCGATGCCAAAAGCTAAGCGTGCCAAAGCGCCAGCCGCGCTCAGCAGTCCACCGGAGCAGGCGCGCAATGATTTTCTCAACAGTGGCTTCGCCTTCCGCAAGACCCGCAATCTATCCGTCCCGAGCAATGATATTATGAATCGCAGCGGCTATTTGAGTTCATCGCCAACATCACCGGAGCACGATGTGCGCAAGAAGGCGGCGTCCAAGTCGCCGGATTTCAGGAGTTTGAAGCTGTCGCGACCGCGGAAGAACATCTTTATTGATGGCCTCAACAGCCTGAGGCGGAGTAAGAATCGCACGCCGAAGAAGGAGGCGGAAGTGAAGAGTGTGGAGTTGGAGATTGACACGAATCTCATGAAGAATCTCTCATTCTCCACGGATTTCCTCATGAATTCACCACCGCCGCCGGACACGGTTTACAACACACCGACCAATAACTGTGCCATCGTGAATATTGACATTGATGGCAGTCCGCGGAGTGTGGAGGCGGAAGATGACACGCGGAACAGCAATGTGTCCAATAGCTCGGTGGATTACTTCACCGAGAGCGATGTGGCGGCGCACATGAAGGACAAGGAGACGGAGGAGATCTACTTCATCGACAAGCCCATGGTGGTGGACAATGATGAGGCCGCGAGCAATGGTAACATTGTCAATGAGGCGGGATATATTGTGATGCAGAAGATTCCGGTGTTCATGGAAATGCCCGCCAATGCCAATTACGTGCCACCAAATCCTGCCACATTTGAGCGCCTCGACTCGATCGCCTCGGAGCGCAGCGAGAGTGAATTCGCCACGGTGTTTCAGCACCAGAACAGCTGCACACAATCCCAGACTGACGAGGGCGCGGTGAGTACCAGCAAGCCCTACTACTTCATACCCGCGTGCGAACTGCAGCTGGACACTGTGCTGGGCGAGGGTGAGTTCGGCAGTGTCTATCGCGGCAGTGTGTCTGCCGGCGGCGAGGCGGAGGCCGGCGAGAGGATCCCCGTGGCCGTGAAGACGCTGCACGATGAGCGCTGTCGCAAGAATCGCGAGGAGTTCCTGCGCGAGGCCAATGTGATGATCCAATTGCGCCATCACTGCATTGTGAAGTTGATTGGGATCAGCAAGGGACCGCCACTGATGATGGTGCAGGAACTGGTGGAGCTCGGCTCCATGCTGAACTACCTGCAGCGTCACGGTGAGCAGAAGATCAATCCCAACTGCGAGCTGCGCCTGTGGGCGTCGCAAATAGCGTGCGGCATGAATTACCTGGAGAAGCGACACTACGTCCATCGCGACTTGGCGGCCAGGAACATCTTGCTGGCGTCGCGCAATCAGGCCAAAATCTCCGACTTCGGCCTGTCGCGCGCCCTCGCCATGGACAATGATTACTACAAGGCCAGCCAAGGTGGCAAGTGGCCCATTAAGTGGTACGCGCCGGAAAGCTTCAATTACGGCACTTTTTCCCACGCCAGCGACGTTTGGTCATTCGGGATCACGCTGTGGGAAATGTACTCACTCGGCGAGCCGCCGTACGGAGACATGAAAGGAGTTGATGTGAGTGACTTATAAGATTCCATCAGCACCATTTCTGATGCCTTCTTCTCTAAATTGTTTTCTCGCCAGGTCATCAAGCTGATTGAGGAGGGAAAGCGCCTGGCCAAGCCGACTCTCTGTCCAGAGGATATTTTTGAGAGAATGGAGAATTGCTGGAACTACAAGCCCAAGGACAGGCCATCATTTCGCCACTTGACAGAATTCTTCGCTCCAGACTACGCCAATGTGACGGAATTGATTCAATCTGAGCAGATTGTCTAGAAACATCTCAGCCAAAATCCTATCTATAATCCTATATCTTCACATCACTCCGTGCGTAGATCGTCTCAAATAGACTATAATAGTGTAGAAGTCGTAGAAGTAGTGAGATGTACGATGAAAGTTGTGAGCTAAGTAATGCTATAGTCGATATCTTCTGTGTTATTATTAGTTTTTTTTTAATATATTATAAGCAAGGTGTTTATCAGAGATTTTTTTAAAATGTAACGTAATTCATATTTTTAAAGGTATTGTTCTCTAGAGTTACTAACAAATCAGTTAACGCGAATTTGTGCTCCTAAATGTGTAAATCTGTTAATTTCAAATTATCTGTTATTTGTTGTGCTATGTAAAAGTTATTTTTGCCATAGCTCTGATGCTAATGTCTGTGCTGTTCGCAATATTGCCATAATATGACATTTAATCTCTTCTATATTCTGCAACACTTCACATTCCGGAGAGACATTATATGAAATACATATATCAGATAAATATTCAAAATTACCACGAGAAATGGATGTGCAAAATCCCAGATGACTATTATTTAATAATGTGCATAAAACCGAGTTTATATAATGTGCCTTTTTTCGATCTTCGCTCATCTGTTATTTTATTTACAAAGAAAAAGAAACACGAGGAAAAAATATTGTGTAAGAAGCAATATGAGAGATAATTATTTGTAACATTTTTTTTGTTAAGATATTCAGGAGAGAATAAAACGGACATTGGAGAATATTTTGTTATTATTCTGTTTCTTTGAAAAAGTCTTTAAATAACCAGACGCTAAACGTTTATTTTCTTCACTATAAAAATCAATAAAATTACACTGAATTTTAATTTAAATTATTTTAAATACCGGAGGATACATGTATGCGTTTTACGACGTGTAAAATATTATGCAATGATCGCGCTTTCAGATGTTATTTGAGGTTATGTCATTGTTTTGGTTTCTTTGGGTCGCGTTTTGAGGATAAAACATCCTAAATTTCCTTGTAAAAACCTGTTCACAAGGGAAGTTTCCGCCAAGGGACGCGGAGAAAAATGGCATCGAGCCCATCCAGCTCAACCGCATTGAGTGCCAGTGAGGAAATAAGTCAAATTGACCAGAAGATCAAGGAAATCGATGTTGAGATCTTCCGGCTGAGGAGACAGAGACAACAGCTGGAGGCCAAGAAGGAGAAACTGAAGGAGATCAGTTTCGCTGAAAAGTCTCGAGCTCTGTCCAAGCAGAACTGGACAGGCGGTAAGATGAGGGTGTTTTTCTCACCACTCAGCACTCTGACAATCTTCCACTCTCTCCTCTAGATTTTCCATGGACAGCCGACATCCGCAAGCACCTGAAGCAGACTTTTGGCTTCGAGGAGTTCAAGGAATACCAGCTGCGAGCGATAAATGCGATAATGTCTGGCCACGACATGATTCTGGTGTCTCCGACTGGCGGCGGGAAGAGTCTCTGCTATCAGCTGCCCGCGTGTGTGGGCAGCGGGCTGACGCTCGTGGTCTCCCCTCTGATAGCTCTGATGGAGAATCAGAAGTGGGCACTTGAGAAGCTGGGCGTGGGCGTTGAGGTGCTGACGCAGGGTGTGGACAGGACAACAACCCAGAGGATTCTTAAGCAATTGGCCAATCCGGCCGTCGAATTGACCTTCCGCATCCTCTACGTGGCTCCCGAGCGACTGTCCAAGAGCAAGAGACTCATGAGCTGCCTGCAGAAGTGCTACTTCGCCAAGAGACTGGACAGAATTGCCATTGGTGAGTTGTGCGCGACACAGAAGAGTTCTTCACTCACACGGAGATCTCGTTCCCTTCTTTGCCATACAGACGAAGTGCACTGCTGCTCCACGTGGGGTCACGACTTCCGGCCAGACTACAAGTTTCTGGGCTCCCTCAAGACCACATTCCCCGATGTGCCAATCCTGGGCGTCACCGCCACCGCCACTGAGAAGGTCATCAACGACGTGCAGAAGATGCTCAACATCCGCGACGGCATTGTGCTCAAGGTGCCCTTCAATCGGCCCAATCTCTACTACCAGATCATGGAAAAGCCCGCGGAGCGGAAGGGCGTGGTGGAGCTGCTCGTGGGGCTGCTAAAGAGACGCTACGCGGGCAAGTCAGGCATCATTTATACACTGTCCCAGAAGGACACTGAGCAACTCGCCACGGCGCTCATTCAGCACAACTGCCAAGTGAGTCCCTATCACGCCAACCTGGACGCCGAGGTGCGCTCGCGCGTGCATGAGAACTGGCTGACGGGGCAGATTCAGGCCGTGGTGGCGACTGTGGCCTTCGGCATGGGCATCGACAAGCCCGATGTGCGTTTTGTCATTCATCACACCATCAGTCGCAGCCTGGAGAACTTCCACCAGGAGTCCGGCCGTGCGGGACGCGATGGTGAGTACGCGGAGTGTGTGGTGCTGTATCGTCTCACGGACGTCTTCAAGATCACCACGATGATGTTCGCGGAGAAGACGGGCCTGGAGAATGCTTACGCCATGGTGCAGTTCTGCATCACAGGCGCCAAATGTCGTCGTACTGTGCTGGCGGAGAATCTCTCGGAAGATGTGGTGAATTGCCGGAAGATGTGCGATCGCTGTCTGTTCCGCAAGCGAATGTCAGCACCGCCGAAAGTCAACGTGACGAAGCATCTCAAGCTACTGTTGGAGATCCTCGACAAGGCCGACAGCATGGACATGAAGCTGACGGGCGCGAAGCTGATTGAGGCGTGGTTCAACAAGGGACCCGCCTGCCTGAGAGCCAACAAGAAAAAGGCGCCCGCCTTCGATCGCACCCTCGCGGAGCACATCATCGCACACCTGATCCTGGAGGAGTACCTGAAGGAGGACTTCCACTACACGGCGTACAGCACGAACAGCTACATCAAGAAGGGGCCCAGGGCGCTTGGTGAGGATGCAATTGTGGCGGTGAATCGCGTGCGCTTCCTCGATCTGCCCGACGATTTTCCGCGCAATGAGCATCAATCTGATGACGATGTGGTCCTCGTGTCGCCGTCCAAGAGGTCGCCCGAGAAGAGGCACAGACGTGAGTCAGGGTGCTCCTCCAGTCCACAGAAGAGGGCCAAGATGCACAGGCATTCCGCCTCCGCAGAGTCCATTGAGCAGATGGAGATCGAGAGCGATGACGAGAGCGATGGTGAGGCTGTGGAAGTGGTTCATGAGATGCCCAGCCACTTTATTGATCTGGATGACTCTCTGTTCGATGATTGAGAGGCGAGACAAGTGAAACGCTGTAATCTCAAGCAGATAAAGTGTTAAGGAATATTTAAAAGCGAAAATTAAATGATTCGAACTGTATTGTTGTCCTACGAAAGTCCACCAATGGAAGACACTCTGCTGACGCACATTCTACTGGGCTTCACGTGTGACAGTTTTCCGTGCGCGAGAAGTTTCTTATATAGATTATTCCACAATTTTCGTGTCTTTTTCAACACTGAGTGGCCCCAGAAATTGACCAAAAGATGTCCGAGGTCGTGATATCCGCTCGCGCCTATACCAAAATGGTCTTCCACGCGGCAAAGTATCCACACTGTGCCGTGAACGGCGTGCTGCTGTCCACCAGAGATGCCACCAAGTCCCGGAACTACGAGATTGTCGATGCCATTCCGCTTTTCCACATCTGTCTCCACCTTTCGCCCATGGCCGAGGTGGCCCTGGTGCAGGTGAGACTGCCCACAAGTGTCCGCAGGAGAGCCTGATGACTCTCTCTCTCTCTCTCTGGTGACTGTCTTGCAGGTTGAAGCCGCGGCGGCCGAGGAGGATTTGCAGATCTGCGGCTACTACAGCGCGGCTGAGAATTACAATGACAACAGCCTGGAGAGGGCGCCGGGTGCCAAGCTAGCCGACAAGATCGCGGAGAACATTCCCAACTCGTGCTTTGCCGTGGTGAGTCTGCTTTGCATTTGCCTCATCATCAAGGGGTTCATCAACCCGGGATTTCTGCGCAAACTTCCATGTTTCTTGCGTAAAAGGCACAGATTGTCTTGATTGTCAGTGGTTCAGGAGTGTTGTGAGGACATTTAGAGCTTGATTTTCATCAAAAATTCTCTTTACTTTAAAGGTATTTAATTTTTCCCTTTAAATGTGCCTCTGCTAACCCTTTAAATGTGTCTGTGCTAAACTGAGATACGAAAAATCACTGAATTTTTCGTCTTTTTCTTAGTCCATTGAATTAGAAAACAGAATGCAACAGAAATACTAATGACTGCTGCAATTGTAACGTGAATTTCTCTCAGCAATTGAGCATCATTAGAAGAAAAAAAACTGGTAATTCAATTACGCACCCTCGAAAAGCGTTTGCTGGTAAATGGATGAGCGCAATAATTGGGGAAATTGAATTGTGTGCATTGACAAGTGATGCAAATTGACTGTGATTCTTTGCAGATCGACAATCGCGCTGTGTGCCTCAACATGGAGCGTCCGGCCGTGAGGCTGTGGCAGAGCGTGGAGCAGCGCTGGACCAAGGCGACGCCGCGGCTGGCGAAGGGCGATGTGACGCTGTCTGCGGTGTCGACGCTGCTGCAGCGCGGCGCCATGAAGGATCTGGTGGACTTTGACAACTACCTGGACAACACGGAGAACGACTGGCAGAATGCGCACCTCAATCGAGATCTCAATCAGATTTTAGCCATGTATTAAAAATGATGTTTATTTAAATTTATATTACAGAGCGCAATTAACAATTGTGGTTAAAGAGAAGGGGGAATAAATCAAGTGAGAAACTGTGGATGTGTTTGCAAAACCAAATGAATGTTTTCTCTTTTACTTCTTCGATCTTTCAAAACTCATTTTTTTTTTACAACTGGATATTCTGAATATTGCGCCATTTATTTCCTTTTCTCACTCCTGCACAGACAAACGGAGGTTTTCCTTTCTTGTCAGCGGCTAAAAGATGTGGGCTTTGATAGAAGGATTATTATTTAAGTTAGTAAGTATTTATGATTTCATTATTACTTGTGATTCTTTCCCATTTTTTCCGTACTATAGCAAAAATATTTTATTTTTTCACTTCTTTCTCTCTCTCTCTCTAAGTTACACAGTTTCTTCATTTTATTACTTTCCATTTGGGTTATAATTATTCTTTTCCTCCATTATTAGTGTTTCTCTTTATACTTGTTTCACAATGATAAATCTTGTGATAAATGCATTGCGCTTGAGAGCGAGTTTAGAGATTAAATATATATTAGGGGAAGCTCAAGTGTTGACCAAAACCAAGACAAAGTGTTGAGGCGCTGCATTTGCATTGTGTTCAATTCTGCACACAGAAATGCAGCGCGTCGGGAAAAAGGGGTGGAAAAAGGCAGTAAAAGATGTTTCTCTCTATCAAAAGTAAACATTATAACACATTGTGAGGCATTTCAAATATCAATTTCCCTGCTGAAGGAATGCTTGTGATGCATGTGAAAGATTGCTAATGTGTGGGTGAAGAAATGTGTTTTTCTTTCTTTGCTTTCTCACTATTTTTTTTTCTTCCAATAAACTTCCATTGCACGCACTTTATGGCTTAAAATATTAAGCAAAAATCTTACGTGATTTGGTATGTTTGATCACTTGATTAACTTTGCAGATTAACAATATTTAATTGTATTACCTAGTAAAATGTCTTTTTAACTAACTCTCACCTCTTGATATTTTTTTCTCCATGTTTTCTTTATCTTTTACACACGCTTTTTTTTTGAATGGAAAAAATTGCAACCACTTGAATTTCACATTCGTTCACTTTTTCTTCTTCTTTATTAATGGGTAAAAGCTGGACGCAATTTTGGGTGTTTTTTTTTAATATAATTCTCAAAGTTTCCTCTTCATCGTCGTCACATCTTAATTGTCACCTAATTACGTACAGTATTAGCAAGTTGAGTTTTGAAGTTATCTGATTATTAGGTCGCTTGGTGGTTAAAAGTAAGAAATTTTGATTGAAGCTTCTTTCTCTTTGACTTACAACATTCCAGTTGTGCCAGAACGCATGCCTTTTTTCCCAAAGCATCAAGTCAGCATAAAATAAGTGTTTGACAATGGATTATAGTTAATTTCCGTTGAGAGTAAATTTCAATCACATGAGAATAATGAGAAGAGAGATTTGACGATGAATTTTTAGCTGATTTTATTGGCAATAATGATGTGTGATTAGAATCAGCAAAAGAAAATCATCAGGAAGTGCCAAAAAAAGCTTTCTGCTAATGCGTTCTCGCTCATCTGAGTTGTGTTTTCTTGCCTTTCTATTCAATTTCCAACCATGTCTCATTGATGCTTATTTTGCAATATTCTTGCAATGTCTATTGATTATTCTGATTTGAATTTAAATTGATCATTTCACAACTTCTCAGCGAATGTTTCAAATGCAAACGCCTACGAAAGAAATGACTTTATTATCCACTGAGGATGACAAACTTTTCTCATGGAGAAATTTGAGGATGGAAAACAGAGAGCATCTTTTTCGCGGGGGATTGTCTTTTACCATCAAAAGACACATTCCACACTTGTGATGCTCTTTGCAAAAACAGAAAAGATGATTTTTTCTTACAAGAATGTCTACAAAGAATTCCACCTCAAACTCTAGCTTCTCGTTTTTCTTCACAACAATTCATTTGAATATTCATCATCTAAGGATTAAGAATGTACACATCATCTCGTCGTTTTTCTTAAAAAAGAAGAAAAAAAAATTGCAATTAAAATGGCTATTCAACAGTTTAGCGGCATCTAAAATTTTCTTTTTCTCATTTTCACACACTTGCCTATATATATAATTTAGTTAATGTCCTTAGCATTTTCTCTTAATGTCTTCTCCTTTCTTTTTTCTTTTGATAACCTCTCTGTCTGTCTTCTCTGAATGTGTCTTCTCTGATTTAGTGCATGTTCCAATCGTCTCGATTAAAAAGGGGCGTCATCTTCACCAACATTTGGGTCACTATGTGCAGCCAAGAAACAATCCGTTCACAAGTCCCTATTAGAGCTGGCTTGCTTGCAAAAGAGGAGGGCCGCGATGGCGGAAACGGGTACCAAAGCGTAAATGGTCATCCGGAGGATGTCCGATGGGCAGCACGCGGTGGCTGTGGGATTGATGATGTCCTGCGATGAGTGAGTCGTTGCTGATGGCGATGATGTCTTCAGTAGGATCCTATTTAATCGGCAACTAAATCAGAGAAATAATTCTCATGCTATTGCACTGCCTGACATCGTCGTGGGGCGTTCTTCGGCGCGGTCACGTAATCGCTCGTGATCCGAAGATTCGGAACTGCAAAAGAGCAGAGAGAGAGAGAGTGATCGTTACGCTTGCTGCAGCATTCAAAAATTCAAATTTTGACACTAAATTTCCGTCGCGCAATTCCATCGCCAAGAAGGCGTCGCACAATAAATCACGATAGAAGCAGTCACAAGACGTTCTTAGCCAAGAACTTGAGCCAAATTCCAAAAAAGTCCCACATGTGAATTACGCGAAGAGCAAAAAGCGCACAGTTAAACTTTAATTCCCACTTTTGGCAGTGCTCCTACAATTATGATTCCTCAGAGCATTTTCACGCGTTGCATAATTGAAAGTCGGTCAATTATTTACACCTCATCAAGAACCATTTGCCAATTATAATGGGAAATCACATTTTGCATCTCTCGCATACCTCAAACCATCCATTAAACGCTCTGTTCTCTATGACTTCCAATTTGTGCGCGTGAAAATTAAGTTGTGTCAAGGAGAGACAATATTTTATTAGATGTTGAGGAACATTTTCCACAAATTGCCTTGATGAAGTGTGTGTGTGTGCGCCTGAGAGATGTGGAAGTTGTGAACGAAAGTTAAATTATTTTAATTTATGAGCACTGGAAATTGTGCAGATGAATTGACGAAATTATTCTATTGGAAGTAAATCAATTATGGATGAATTTTCTTAACTTTGCTCCTTGTAACACTGAAAGAGACTCGTTACGGTCAGAGTTTCACCCTAACTTTTCCGTTTCTATCGGAAGAAGGAGTTTTTGGCAATATTAATTATTATGTATAGTTTATCGTGGGTTTTCACCGACTTTCTATCGTGAACAATTATATCATGTGGTTAACATATAGAAGTGAACTTCATATATACTCACTTTGATCTGACCGTCTTGGGACTCCCAGGATCGCTAGGCGTCGTGGTGTTGTTATTGTTCGTACTTGCGGACGATCTTCGCCCCGTGCTTGACTTCATATCGAAGATAGTCTCGTTCTCCAGTTCATTTTCAATCTGTAAGAACTTGACAAACCATCACCAACGTGGCACAATTGCAACTCAGCGCGCTGAGCAAGCGTGTCTCACCTGTCGCTTGTAGCACAGCCGCTCGCTGGAGTCAGAGCCACAGGAGGAACTTTCTGACACCGCCTGGGACACCGTTGAGGGTCCCGGAGGGCTACTTGGCATCGGGAACCGCTTTGAGCAAACCTGGGACTGAGATTTCAACGGATGATTCATGTGGTGATTGTCGGGAAAGTGTGTGCAAAATACCTGAATATGTTCACATATTCGGCGAAAGCGGCGAATATTGCCTGAAAGAAGTGTGAAAGTGATTGCAAAGAGCATATCGGCCACATCTCCCTGCTTGCATATTGCACTTATGTCCACTTGGAAGCGCACATGACGCTGAAACATGGCCGGACCCGTGCCATTGCGCTTGTACTCCACGCGAAATGACATTGGCGATATCACGCTGTGAGACAACTCCGCCATCTTGAACGATGCCATTGATCACTGTTAGTTTCCACAAATTTCTTACATCACATTCTACTCACCGAGAGGAATGCATGGATGAGGTGAGCCTTAACTGTGGCCAGGGGTTTCCCCTTCACGAGCACCGTAAACGTTTCGTCCTTCTCCGTGGTCATCAGATTCCCGAACCACGAGCGCTTCGTGAGTTCAGGTGATGAATCTGGCGTGAGGTGGACTTCATCTGAGGACACTGAGAATAATTTATCATCACAAATCCTCTGTATATTCATCAATCAAGTCACCTTGGAGTTTCCGCCTGTGGAAACGAGGACTGCCCAGAAAGCTGTTCTTGATGTTTGTCAAACGATTCTTCCACAGCTGACCGGCCGTGGAGGCGCACGTGGAGCCAGTCATGATGGGTGGCGGTCCTCCGCCCATGTGCGGTGATCCCGGCGGCGTCATCACCGAAAGTTGCACTGCAATGGCATATTCTCTGTAATGCACTTCCTAGAAGCCTTTTGGAATTACATTAGCCCAGCCATATAACATCCTTTGATGAGCATATAATCCCATTGCCCCACAGAGAAATGTTCTAGGAACAATAAATTAAATTAGGTGCTTTAGATTTGCCAGGATTTTACAGTGCGCAACGCATCCAAAAAGCATGTAATTTCCCTTCTATCCCTCTCCATTTAAATCGCTATAATGGAAATGATAACGATATGAATTATAAATTGTTCGCAAAGACTTGAGGCAAAAAACGTCTTAAGAGTGGGTGTTTCACGTGTTTCACCTCTGTTCTATACGAAATTTTTTACGCACAACATTTTTTTGGTATAAAGAAATAATAATCAGGATTTTCTTATGCCAAAACGACTCCGGGAAGATTTTCTTGTCTGACCGCGAGATCGAATATGTTAATATTCAAATTCAAACTCACGGCTGTTGGCGTCGGCATCGGGGAAGAGGCTGATGTTGATGGTGGGGCCGGAGTTGGTGCGATGGTGGGCCGGGGACTGCTCGGCGGAGATGATGGCGGCCGTTGGCGGTTGCAGTGAGTTGCGATTCGCAGGCACGACGGCGCCCCCGTGTGTGGAGTGCCTGGCCTGCATGGCTGGGGAGGCGGGACGCGAGCTCTGGCTGACTGAACTGAGTGCGGCCGGGGTTCTCGTGGGGCTGTGGTAGGAGGAGGAGCGCGTGGATGGCGCCGAAGAAGGTGACCGACGGTTATGACTGCGACCGTTGCTGTATGAGCGGAAGCTGTGAGGAAAAAGAGACATTTTCAGGCTCCCCAGAATGCACTTGGCGCTCCGCCAATGGTGTCAAGCCAGAGGCGCAGCGATGGAGAAAGAATAAAATTCTCACCCTCAATCTATAAACTTTAGATTGAGACTTTATTTAGCGATGAAATACTCACTTGAATGCCTGACGGCGTGGCGTTAGCGGTGAGCCCTCGCTAATCTGACCAAACGTAGCCACATTTTGGCCATTGATGCGACAAGTGTCCAGTCTCTTGCGTGGCGGATCCGGTGCTTCGGTATTCTCACTCCGGGAACGCCCTGGCTCCTCGTCATCCTCCAGGGCGGGTCTCCGCCTCTTCCGCTCCAACAGCAGGAAGTAAATCACCTTTTCCGTGTTGTGGCTGCAATAAAATCAGCCTCTGAGAAATCTGTGTCAACGCACAACCCAATGCGGAAGGGCGTCAATTAACGCGATGGAGAAGGGAATGTGGAATAATTGGTTGAGTGACAATTTGAGTTGTGAAATTGCATTTGGTTTGAGAGAAATGTTGTCGACAGGAAATTCTGCACACATAAAAATCGGTTTGTAGTCGTTCGGTTTGGAAAAATTAAATCTGCATCCAATTTACCATAAATGTGGTGTATTGAATTTTACGCCAGAAATTCAACAGGGATAATAAATTTTGGGGCACTCACTTGGGACTGAGCAGCTCCTGGATGAGTTTGTCCTTCTCCTTGAAGCAGCCCAGCGAGCAGATTGCATTGAGGACGTCCGGATCGACGGCGGACGCGGACGGGATGATGTGCGTCTGGACCACCTCCATCATGGGCAGCTCCAGTTCCAGTTCGCCCTTGCCGCCCGCCGTGACCCACGGATGGCGGTTGATCTCCTGTAGCGTGAGCCTCTTGTCCGGATTCACCTCAATCATGCCGCGCAGCAGACTCTGGCAATCCGGCGGCACAAAGTGCGGAATGTGAAACACGCCGCGCTTCACCTTCTCCAGCAACTGACGCAGATTGTCGTCATCAAATGGCAGAGCGCCAACGAGGAGAGCGTACAGGATGACGCCGCACGACCACACATCCGCCCGCCGGCCGTCGTACTTCTCGCCGCGAATCACCTCTGGGCAGGCGTAGTGCGGGGAGCCGCACGACGTCTCTAGCATGGAGCCGGCCGGCTGGAGGGACGCCATGCCGAAGTCGGCGATCTTGATGTTGTTCTTCTCATCCAGCAGCAAATTCTCGGGCTTCAGGTCGCGATGGCAGATGGAGTGCGAGTGGCAGAAGTCCAGGGCCGAGATGATCTGCCGGAAGAACTTGCGCGCCTCCTTGGGCGTGAGGCGGCCCTTCTTCACCAGGTAATCGAACAGTTCGCCACCCGACACGTGCTCCAGCACAAGATACCTTCGGACACGTGCGGCGTGGAAAGAAAGACAATGCGCATTTGACTTGGTAATTCTGTACCTGCGAGGCTGAATGGGGGTGTCTTTGTGGGTGGCTTTGAGGAGAAAAATATATATGAATAATTGAAGAATTGCCCAGAGGGTTAATTAGAGCATTCAAAAGGTCAAACTTTGAGTTCAGCTCAGCTTGAAGGGAGAATTTTTGAAAGAAAAGCATTTTCCAGTTAAAGAAAATGGGGAATTTTTTTCTAATAATTTGCAGATTTGAGTGTTTTGCATTTTTGTAGCATCTCAACAACTAGAGTTTGTAATCAATCAAGTGTTAAACTTCGAACTCGAGATTAATTCAATCGTCAGAACACAAATAGCCCAAAGGCATGAATTCTCCAGCGATAATATTTGCGCAGTTATTCATCTGAACAGTTTATAAACTAGAGAGAAAATCGATGTCTTCGCCACCTTGGAAAGTTGATCGAATTTATAGAAATCGCACGTCGAATAACTATTTCTGGATTCATTGTGGGAATGATGTTGGATCGTCATAAGCCATCTCTGGCGCAAATTCTCTCCGAAATACCATCTGACGAAGTGAAGATAAGCATCAATGAATTAGAAGTTCAATCGGCACCACCGGCCCCCCGCCCCGAAGAAAAACCCACCCATCGTATGTCTTTTTATAGTGACACGCGGAACTCTACATTAGACTGGTGTGTGACAAAACAACAGATTCCTCTGGTTTCCGCCCACGTTAAGATTGACCATGAATATTCAGGAGGAGGAAAAAGTCCGCCGGAGTTCAATTGAATTAGATTTGCAAAGTGACGCGCGAGGTGAAAAGTGAAATGGCTGAGCAAATAAAGGCGGAATTGGATGGGGTGTGAAAGGGAAAGGATCAGACCAGATGGCCATTCAGCGATTCAACTTACAAGTACTTCTTATTCTCGTAAACGTCCGACAGGCCGAGCACATGTGGATGGTCGATTAACTTCATAATGGCAATCTCCCTCTCGACCTGAAACAATGAGGCGCATCACCAGTCAATTCATATGCAAACAACTATACTCAATAAAGTGCATTTTTCACAACTCTTCTCACAGCACGACGATAGAGAGAAAGAGTGGCTGAAAGTCACTGCAAAACCACACTTATTAGTCATTATATGCTGAAATTCCACCGAATTGCTGGTGGGTGATTGATGAGCCAGGGTTTCAGCAAATTCATGCATACTTTACTCGTGTCAATTAACCCTGTTCTTGAGCTAAAGCGAGAGGGTTGCTGTGAAAAATTTATCAGTCCTTCACTTGACAATGGTACAAAGTGAATTTCAACGATTGAACATTCAATCCTTGCACACTAAAATCTCTATTTTCCAGTAGATAATTCACACATGCATGAGCAAGGAAGGCATACAATTTCAAATCGACCTCCCAAAAGTATGGAAATGACAGAAAAGCCTCTCTGAATGAAGATTAAAAACTCCCTACAATGAAGTATTGTGTGAATATTGTTGAATAGCACATGCATTTTGTTAGGATGCAATCAATAATCCGATTCGCATGGACTTTAATTGCTCCGCGGAGGAGCAATAGAGGCGAATAGCATGCGAGAATGGGGTGTTAAAAATATATAAATCCCACCTTCATCAGCACAGATTCGCTCAATTTCTCTCTGTTGATTATTTTGATGGCCACCTTCTTGCCCAGCACGCAGTGCACGCCGAGCTTCACGAGGCCCGTCTGGCCCTTGCCCAGGGTCTTCTCGAGTCTGTACGGGCCCACGTACTGGTAGCTCTCGCCCGTGGAGTTGCCCTCCTTCTGCATGGTGACTTTAGTGACTCTGTTTCCACGGTTTGACCTCACAGATTCCACCGCATTAAGCTGTGTCGCCTCTATGACGATTCCACTGAGAGCGCCTGCGGAAGATTGGCACGAAGATTAAGTGTATTGTCCCGATATCCAAGGATTTAATTGAAATTCTGCAGAAATTCCGGCCCTATAAAATTGTTCGAAAAGATCAGCTCGTCCTTAAATGCCTGACAAATCCTCAGCACTAAGTGTATTTACATAAGAGGTAAAACTTGTGGGTTAGGCAAATATTGATTGTTGCTTAACTAACTTAGGAACTTATGTAGTGATGAATTGAAGAATTCCTCTACACACGGAGGTGAAATAATACCATTTTTAAAGCTCTAATAGAGTTGTCTAAAAATTGGCGCACATATGAATTTGTCCAACTCAATTTGCGTGCTCCTAATTGCTTCTGTATCACACCATTTTCACATTGCAAATTACATGGAGTCTCTGTACAGTGAACTTTTCATGCAATTGGGCAATAATTTCACATATTGACAGCGAGAAAATATATTACAGACAACCTCGTCCTTGACCTATTCCTCATCACTCCCGACTGTGGTTTATATTTAAATTGATGAAATCCTACGACAGCTCTGAGGGCGGAAATTGCCTGGCATGGCTTTTCTCCGTGCAAAGTGCGAAGTTTTTGCAGTGCAAAAAAAAATCGTGTTTCTGTTTAAAACAATGTAAAAAATATAATTTGGACATGATAAAAACGCCTGTATGGCTTCTGGTATTCCAAGAACACTTGGAATTCGTGAGTTTTCAAATAGGGTCGTGCGGGGCAAATATGGCCATTTTTCCACATAACATTTCCCCAAATGCACTCTATAAAATTTCTATTTTATCCATATTTTTTGGATAATCAATTTCAAATGAAGTTAAAATACATTTGTGACTTTTGAAAGAAAGTCTGTCAACAACTTGACGACATCTTCGTGAAATTGGAATTTGGCCAAAAGGAATGCTGTAAGATTGGCATATGTTGAATAGCCAAAAACTGCGCCATTAGAACTCTCGAATCTACAAATAGGAAAACAGGATATTTCTAAGATGATTTTTTGATTCATGCACAAGAATCAAGCTCATTAGTTCACCTTTCAGAGTCAAGACATAAATTTTGCTTGGTTGTTAACTATCTCTAACTTTTCAAAGAGTCACTCAAATATCGATTGGGCTGCAAATGAGATTCATTGCTTTGACCCAGAGTTGGTCAGAAGAGTCCCACACACTCGTATTCTATTATAAAATTCATAGAAGTATCCTGAATATTTCCTGAGAAACACAAACTATCGCTTATGCATTATTAACATCGCGCTGTGCACTTCTATCCGCGATGGAAACTCCGTGAAAAATCACATCTGCGGTGTAATGGCCTAGACCACAAGGTGTGTGGCATATAGGCTAATTTGCCAGGCTGTTAGGCAGATTTCTCTTCTTAAAAAAATGAGTTATTGCGGCACGTACGAATGTGGGAGTGACAGTGGGCGATGTGGAATAACTAAAAGTAAATCAATAGGGTGTGTTTTGTAGCATAACCTTTGCTTTTGGGGGGTGCTTTTGATGTCGTGCACATTCTGAAAAATTGCACATTGTCCCATACATTGCACAATAAATGAATAGAAAATGGTATGTGAAGAACTTTTCTAATTGCACTGTGAGAATTTAATTATATTGACTATAAATTGGAGAGGAGATTAAAAGGGGATTTTCCGCACACTTACATTTCCGGCAGCCGAAGAAAATGGTGAAAAGTCTGCCAGTGCCATGCTTGAAAATGCACAAAAGTCCTCGCGCGAGAGGGTGTGGGAGAGATGCACTCTCTTGTCTCTTTGGCCCTCGTCAGCACTCTGGGCTGTCGCGTCTTGGGCAGATTGGGGTGGATAGAGGCGCCCCCGCAAGTGCTAGGCCCCTGGGTGGTACAGTCCTCTCACAGACAACACACTCGCTGATGGCGAAATCACGAGGAAATTGACTCAGTGTTCAGTGGTGAAAAGTTCGTCGCCATCTTTTGCGGGGAAAAATCAATATTTCAGCAGTATGTTCCACCTCGATGCTGCACCTTTGCTAAAGATGTCCCCGCTCAGCCTCGCCTGGATCGTCTCGAGCACCATCATTCACATTTCCTGGCCTCTGGCGCGCGGAAAGCACAACACTATATGTGGAAAAACCTCAGCGGATCGATGGCCGTCGATCACGCGCCACACTTTTGTTGGGCGAAAGGGTTCTCGTGCGCGTCAAACTGAGAATGCACTGGCAAACACACACACAACACACACGAGCCCCCACGAATTTAGGGGCGCGCACAGAGCCACGCAAGAGCCTCAGGTCGCGCGAAGTGTGTGGATGTTGAGAAGAGATGTGTGCCGGAAGGAGCGCTGACACCCGCGACCGTGTCCAAATGTCCAGCAGGACTTCGTCTTTGCTACTGTCGGAGCACTCAAAAGTTGAGGAATGCGTTGAGGAAAGGGAAGAAAAGTGACAGTTTGGATGACTAACACGATACTCTCTCTCTCTCTGGAGGGGAGAATCGCACAAGGGTTGAAATCCTGCGCATGACTCTGAGACCGACAGAAAAACATTAAACCCACACGTTCAATGAGGGTCGCTTTCGGCGGTGGTGAAAAAATTAGGGTGACTTTGCCCACATTTCACACTAATTGCCAACCTCTTTATCACTTCCACGCACTGGCTCACAAATCAAAGAGAGAGAAAATGAGGGAGAGGTGATTTACTTATCCCGGAAACCCACTCTCCCTAAAATCCCCAAAGCCTCTACAATGATTTCCATTTGGCTTTCCATTCAAATTCAAAATTTTCCAACCTGTTTTATCGACAAACTTTGGAACAGGAAAAAAGAACTCGCTTAATGCGTTTCTGACCGCAAAATATAACTCAAATAAATAATCTGGATGGTGTTATTGTAAGAAAGACAATTGAAAAACCATATTCCAATGAAATACACCATTTATGGGCACCTTCTTTATTATCATATTGCTGTTGACATGTCAATAGAAATGCAAGTTACAGCCTAAAAGGGTTACAACGCTCCACACAAATAGTTACAAAAGTCGTGAAAGAGTTGCAACGCAAAGTTGTGCATATATTCTTTGATTTTATGTATGCGGTTCAACAAGGGATGGAAGGCGAAGGCTTCTCAACTGACTTTCTCCACCAATTCCTTCTTTCCTGAGCCTTCAAAAGAGAACTTATGGCCAAGAATTCCCTTTTGCTTCTACCCACGATGCCTTCCAAAATAAAAAGCTGAGAAGCCTATCTGTTAAGTTTCTCTTTTTTCCTATAAGTTATCAATTCTCATCTCGCAGTTACAATATTCCCAGTGTGAGTTTTTGTGTGGTAGAAAAAAGATGTAGTGAAAGTTCGCAGTACGATTTATGGGGGCGCTTTTAATAGGTACAAATATGCATCAGAAATTAGTTATATGCGGATGTGCACATCCCTTCACTAGCCATGCCTTCAATTATCTCTTTAACAACTTTGATAAACTCTTCAAATGGTTCAACAACATTTTGTACGACGCATTTCCTACCATGTTCAAAAAACGTGTGTCACCTAAAGTAAGCACTAAGTGTGGAGATTGTGAAATTGCTTTTTCTCCAACTTTACACGCATTATCATCTCTAAAAAAATACAAAATAACGCTTCTCTCTGTCTCTCTCTTTGCAATTCTTCAGCACAAATTCTTTGATTCTTCTCACTCTGTTGTCGATTTTATCACAAAAATATTATCAATATGTATCCATTTATCAATGTCTCAATGATAGATTTTCCTTTGTATTGTGCTATGTTCATTTCAGGAAGGGTGAGAAGTGTGAGAGGGTGATAAAGCTCTGTCGCTAGAGTGTCTCTGCTACTGCAAAAGCTGCAGGCGAAAGATTTGATCTCATATAAATTACACTTGTTGCATTTCACTAACAGGACAGTTTTTCCCATGTTTTATATAGATATTTCTCTTATCTTCTTCTTCTAATGTGTACGCGAACCCTTAAACACTATGAAATGTAGAGAGTCCTTCCAAATTTGATATCTTCAGCGCTTCTGTGTGCGCTTGGGGGTGCTCGGGGGCGTATTGACAGAGATGATGCTGATCTGCGAGCCCGAGCGACTCGCGGACGTCAGGCGGGGCACTGAAGTCACGGAGCCGCGAGCATTTGGTGCGCATCCGACATAAATAGCCGATCCGGTGCCCACATTTGAGAGATCAACGCGAGATCCATGGACGGATGTTGGAGCGGATCCTGAAGCGCGCACAGTGAAAGGAAAAGCAACAGTTGAGTTAGTTGGTTACACTGTCAGACCAAATAGTGACTCCTAGTCTACCTGTGTAGGAGTACAGCCCCGCAGGGCTGCTCCGTGGTCTCAGAGAGCTGACAGTGCTGGCTGATCGATGGAGGCTGGTCGTGGGCTTCGCCTCCTCGTCGATCTCGCTGGGCAGATCGTGCAGAACTGGATCTCTGCTGACTCTGTGACTACGTCGCGGCGACGTTGGGCACGATTGCACGCCTGCCGGCGCCAATCTGCTGCGCGATGTGGAAGATGAGCTGCTCTTCCGTCTGAAAATGCCCTTTCCCGTGCTCGAATTGCACATCCCTGATGGTGGTCGCGGTGACATGCAAAAGAGGCATTTTATATGAACGATTTTCTTCGCTCTTTCATAATCTTTTTTTTTCTCTAGACCAAAAGTTTCTGGTTTTATTGTTGGTTTGGGAGTCAAAGAAAAAGCCATCACACAATGGAAGGGGTGGGAAGTTGGTTTTTGGGCAGGAGAGTACACTAAAAGCATGGGAAAATCAATGATGTTTTGAGCAAAGTCATCACACAAGCCAATGAAGAGCAGCCCCTAAAAAATGTCTTACGTTTTTTTTCTTTTGGTTTTATTTAAGCGAATGTGTTGAAATGACATGATTTGTCAGGCAAATGAGGATGGATGCTACTTGTCCCAATTTTCCGTTTGAAAATCTAAATAGTACGAAACACTTTTTCCACCTGTCGGACACACTTCGCCCCGCACGCAGTGTCCCTCGCAGATGTCCTTGTTAGACAGCAGCTCCTCGTAGTTGTTCACTGTTGATGCAAGAGGAAATTAAGTTATACAGCGCACTAATGCCACCCATGGAGAGTAATTGAAATGCTATTTATTCACAACTCACGTGCATCGTTGCACTGCTGGCGATCCGCGAGCTCCAGAGCTAAACTTGGAAATCTCTCTTTCAGTCGCTTCCTCTCCTTTTTATGCCATCAAGTACATAAGTTTTTTTCCACATGCAATATCAGATCAGCGATGGAAAGGGAAAGAAATTAGCTTTTGCCTCTGATTTTCTATGTGGAGATGTTTTGCACAAGCGAAAATTCTGTCTTCTACGAGATATGAAAGCCATATAGTGTGTAAGAAGTGGAATTTCAATGCCAAAGTAGATTATTAATTCAACTTCTTGTCTTTCTCGGAATTCACATTGAGTTTGGTGGGCCAACTGTTGTCACACTGTTTGGCCAAATGGACGAAATTCTGTCACGAACAGCGTAATTCACAAGAGATTTCAGCAGCAAAAGTAGACTTCATGCGCTTGAAGACACACGAAGGCTTTGCCATTTAAATTGATTGCACACTTTTGGGACACTTTCAGTGGCGTTTGACCTCAGAAATGAGACAGAATGAAGGCATTTGAGATGTCTAAAACACTCCAAAACAAATGCGCACTTAATTTATCTTGTCAATCATCAGCTAAATTCCATTCTTCTCGTTACTTGGAAATGCATAGAGTTATTGCATCAATCAATGTCAAGAACATAACTTTAGAGACAATTCCGATCATTTACAGAATGCGATTCAACTCACCTCCAGCAGCTTGAGACTTTCGAATTCCTGTAGTTGATTCTGGAAGCCGAGATTGGGATTCGCCACTGCCCGGCCGGCACGCACAACTTTAAGCGCTTCGCGCCACGTGAGCGGCGTGACGGACATGATGTACGCCACGGCCACGGTCACGGAGCGACTCATGCCGGCCAGGCAGTGGATGAGGACGTTGCCGTCCCGTAGGCGGGCCGCGTGAATGAAGTCATTGCACACGGTGAAGTACTGCGAGAGGTTCTGGTCGGGCGTGTCTGCCGCCATCACGCACAGGTAGTGCTTGTCAGGATGCAGGCGCCGCGGACTGTCGTGAATGGCGAGAATGTGCGTTATGCCGTGTCTGTCCAGCTGCTGTGGATCCTTGCTGTCACGATAGTTGCCCACGTACAGCCCCGGAAGCACCTGCGATGACGAGTATTTACTTCATGCGACTCAATTCTTAACCGAGATGGATTAATTTGCGTGATGGTCATTTCGAAATTCCGCGCGAGAATCACGCACAGATGTTTTTTTCTTTTTTTTTAAGAAATGAGAGGCAAAAGCATGAGACGCCGGGGTTAAGGTACCTTGCTCATTTCCCAATTCATCACCATACTTTCCTGCCCTCCAAGCGCCCGCGAGATGGTGTGACTTGGGCGCACGAACAGGTGAGCACCAACTAATCCGCACCGACCGCAAATGCTAACTAAACATGAAGGGAGTCACTGCAAACAGTGGAAGTCCCATCTACCCCATGCTGTATATATGTAATAACTTTGCAACAGCGCCGATTTGCTTCGTTCTGCATCGGATATCACATAGGATTTGCGGGTGAAACCTGAGAATGTCGCGGGCGGAACTTTGTTCAAATGCACACACAGGCAGATTAAGAGGATGTTCATCTGGAAGTTCCTCAATATTCCTCTCCGGCCATTGTGGTTTTATTTGTATATTTCGCGGGCAACCCTGAAAATCCTCCTTGGGTCTTTCACTCTTCCTCAATTCTTTATCAAATTTCTTGGGGACGCGCGCGCTGGTCTGGATGAACGCGAGAATGACTTCCAGGGAAAACTGCTGACGTGTCCTGTACTTTAATAATTTCTTAATTGCCCAACAAAAGTGTCGTTCAATGAATATATTCCACTGCTTTTTCGAGACATGCCATCATGAGCGCGTTTTTGTTGGCGCCCGAGCAATTTACATAAGAATACATTTTTTCAATAAATTATGAAAAGCATGCTTTTAAGGAAAAAAAACTCATGCATCGCGCGCTCACCTTATTCATGCCATTTCCCATTTCGGTGGTTCACGAATTCCCCTTCTTTCTCCTTTCCTTTAATCCTTGAGCAAGTAAAACAACAACCAGTTGGATTTCCGTCTCGGCTAAATGGGAAATTTAACGAGACGAAAGAAAAGAAATGAAGAAGATTCTGGCATTTCTGTGCGCATCTTTTGCATCAATTTCTGCCGTCCTGAAATAGAAAATTTTCTCATTACATTACTCGCCATTTCATCTCCACATAAGTTGCACATCGTAGTCATTTGAGGAGTAATAATGGATATTGCACAGTCTTGTCAGTTTCTCAGCGCGATATTCTCAAGAAAGACTTTTCATGCCGCCATAATTTCTAATGCCCATCGACTCATCCTTTCGGCACGGGTGAAAATGTGTGTTCCTTGTTTAACACACAATATTCTTCACCCATCGACTCACGCATGGTAAATTGCTGGTAATGAATGGAACTTTAAAGTCACGCCCAACCCCATGTTTTGATCTATCGAGTTTTATCGATATGTGAATGAATTTCCCTAGTCACAAATCAGACGTTGCGCTCCACGGAACTTTTCTAGCCCACCTAAATTGTATACTTAATAAATTATTCTCATACTCAGCGTCAGAACGCAATCGTCAAATATTTTATTGTATCTAATAATATCCTTGTGTGCTGGGAAGGCAGTTTTGTTGGCTATTAATTACATTGTGTACACAAAACAGAGCCAGAGAACTTCTCACAGGCAAATAAGAGGGTGTCGGATCACTGAAAATTGACCGTAAAATAGATGACAACATCGTAAAACACATACTATTTATTGTATCAGATTTCTTTCTCTTTCACCAATTTGGTCTGCATACACTTCCACATTGGAAAATTTAAAGTGCACGCAGGAATAATAACCGTGGGCGTAATTGCAACTTTCTGCAACACAGCTTGCTCTTTTCAAACCTACGCAATTTTCAGATCATCATTTCAAATATTATGGCATTTAAAGAGCAGCTTGAGCAGCGTAATAACCAGATTTTTCTCGTTAAAAATAAATATAATTGGTAAAAATCACGCAATAATTTAATTCTTTTCCTACTCTTTTTTATTTTTGATGTTTTAAAGAGAGTTTTCATTGCATTAACTTTATGTTCATGCAAAATATGCTATCTGTTTTCCTAAGAGATTCCTAAGAAGGCACCGAGAGCTTTTCAAAAATGCCTCATTTGCACAAATCGGCGTGAGTATTACATGATGGTACATAAAGTAACGAAAACTCATCCCATCGGCAATTTATGACCCCCAGAAAAGCGCCATTGATTGGGAGACGGCAATACAGCTGCTGTGAGCAAACAGTGCTTTATGACCTACACTTCATCTCCTTCGGGTGGTGTGACACGCTGGGCCGATGCACTTCCCGCTTCGCCACCGTGCGTGGAGGAGTTTTGCGCAAAGTCCAACTCCCTCTCGACTTCTCTTGGACTCGTATATAGTTCAATTACTTTGACCAATTATGCCGGTTTTTGGGCATGAAACAATTTGTCGCATCATCAATCAAGCGTAGAAGTAAATTATTATACATTACATTGATTTTTTGTGGCCACATAAATCACAGTGTGAGGAATTAGCACACCCTTGTGACTCCCACTGACCCACTTCCGCTAACCTGAACAACCCTGTCTGCAAATTACTTCTCTGCATTATTTTCCAAGTGAGCCGAATTGGCAAGATATTGAGAAGTATATTTGCCTATTTGGTCTCAATCGCGCGACTCACACGCGGAAGGAGAGTTGGAGGACAAAACACAAACATATTGTTGGGGGTGCTTTTGACTTTCCCCAGCGCGAGGAAAAATCAATAAAGCCTCATTGTGCTGGCGAATTCATGGCACAATCACCTTATTTTCGGGCAAGTGAGTTCCGCTGGAGCTCCTCGGAAGTCACCACAGTGAATCTCATGCCCTCTCATCCGCCCTGCTGTCTTCCACCGTCCTTGGCCACGGCCCGTGGATATTTTCATGCCACCGCAGTTGCCCTGCGTTGGCATAGAGACTGGCGATGGCCCAGGAATTCCACACTGGTGTGGCGTTCGCGGGTAGAGAACACAGAGGCGCACAAATGAGTCGAAGACGACAGACAATTTAGCCCCACATTCGACGCGTTCGAGGAACCAAAGATGACACTGAATGGGAGGAAGTCGTGTGTGTGTGTGTGTGAAGTGAAAGAGTTCAGGTCCTGAAAAATGGTCGTGTGAACTCGCGCGACGGACTTGAAGAACGCGACTGGCAGGAGAATGCAAAACGCACGACTCTGGATGCTCAGGCCAGTGTCGAAGAGTGAGGAAGACGGTTCTATGTCACTATGCGAGGGGAAGATTACAGTGTGGCGCCCAATAAGAACACCATCTGCCAGAGAGAGAGTGAAATTTTTGGAAGTCGCAACAGACCCAAAAAATACGGGACGCCAGCAGAGAATTATTCAGGCCAGAAAATCGCGTGTGAGGCGACGATAAAAAATACAATGGTTTTTGGGGAATTTTGGCAGCAAACTCCAAAGAGCATGACTGACGTCAATGGGCATGATTGGAGAGGCTCAGCGCACTATCAATCTCATTACTTTCGCATTAGTGCATCGGCTTCATGTCCAATTGTCGTGCCTATTTTCCACCACCAGTCGATAGTAAAGCGATTAGAAATTTTATTTATAGCCTCACAGCATCCGAAATAATGGGATTAACGCGATTTTCAGAGGTCATCAGCTCCGAAAGGAGCGAGCTTTAACAAGATTAAGCACAATCGATTTGCTTACTGGAGAATTCATATGCTTATCAATAGGGGAGATTGGAGCTGAATTGGGTTGATATTCTGCGTGTTTTGTGTGAGCTCTTGAATTTTTGGATGGAAATAATTCCAGTTTTACGACATAAATATTGTTGTAGTAAATATTAAATCTTGATGTGCGCAATTCACACCATTTAAATCAAACTTTGACTAACAATAAGCGTCAAAGTTGCTTGAAAATCTACTTGTATGGTGAAAAATTTACCGCATGTCTTTCGTCCAGCATTCATATCAATTATATTAATCATCCGGTGGCGAAGCTCAATGCCCGAATTGGAAGTTTATTTCTCTTCACAGCAAAGAGAATATTTGTGCGCGTGAGAAAAAAAAATGTCAATTCTCTTTTGCCCATATTTACAATGAAATTCATCCATTCACAAAACATCCAAGACACTGAACGACAGTGAGTCAACTGTTTTTTCACGTGAATGATTTTCTGCTGCTTACATCATCGCGATCACGTCACAGACACACTAAATAGTTTTTCTGCCATCTTTCGCCTATTATTTATACCCATTTAAATATTGGCGCGGCACGGTTTTTTTCCCTGCTGGCAGCGCAGGATCGTAGGCGCGATGGGAGGAGGAGGTGTTTGTACATAAGCACCCACATGAGGAGATCGCGGTGCTTCGAGAAAGACCGAGAAGATTTCTGCGCGCGCCACACAATATTTCATGGCGCGATTTGATGGTATTGTGCTGGCGCAGTGGCGTCGATCGCTGATCATTTTCCAATATATGAAAATCTTCTCTCTCCCTACTTCGCTGCCCTCGCGGAACACGCTCACCTCGCGCTGCGATTGTGTGAAGAGTGCCAAATTGGGAAGTCTCTCGATCACAACACTGTTGGTCCGCGATTGATGGTTGAGAGAGTGCGCCAGTGCGCGCGGATTATTTGGCCACGATCGCCGTCTCTGAGTGATCGCGAATGTGTCTGAAGATCACTTATTTTCTGCAGTTATTTATAAATCTGATGTCTGTTTCGTCGTGAAATCGCAGTTAGATTTTGATATTCTTACACACTCCTTCAGCGGTGAGTGATCAAAGAGGATAAGTTTAATGCTCAATAAGACGATTGTGAAAATTTCCACACAAAGTGTGCCTGCAAATTGAAGAAAAGTGATAGAAGAGAATAATTCGACATCCTGGATGAACTATTGCCTCTCTAAATGTGATGATCACACGTAATAATCAAGTGATTTTTTAGTGATTTTCCTCCTGTGAATTCTTTCCACTCCATTTTTTTTCTTTCTCTTCTCAAGACTCAGTTACGCAATTTCAGTATAGAAGTGGATTAAAGGCAGAAAAAAAGAAGTGGGAAAATCCATCGAAGAGAGATTGGTGTGTTGTAGATTAGCGTGAAGAAGGGAAGAGATTATTAGGAACTGTGTGTAAAGATGAAATCGTCTGTGATAAATTCTGGCAACGGTGGCGCAGCTCCCCAGCAGACAGCCACAAGTTCTGCCCAAATAGACGGCAATAACAATCCTCAGCAGCAGCAGCAGAATCCGCGATATCCCTTCTATGTAAGTTGTGTTGGAAAACCATGATCGAAGATTCTTTGTCTCGCGTGCGATGATTAATTCGGGTTCATCCCTGAAAAGTGGTGTACAAAATGAAAATGTGAGAGAAGAGAAGAGTCACTTGTCTGTTTATTAATAGAAATTGTGGAATTTTCTGGGTCACATTAGAGTGTTGGAAAATGGCATGAAGAGAGCGAGCGAATAGGCGGATTGTGAGTCATTAGGATGTTGTGTGGCTAGTTGAGGGACAATCAGAGCTTCCTCGAGATGTCACAGGAGAAGTTCTCAAGTGCCCTTGACTCTCTCCCTCTCCTTCTCTCCCTCTCGCCTGAGAAATCAATTTAATTCTCACACTCATGAAGTTTAGCAAATAAGGTGATATGAAATAATATGACTTGTTTTCTGGCTTGAGAATAAAAAGCAAACACAGAAGAAAACAAACAAGACACTAAACATCGAGTATTGAGGAGTTTTCTGAGTAATGTACACATTATGTATAAGTTAACCCTTCCACGACCATCGAAGCAATCAGTATAACCGATAAAAGAAATTATGAAAGAAATTCTCATATTATTGTATTTACTTTAAGGACTTCAATATGGATGATCCTCGAGACTTCTTCACAAATCCCGCACTCAGATCTCGACTGAGTCGAATGAGAAATCCGTGGAACATGAACTTTGGGGCGCCAAGGAAGCGCCAGGCGTCAAATCAAGCCCAGGAGGAGGAGGACAGTGGCTTCGTGGAGGATCCACATGACAGCTTCTTCAGCAAGTTCGATCCACACTGGAGTGAGGCTGGGCAGTGGCCAAGGAGCAACATCCGGAAGCGCCAGCCGAATGATTTTGGCCACGGTGACTTCTTCGATCACTTCCCGGCGGAGTTTAGACAGTATATTCCAGACGATTTCGGCTTCCACCATCCGGTGACTGTGCACCAGCATCCGCCCCCACGCCAGGCGCCCCCACAAGCTGAGAAGCCACGCTTCTGTGACGCGGCGATGCAAACAGATGACGAACCGCCCACTGGCGACACTCCACAAACAGGTAAGACAGCGGAATTTGACCGTAGGAGTGCGCGTGAAAAACTAATTTGGGGCTCTCTCTTGTGTGTATTTCAGATGAATCTGCGCCGCTGAAGCAGCACGGATTGCGGAACACGGTGGATTTGGGACAGAAATCCCCGCCTGAGGAGATTGGCGAACGCGCCAAGAGCGCTCCGCCAGAGTCTGAGACTGAGATCCCACAGACATCAGCTGAGGAGCCACCGCCGCCGGCGTCACCCTCGCAGGCAGTCCGACATATTCCAATCATCGTGGAGCGCACGGAGAAACCACCAGTTCCGCAGCCCCCAAAGCGTGGTGTGTCACAGAAGAAGTTCGTGCTGAAGCAGGAAGCACCGGCAGAAGTGCCTGAGACGCAGCCCGAGGCTCCGCCGACGCCCTCAGCCGAGTCCATCGCGAAAATCCAGCAGATTCAGAAGGATGTACTGGAGTTGATGTTCAAAGTGGAGGCGTTCCAGGGCACATCACGGTCGGACAAGGAGTACATGTTTCTGGATGAAATGCTGACGAGGAATCTGCTGAAGCTGGACACGATAGACACCAAGGGGAATGACAGCATAAGATTGGCCAGACGTGAGGCCATCAAGTGCATCCAGGCCTCCTTGTCTGTGCTGGAGGCGAAGGCTGATGGCGCCGGCAAGAGCGCCCAGGACACCCAGGACACACAGAAAACCGAGGAAAAGGCAGAACCTGAAGCCTCCGCACCTCCTGATGAGCCTCAAGAGGAGGCGAACACTGCCGAGAGTGCCGTGCAGGCGGGAGAATGTGAGAGTGCTTCTGAAGAGGTGGACAAGTCGAAGATTCCCATTCCTCTGCCGCCCATTGAGCCGCTGCCGCAGCAAGTTGATGAAGATGGTCAGCCCGGCGATGGGGAGAAGCTGAAGAAGAAGAAGGTCATAAAGAAAGTGGTGAAGAAGGAAAGTGAATCCACTGCCCAGAATGATGATCAACAGACGTAAATCTTCCTATCCACCCGAGAATTTTCATGTGATTCACACTCTTCTCTATCATGCGTGTATATAATGGCAAAAATTCGCCTATTTACACAACTTCAGCTGAGGCCACAGAAAAAATACGACGTGGGTTTATTTTGGTAACACCCAGAGAGTGAGGGAGAGAATGTTCTTCGGTGAAGGAAGAGATACGTTTTATTAATAATTTAGAGGAGAGTATCTGAGCATTGGGGAATTCCCAACGTACTCCCATTGTGTGCGAATCTCTCACTCTCTTGCACACCCACGCAGAATGGGAGCGCCTCTGGACATCGCGGAGAGAGTGTGATCACGTGAAGAGCATCACTGAATACCATCTTAATTTATTGAGAAAAACGAAAAACAATATCATTTTAGAGAGCGAATTAAAGCTATAATTGTACTTTTAAAGATTATGACTACGGTTGACTTTTGTGTAATTTCTAAAATAAAACACACATTATGTATCATGGATAAATTGGAGACACTTCAGAAGCCCGCTTTGGTGGTGAGATACTCCTGGGATGAATTGCTGGTGGCGTACTTCTCCCTCAACTTCTGTCGGTCCTGCATTCTCTTCTCGCGCTCGACTTTTCGCTTCTTGGACAGACGATCGTGCACGCGCTTCATCTCCATGATCTCCTTCATCTCCTCCTTGTCATCGTCCGTCATGTTGAGGCGCAGCACCAGCGCTCTTCTGCCGTCCGACATTGGCTGACTGTAGAAATTGAGCTTCTTCAGTCTCTCTGCCGGCGCGACGCCACGCTCGACCACGAGAACAATTCGTGCCCACTGTCGTTGCCACTCATTGCGCGTCTCGGCGATCTTCTGGTACGTGTTGCCCATCATGGCGATCAGCATGTTCACCAGCAGCACAGCCACGATCACCATGAACACCACGAAGAGCACCTTTCCCTCCATTTCGTGGTTCGTCAGCTCCATGGCCGAGTAGTAGTCGCCAAAGTTGCCCAGCGACATCAGGAACATGGCCACGAAGGACTCCATGGGCGACGGCACGGGATTCGTCTGGCTATCGTCGATACCCTCGGGCGTGGTGGGATTGTCAAATGATAGGAAGATGATGTAGTAGGCCTGCGAGAAGCCCATCACGAACACGAGGTAGATGGAGACGAAGCGCAGCAGATCGCCCATCACCATTCGGTAGATCATCACCACGAAGGGTCCGACGGTCTTGAAGCCGCGGCAGAAGAAGAGAAAGTAAGGCGCCGTCGTCAGCATTATCACCACAATCACATGATCCTCCATCTCAGTTGAGCAGGACAGCCTCAGCCATGGCATGACCATCATGAGACAGCAGGAGAACAGAAACATCACTCGCGAAGGCGCCGTCGACTGTCGAAGAGAAGGTGAAGAAGACAAAAGCATGTAATATATATTATAAATTTCTTGAATTTGTCGTAATTTTCACACGGAATGTTTCGGAATTTCTTTATTCAATCTCAACACTTTTAAGCATAGTTTCATAAATATCAGTGCGTCTGTCCTCGAATGATCTTCTGGATTTCCTTGAATCCTCACAAAGACCAACATCTGAAAGACATCATGCATTATGCATAGAATTAATCCATCACGCCAATCTCTCTACATAATCTATATTACCAATTGCCGCCACGACAATCTCCTCCTCTTGGGCGGCTCTGCAAACAATCTCGCCATTGGGATTGACCAGCGCTGAATGACCCCAAGTCACGTGCGCGGATTTCGCGTCACGCGCAGGTGAAATCATTGCCACGAAGCTTTGCGTGTCCACGGCGCGAGCTCGCTGGCACACATCGGCATAAAGAGTGCCTGTGGAGATTGGCCAGGCGGCCGGGATGACCAGTAGATTGCATCCTTGCTTCCTGTAGAGTCTCCAGAGTTCCTCGAAGTGGATGTCATAGCAGATGCCGAGGCCTATTTTCACCCTTCCGATGGGAATTGTGGCCAGATTGTGACCGGCAGTGAAGACATCTGACTCTCTATTTGCGCCAGCATCGCTCAAGTGGAGCTTCCGGTATGTGGCCAGGAGACAGCCTTCCGGAGACCAAACTGAGCAAGTGTTGTAAATGATGGAGGGGTTCCGGTGATCCTGTTCAGGAATTGAGCCACCGCAGATGAAGATCTTCAGTTCCTTAGCCAGTGTGGAGAGATGGGAACTGGTTTCGCCGCCAGGAATGACCTCAGCATTGATCCTGAAGCATTCACTGACATAGAGAGTGTTGAAGAACTCTGGGAGACAGACTAGAAGTGGTCTGAATGACACTTTCTCAGCTGCTTGCCGGATTAATTGCGAAGCCTTTGCGAGATTTTGCTGCTTATCACGCACAATTGGCATCTGAATGAGAGCCAGAAATAGATCTGAGAATAATCAAAAACATCCGCATTATTTCCATGCATTGAAAAGGTGCAACAGAATTTTCTTACCACACTCCGAAGCCATTTCACTCCACACATTAGACAAACACTGGAAATTGACAAGCTGATATCGCGCGCGCATTAATCTAATCTCTTCACGCACTCACCAAATTCTCAATGAACATTTTGTAGCCGAGGAAGCGACTCTCTCTGAGAGCGGCCAAGATATAGAGCACTGCTCCCACTAGTAAGATCACTTCCGAGATGATCCTCAGCTTGCTCTCTGTCGTCTCAAAGTCCAGCAGTGGACAATCTCCATACTGATTCCACCAGCTTCCACTTTTGTTCACCCACACGAGATCCGTGTCGACTTGACTGCCATTTCCGGAGTCATTGAAGAAGCCGAAGCTTCCATTCGCCAGCAAGCTGTACAACTCTCGTGTGCCGTTCGTCTGTCTGCTGGCCACGATGATCTTCTCATCTTCATCCTCCTCAGATGCTTGTCCAGGACGCAGAATAAAGCTCACGAGACTGACCATGAAGTACATGGCGAAGAGGTAGAATTGCTGGTAGAAGCGACTCTTCACGAAGGTGTTCCACTTGACTTTCAGCAGATCTATCAGCACCTAAGAGCAATTACACAGTTAAGGATGATCTCGTGATCTCAGATCCCGCGGGATTCGCTCACCCCATCCATGAGTTCAAGATGTTCATCTTTGTCGCCAAACACCACGAGATTCAGCGCGGAATTCTTGCTAATGTGGCCCGTCTCGACGTCAATTGTGTCGATCTGCGACAGTGGATAAGCAGCACACGTGACGCTGCCCAGTTGCCAGTAAATCTCACGCTCGATGTTGAGGATGTGGAAGAACATCTCCACGCGCGCCAGCTTCGCGGCCAGTGTCAGGGGAGTGAGATTTAGCATGTTGCGGATGGACAGAGTGGATCCCACTTCGTAGGCCATGTCGAATGTGGAGACCTTTTCGTAGATGACCAGCATGTGCAGAACGGTGTTACCATTGGTGTCCTGGGCGTCGGGATCGGCTCCACGGGCCAGAACCAGACGATAGCACTCCTCCTGGCCGAGACATGCGGCGAAGCTGAGCGGATATTCTCCCCAGTAGACGTAACTAGATAGAAAGAATTGTGGCAGTTTAGAGAAGATCGCAGAGATGATGGATAAAATCTTACCCATCATAGTTCGTCATGGGCAGAACTCCAACGTATTCGTGGTCTGTGCAATCGAATCTTGTTGCCTTCTGATCCTCCGGACACATGAAGTTGCCACAGCAGCGCTCATTAACCTCCGATCCAGCGTCCAGGAGATACTTCACCATGGCCGGATCCTCGTTCACGATGGCAATGTGGAGGCAATTCTCGCCCCAATACTCATCGCACATGTAGATGTCATTGATGAGTTTCGGGTAGAATCTGAGCAGCCTCTTGGCCAGGTCGGCGTGCAAGGACGTGGCATTGAGCAGACAGAGATGCAGGATGGTCTCGCCAACGGCGCCCCGTTCCTTGATGTCCCAGCACACATCCCTGTACGCCTCCATGTTGCTGTAGTACTCCGCCTCGCTGACCTCGGGACAGTGCTGCGCAATATCGAAATCCTCATCTGGATTCTCCATCACGCGGATCTCGGGCAGCTGCTTGTGCCGAGGACGCTCTCGATTGCGCAGCAGGACGAGCGAGGCCACCGGAATCCACTTTCCGGCGCCCTTGTTGTACAGAAATGGCTCCACCTTGGTCTTGATGGCGTGATCAATCTCTGCGAATTGCTTACTCTGCGCCGCCCTCTTCATCATGTCCACCAGCAGCCCGCCACCCTTGAGATTCACGAACTTGTACAGCTCCTGGGTGGACGTTCCCGCCTGCTTCTTCACGCCACTCGTCACATTGCTCTCAGTATTTCCCATGATGTACTTCCACTAATGGGCTGCACCACACTTTGTGTAGAACGGCCGCGAACTGCCCAGGAATCGATTAAACAGCCGAAATGGTGGCCTGGGTGATGCCTCCGCGGGGTGGTGTGAAGGCGAGGCACCTTCTGACCCAGATAGCAATCTTTAGAAAAAAAAACAAATGCAAAGAATTGTGATCTGCAAAGAGAATTGATGCTGAATTCAGCACTTGCAAATGCAATGATTTAATGCAACAATAATTAGACAGTGTAATTATATTCATACAAATGACTTTAAATATATACTTAAGCAATTCTCAGCAAGGTGAAAAAAAAACGTAGATTTAGCGAAAAGCTGGGCAGTTTTTGATAAGGTTTAAGCTGCCATTATCTCTGTGATGCTTTTCCGGACAATGAACTTGCTATGAAGTTGTGTAAAGCTGGTAATATATTGGTCATATCTGGTTTGCAATAATTGTCTTCTTTATTAAATATGCGCTCAACTGTAAACACTGCAAATTAACTCTGCAATGCAAATATATTTGTAAACGATATGTTCACACACAATCACTTACACAGATGTATGATTATCAAGAATATCTTCATATTCTCGTGTTTCTCACTATACAAAAACAGTTATTTCTGCAACGCATCAGAGTGCAGTCATGCTAATAATCCGTAGAACTTGTGTCAATGTCGTGAAGCAAAGAAATTTTTCCACACACAAGAAAACAGTGAGTTTTGTGCGCAAATAATTTGGGAAAATCTTTATTATAACTATGTCAATGTATGCAATCAAGGCAAGTGCTTCCGATTTTAATGATGATGCAATTGAGGAGAACTTGAAGACGGCCAAGCCTTACGAGAGCATTCCCGGACCGTCGACTTTCAACATGTTCAGAAGTTTCATGCCAGGCGGAAGATTCCATTCGCTGCAATTCTCAGACGTTCATCGCGCTCTAAGCGCTGAACACGGACCGATTTACAAGATCAGGGGCGCTTTCGGACGGAAGGACATGATTGTCGTTGTGGATCCGAAGGACTTCGAGATTGTCTTCAGGACTGAGGGCACTTTTCCACAGAGAAGTGGACTTGATTGCCTCGCTTACTACTGGAAGCACTACAAGAAGGATTTGTATGCCGTTTCTTTGGGTTTGGTGAGTGAACAGGGCCAGAGATGGTGGGATCTTCGGCAGAAAGTCAACGGCGTGATGATGAAGCCCCAAAGCACGAAGAGATACACTTCAGCCATTGACGAAGTTAGCAGGGATTTTGTGCAGAAGTAGGATAAGGTATTGATTTCTCCGGTATTTCAGTCAAAACATTCCGCTCTTCGATTGTAGATTACACAACTTGAGGGACTCGAACTTGGAAACACCAGCTGATCTGTTCTTCCACTTGAATGTCTGGGCATTTGAGTCAATAGCAAATATCACGATCAACATGCGACTTGGGCTTCTGAATGAGAACAACAAAGATAAGAATATACATAAACTCATGGACAACATTAAGACTTTCTTCCAATTGCTCAATGAACTCGATATTCAACCTTCTGTGTGGAAATTATACAGAACACCAAAGTTTAAGCGTTTCATTCAAGTTAATGATGATATTCATGAGTGAGTTGATGAATCATTTGCAAATCAAATGTTTGTTGATGTTGTTTTCTACGCAGTGTTATAGAGAAATTAGTGGAAAAGGGACTGGAAAACTTGAGAGAAAACAGTGATGAAAGAGCAAAAAGCTCAGGAGAGAAATGCGTTCTAGAAAAATTATCCGAGATCAACAAGGACGTGGCAATTATAATGGCATTCGAATCTCTTCTGGCAGGCGTTGATACTGTAAAAATCACTTATTATTGATGTCTTGTGGGAAATTGATATATATTTTGTTAAATTTCAGACTTCTTCCGCAGTCTTCAATGTCCTTTACAGCTTAGCAATCAATCAGGAGAAGCAGGACAATCTGAGGGAAGAATTGATGAAGATTCTGCCTGAAAAGGATACGCCGTTGACAAAGGAAAAGATGAGCAATATGCCTTACTTGAGAGCTTGTATTAAGGAAACTTTCAGGCTGATGCCAATTGTGAGCGGTAACTTCAGAGGAGTCGGTCGAAATATTGTCCTGCAAGGATATAAAATACCCAAAGACGTAAGCAATTATCTGTTGAAAATTTTTATGGATAAGCAAATCACTCTTGATTTCATTCGTATTTGCAGACTGGCGTTCTAATGCATAATCAAGCTGTTCACATGGACGAAAAATACTTTCCAGAATCAAAATCCTTCCTTCCCGAACGTTGGCTGAGATCACAGGATAAACACGAGAACTACAATCCCTTCACATTTCTTCCCTTTGGCCATGGAAGTCGAGTTTGTATAGGACGAAGATTTGCAGAACTCGAGATTGAGTGTTTGGTGATGAGAATGGTCAGAAGCTATCATCTCGAGTGGCATCATCCACCGCCAGAGATCCGCTCTTTGACCATAAATATGCCTCACGGTGATTTAAAGCTTCGTCTTCAAGAAACACTTGTTTAATTCATCTTATTCTCACTGTAAATTGCACATAAAAATTTCCGTGAATATTGAATAAGATCAATGAAACGAATGAAATGTAGTTCATTGTATCCATTTACCAACACTATTGCACGAAAATACACATTCAACACAGTGTAAAAGGGCCAAATTATGTTTCAGACTTTTCGCAATCCTCATACAAGTTTAACTTCGTATGACTGTTTAAAGGCAGACGATCGTCTTCCAAATACATTCAGTTAATAAAGTGCCTTCGAAGAGAGCGGACAAAATGATTCCATCAGCGTTAAGAAGTTCATTCTGTGCTTATCAAGTGAGGTGTTTCTCTGCTGTTGCAGAAAGAGCGCCAGTTCTGAATTCAGTTGATCATGACGCGATCGAGGACAATTGGAATATGGCAAAGTCCTACAAGAGCATCCCTGGACCGTCGACTTTCAATATGTTCAGGAGTTTCATGCCAGGCGGAAGATTCCATTCGCTGCAATTCTCAGATGTTCATCGCGCTCTAAGCGCTGAACACGGACCGATTTACAAGATCAGGGGCGCTTTCGGACGGAAGGACTTGATTGTCGTTGTGGATCCGAAGGATTTCGAGATTGTCTTTAGGACTGAGGGCAGTTTTCCACAGAGAATTGTCCTTCCTTCTGTGGAGTACTATCGAAAACACTACGGTGGCGAAAGATTTCGTTTCTCCCTTGGTTTGGCATTTGAACAAGGGGAGAATTGGTGGAAACTTCGGCAGAAAGTCAACGGCCTAATGTTGAAGCCTCAAGTTACCAAAGAATATATTTCACATATTGATGAAGTGTCGACTGACTTTGTGAGAAAGTAAGTTTGGCATTAACATACTTTAAGGGCAATATTCATGTTGAACTTTGTGATAATGCGTCTCTGTTTTCAGATTGCACAACATGAGAGACGTGAATTTGGAAACACCAGCAAATTTTGTCTATCAATTGAATATCTGGGCGCTTGAGTCGATTTCCTACATCACAATGGACATGCGATTGGGTCTGCTGACTGAAAAACCAGATCCGATTGTTGACAAACTTATGCTTGCACTGAAGGACTTTTTCCAATTGTCATACGAACTTGACTTCCAACCGTCGGTGTGGAAAATCTACAAAACCCCCAAATATAGTCGCTTTATAGAAACAATGGATTTCATGAATGAGTATGAAGACTTTTCTCTATACTTCCATCCAGAGTTAAGATTATTATTTTTCCATAGGACAGTTGGAAAATTTGTTGACAAAGGCGTGTCAAATCTTATGAAGAAGGATAAAAAGGATGGCGACAAAACTAAAGATGATAGCATTCTTGAAAAGCTGTACGAAATCGACAAGAATTTCGCAGTCAGTATGATATTGGACTTTATGTTAGCCGGAGTTGACACAGTAAGTTTTTCTCACTTAAACTTTCGAAGGAAGTCTTAAATTTCCTTGATGGTTCTCAGACTTCATCCGGAGTGTTTATGGTTCTCTACAACTTGGCAACAAATCAGGAGAAGCAGGATATTTTGAGGGAGGAATTGCTGAAGATCCTTCCAGAGAAGGACACGCCATTGACCAAGGAAAAGATGAGCAGCTTGCCTTACTTGAGAGCCTGCGTAAAGGAAGCTCTGAGAGTGACTCCAGTGGCGATAGGAAATATTCGAACAACAGGGAGAAACATTGTCCTGAAGGGATATCAAATCCCAAAGAAAGTATGAGTTTTTCTGCAATTTTACCCTCAAAATTCGATACGCTATTTTTCTAATTCTTCTTCAGACTGACGTGCTTATGAACAATCAAGCTGTTCACTTAGACGAAAAGTACTTCCCTCAGCCAAATTCCTTCCTTCCCGAACGCTGGTTGAGGTCAGAAGAGAAGCACGAGAATTACAATCCTTTTTCGTATCTTCCTTTCGGTTTTGGCAGTCGTAATTGCGTCGGACGAAGATTTGCCGAAATGGAAATTGAATCCTTGGTCACGAGATTGGTGAGAAACTATCATCTCGAGTGGCATCATCCTGCACCAGAGATTCACTTTCGGACTCTGTATATCCCTCACGGGGTCCTTAAGTTGCGTCTTCGAGAATTGGTTGAATAATTTCATTTGTGTTTTTCAGACATAATGTACAAATAAATAGATTTATTTAAGAATAAGAAAATTAATATGCTTTGAAGTAATTCTTAGATATAAATGATTGTTAATTGAATCAGTTCTTGTAATGTTTCTTCTCATTTTCCAAGGGATTTTCTTCGTAAGTAAGTTGGTTCAACGTCTATCATTAATAAAAATAGCTCTTAAGGCATAAAAATAGGGCAAATTCATGAGATTAAGCATAATGATGAAGCATATGAGCACAGTTGATATCACTGTGTGTTTTTTTTACAAATGAGCACAACTACACATTCAACACAGAGTAAAAGGGCTAAATTATGTTTCAGACCTTTCGCAATTCTCTCATAAATTTAGCTTTATGCCCTCAAAGCTGTTTAAAGGCAGACGATCGTCTTCCAAATACATTCAGTTAATAAAGTGCCTTCGAAGAGAGCGGACAAAATGATTCCATCAGCGTTAAGAAGTTCATTCTGTGCTTATCAAGTGAGGTGTTTCTCTGCTGTCGCAGAAAGAGCGCCAGTTCTGAATTCAGTTGATCATGACGCGATCGAGGACAATTGGAATATGGCAAAGTCCTACGAAAGCATCCCTGGACCGTCGACTTTCAACATGTTCAGGAGTTTTATGCCTGGAGGAAGATTTCACAATGCAAATTTCTCCTTCTTGCACGACACGCTGAGGCAGGAGTATGGGCCAATATATAAATTGAAAGGAGCTTTTGGGAAGCGTGATATGGTGTGCGTGAGTGATCCGAAGGATTTTGCCACAATTTATCGAACTGAAGGCAAATTCCCGCTCAGGAGGAGCTTCGAATCAGTAATGCACTATCGAATGGTGGAGAATAAGCACAAATTCCCCGTGACAATGGGCTTACTCAGTGAACAAGGCGAAGGATGGTCGGATTTCCGAAGCAAAGTCAACAGCGTGATGATGAAGCCTCAAGTGAGCAAAGGATACGTTTCATACACTGACGAAGTGTCGAGTGACTTCGTGAGAAAGTAAGCTAACTCAACCACAATGAATGTCTAGCACGATGCGATATTGACCTACTTTAAGGGCACAATTCGTGCTGAACCTATACCACATTAAGCAATTCCGCTGTCGTAATATGTCTGCTTACATTTTGAATAGGTTGCACAAAATGAGAGATTCCAACCAAGAGACGCCAGCAGATCTGATTTATCATCTCAACACGTGGGCTTTTGAGGGAATCACTTATGTATCAGTGAACATGCGATTGAACCTGTTCTCTGGCAAATCACACGTGAACACAGATAAACTAATGGGACTTTTGAAAGAATTCTTTGTGTTAATCTACGAGCTTGATTTCCAACCGTCACTGTGGAAAATTTACAAGACACCGAAATTCTGTCGCATGATGGAAATCATTGACTATATGCATAAGTAAGGAAGACAAAGATTATTATACAAAATGGCGCTTAATTCAATGACATGTTCTTTTTTGCAGATTTAATGGGAAACTCCTCGAGGATGGCATCGCGAAAATCAGAGTGGAGAAGGAAAAGGGCAATAGAACAAAAGAGAAGTGTATCTTTGAGAAGTTATATGAGATTGACAAGGAGATTGCAATGATAATGACTCTTGATTCACTAATGGGTGGAATTGATACTGTAAGTGTTAATGTTATAATTTCTGGCGTTTGTGTATGTCAATTAACTTATAATTGAACATTTTTCAGACATCTACGAGCGCATTTTGGGTAATTTACAACATAGCGCGGCATCCGGAGAAGCAGAATATTCTGAGAGAGCAACTTTGTGAGTTTCTGCCTGAAAAGGATACACCATTGACACCGGAAATCATGAGCAAATTACCATACCTGAAGGCCACGATTAAGGAAGCCTTGAGGGTGAACTCACTTACAGTGGGAAATGTGAGAACGACTGGTCAGAACATTGTTCTCAAAGGATATCAAATCCCTGAAAAAGTACATAAGTCTATCACAACAAAACCTGCGTATGCGAGCGATTCTATTTGTATATGTAATCTCTTTCAGACTGATATGTTTATGCACTTGGCAGCCGTTCATATGGATGATCATTACTTCCCGGATGCGAAATCCTTTCTTCCTGAGCGCTGGTTAAGATCTTCCGCAAAGCACGAGAACTTCAATCCCTTCACGTATTTACCTTTCGGCTTTGGCAGTCGGAATTGCGTTGGTCAGAGAGTGGCGGAACTGGAGATTGAATCCTTGGTGGCCAGATTGGTGAGAAACTATCATGTCGAGTGGCCTGGTCCACCGCCTGTGATCAAGTCACTACCATTTAATATGCCTCAGGGAGACTTGAAGCTTCGTCTTCGAGATGTCTAACGCAGAATGGTTGGCAAATATCACTCTGTATTGTATGTATGAACTATTAAACATTTTATCAGATAAGGGCGATAGGGTAATTATAAACAACTTATCACGTTAAAATTGCAAAGCTTTATGTACCATTTTAATAGGTGATAAGCTTTGTATTTCACCGACTATAATCATAGACAAATACACAGAAAGCACAGATGTTTTCCGTTTGTCTCTTTCGCACTATATATGATACATAATACAATTTGCGACTCTGCTAGTCAGTTGCTCAAGAATTTGCAAAGTGAGTGGCCGAAATGCTGCTGGTGTGGAGGAATTGTCTCAGTGCCAATCAATTGAGGTGCTTCTCAGCTCAGGTGCAAAGGGTAAAAGAATCTTTCAAAACTTCCGGCTGTGTAAAATGTAATTGGGAAACTTCTTCAAGGCCACAGCGTCAAGCTTCAACGATGAGGCTTTCGATGAGAGTTGGAAGACGGCCAAGCCCTATGACAGCATTCCTGGCCCATCGACTCTGGGCTTGATCAGGAATTTTCTTCCAGGCGGCAGATTCAGTTCCATAGGAATGCCAGAGGTGCACCGCATCATGAAGAAGGAATTCGGGCATATTTACAAGTTCAATGGCACTTTCGGGAAGCGTGATATTGTTGTGGTGAATGATCCCAAGGATTTTGAGATTGTCTACCGAACTGAGGGCAATTTCCCGATGCGCAGAGGTCTAGACTGTCTGACGTACTATCGAAAGGTGCACCGAAAGGACAAATATCCCATATCGATGGGCTTAGTCAGCGAGCAGGGCCAAGGATGGTGGGATCTGCGGCACAAAGTCAACGGCGTGATGATGAAGCCACAAGTCACAAAAGGCTACACATCAGCTGTTGACGAAGTGACGAGAGATTTCGTGAAGAAGTATTATTAAGATAAGATTATTTCGGTGCAAATGATAAGATTGGGTGCTTTTTTCCTTACCAGACTAAACAACACGAGAGACGTGAATTTGGAAACACCAGCAAATTTTGTCTATCAATTGAATATCTGGGCGCTTGAGTCGATTTCCTACATCACAATGGACATGCGATTGGGTTTGTTGACTGAGAAACCAGATCCGAATGTTGACAAACTTATGCTCGTGCTGAAGGACTTTTTCCAATTAATTTATGAACTTGACTTCCAACCGTCGCTGTGGAAAATCTACAAGACTCCAAAATTCAATAGATTCATGGAAATAATGGATTTCATGCATGAGTATGACGAGATTTTCTTCTGTTTCCTTACATCGATCGATATTGAGGGGAATTTTTATATTATTATAGAGTGATCGGAAAGTTTGTTGACAAGGGTTTGGAAAATCTGAAGGAAATGCACGTGAGAGGTCAAAGCAATGCCAGGGAGAAAGGCATTCTTGAAAAGCTGTACGAGATCGACAAGGATATTGCTGTTCTCATGGCATTAGACGCTATGTTAGCCGGAGTTGACACTGTAAGTTTTTCACATGGAAACATTCTGAAGGATTCTTAAAGTTTCCTTGATGGTTCTCAGACTTCATCCGGAGTGTTTATGGTTCTCTACAACTTGGCAACAAATCAGGAGAAGCAGGATATTTTGAGGGAGGAATTGCTGAAGATCCTTCCAGAGAAGGACACGCCATTGACCAAGGAAAAGATGAGCAACATGCCTTACTTGAGAGCCTGCGTAAAGGAAGCTCTGAGAGTGACTCCAGTGACGTTGGGGAATGTTCGAACAACAGGGAGAAACATTGTCCTGAAGGGATATCAAATTCCTAAGGAAGTAAGGAGTTTGTTTGCAATTTTACCCTCAAAATTCGATATACTAATCGCTTGGTTTCTCCGCAGACTGATGTATTTATGCACAATCAAGCTGTTCATGAGGATGATTATTACTATCCTGATCCCAATTCTTTTATCCCTGAACGTTGGCTGCGATCAGAGGACAAACACGAGAATTACAATCCCTTTTCGTATCTTCCTTTCGGCTTTGGTAGCAGAATTTGCGTCGGACGAAGACTGGCTGAACTGGAAATTGAATCCTTGGTCACGAGATTGGTGAGAAACTATCATCTCGAGTGGCATTATCCGCCGCCAGAGATCAGGACATCGACCATTAACATGCCTCAGGGAGACATTAGATTCCGCCTGAGGGACTATCAGTAATCTTTAGCAAATTTCTGCGCATTCATGATGATGGAAAATTGTACGCGTTTTCAGACCAAAAATAAAAACCAATCTTCACCAACACACGCTTCCACATGATTATATTGTTGTCTCTTTCATATTTCGGCAACACAATTTCGAGTTTCACGGTCACATTTAATGCTTGTGATATTCCGCGTTCCGCAGTCGGCCAAAAGTGCTCAACCAGTGTTAGTGATAATGTTTCGCGCTCGTGTAAATTGCGTCATTATCAATCATTTGCGGAGTTTTTCAGCTCAAGCGAAAAAAGTAATACATTTTTCTCTTTTAAATTCAATTCTGGCACAACCGGATTCAATAAAAAGGCAAAATATCTTTCAGGCAACCGCAGCGGATTTCAATGAAGAGGCCTTTGAGGAGAGCTGGAAGGCAGCAAAGCCTTACGAAAGCATTCCTGGACCGTCGGCTGTCAATCTCATCAGGAGCTTTATCATTCCGGGCGGAAGATTCAATGCAAAGCCTTTCAGTTACGTCAATCGAACACTGTCGGCAGATCATGGGCCAATCTTCAAGTTGAGAGGACTCTTTGGGAAGAGGGACATTATTGTGGTGCAGGATCCGAAGGATTTTGAGATCGTCTTCAGAACTGAGGGTCAATTTCCCATGCGAAGAGGTTTTGACGGTCTCACGTATTACAGGAAAGTGTATCGAAAGGAACACTACAAGTCCTCAGCAGGATTGGTGAACGAACAGGGCCAGGATTGGTGGGATCTGCGGCATAAAGTCAACGGCGTGATGATGAAGCCACAAGTCACGAAAGGCTACATATCAGGTGTTGACGAAGTCAGCTCGGATTTTGTGAGAAAGTGAGGATAAAATCTAATATTGATTTAGAAACATTTCTATTGAGTCACATTTTCCAGAATACACAATTTGAGAGATGAAAATTTGGAAACTCCTGCTGATTTAATCTACCAATTAAACCTTTGGGCTCTGGAGTCTATTGCTTATATCACAATGAGCGCAAGATTGGGATTGTTGACGGAGAAACCCGATGAAAGTATTGATAGATTTACGAAAAATCTCAAGGAACTCTTTCACTTGATGGCTGAACTTGACTTCCAACCGTCCATTTGGAAAGTCTACAAGACACCCAAGTTCAATCGCTTTATGCAAGTGATGGATGAAATACACGAGTGAGTATAGTAGCCAAATGCGAAAAGTCCATATCGATTTTACACGTCGTTGCAAATGATTTTTCAGAGTTGTCAGTAGATTAGCTGAGAAAGGACTTAGAAAATTGAAGGAAAACCAAGCGAAAGGAGAAAATAATGCTGGTGAGAAGAGCGTTCTTGAGAAACTCTACGAGATTGATGAAAAAGTTGCAGTTCTGATGGCATTAGATTCACTTATGGCAGGAGTTGATACTGTAAGTCAGTTTGATGAGGATAATGAGGAAAGTGTTCTTCTATTGATATTGAATTTTCAGACTGCTGTTGGAGCATTTTCTGTCATCTACCAATTGGCGAAGAACACAGAAAAGCAGGATATTCTGAGGGAAGAGCTGCTACAAATCCTTCCTGACAAGGACACACCGTTGACGACAGAAAACATGAGCAATTTGCCATACTTAAGAGCTTGTCTCAAAGAAGCATTCAGATTGATGCCAGTCATTATTGGCAACATAAGATCTTCGGGACAGAAGATTGTTCTCAAAGGATATCAAATTCCCAAAGAAGTAAGTCTAAAAAGGAATCTTAAGGAAGTTTATGGTTATACTTCTCTTCTTTTATTTCATAGACCGATATTATGATGTTTACATATGATTTGCAAAAAGATGGAAAATTCTTCCCGGATCCGAATGTCTTTCTTCCCGAACGCTGGTTGAGATCAGAAGAGAAGCACGAGAATTACAATCCTTTTTCGTATCTTCCTTTCGGTTTTGGCAGTCGTAATTGCGTCGGACGAAGATTTGCCGAAATGGAAATTGAATCCTTGGTCACGAGATTGGTGAGAAATTACCATCTCGAGTGGCATCATCCTGAGCCAATAATTGAAGAAACCGCTGTTAATATGCCAACTGGAGACTTGAAGTTACGCCTCAGGGAATATCAATAATTATAATCTTATCGCCAGGGATTCAGCGCAGTTTTCAACTGAACCTTCTAAATCTACCTCGTTAGATAAATATTTTGATTCTGCTGTAATATATAAGCCACGTTTTTGCCAAAATGTACAACATAAATATTATTGTTTAGTCATGATGTTTGGGTGTATTGGAAAGTTATCTTTGCCGCCAAATACATTAAAACCGAATGTGTAATTTTGGATGTTAGTCAGTGAGTGAAGAGTGGCCAAAGAGTCAAAATGTATTTGACTAGACGAAGTTTTCTCAGTGCCAATCAATTAAGGTTTTTCTCCGCGAGAGCCAGTGAAGTAAGGCAGAAAAAAGAATGCTTTTTGCTCGATCATAGCAAGTTTTAATGATATTTTTGCCCACTATCAAGGCCACAACGCCGTCAAATGCCAATGATGAAGTTGTGGAAGAGAGCTGGAAGACGGCAAAGTCTTTTGCCAGCATTCCAGGACCATCGACATTTGGTTTCCTGAAGAATTTCATACCTGGCGGAAAGTACAGCAACGTTTCGTTCGTTGTCGTCAACAAGGAGTTGAAGGAACAGTTTGGCGACATATACAGAATAAAGGGCGTCTTCGGGAGGAATGATGCGATTATCCTACACGATCCCAAAGATCATGAAGTGGTTTTCAGGACTGAGGGCAGTTATCCACGGCGGCCAGGCTTCGATTCCATCAAGCACTACAGAAAAGTGCTTCGCAAGCAGCAATACTCCTACTCTGTAGGTCTACTGACTGAGCAAGGCCAAGGATGGTGGGATTTGAGGCACAAAGTCAATGGCGTGATGATGAAGCCACAAGTCACGAAGGGCTACACATCGGCTGTGGATGAAGTGACGAGAGATTTCGTGAAGAAGTTGGCACAAATTCAATTCAAATGAATCTTCCATAGACATCTAAACTTGTTCATCCTTCTTCTAGGCTGCACAATATGAGGGACTCACAATTGGAGGTTCCAGCAGACTTCTTCTACCACACGAATCTCTGGGCGCTGGAATCTATTGCGTATGTGACGCTGAACATGAGATTGGGCCTCTTGAGTGACACACCGGATGATAATATTGGGAAATTCATGGACAACCTAAAGGTTCTCTTCCAACTCCTCTTCGAGCTGGACTTCCAGCCGTCGATGTGGAAAGTCTACAAGACGCCCAAGTTCAATCGCTTCATGCAAGTCATGGATGAGTTGCACGGGTGAGTGTTAAATCACACAAGATAAGAATTCTATTTATAAAGCATTTTGTCTCATTGTTTTGTTGGATAGTATTATAAAAACACTTGTGGATAAGGGTGTGCAAAATCTCAAAGACACCACTGCCGGCGGTGAGGCGAATGCCAAGGAAAGAGCCGTGCTGGCGAAGCTGTACGAAATTGACAAGGATGTTGCAGTTCTTATGGCGCTGGACGCTTTGCTAGCCGGTGTTGACACTGTGAGTCCCTGAATTGATACACCAAGATCCACAATCAGATGACAATAATGATTCCTTTCAGACATCATCAGGAGCCTTTTCAGTTCTCTATCAACTGGCGAAGAATCCAGAGAAGCAGAATGTACTGAGGGAGGAATTCCTCAAGTTCCTTCCAGAAAAGGACACGCCGTTGACGACAGAAAATATGAGCAATGTTCCCTACTTGAGAGCCTGCATGAAGGAAGCTTTCAGGCTTATGCCAGTCATTCCTGGTAATATCAGATCAACGGGAAAGAATATAGTTCTCAAAGGATATCAAATTCCCAAAGACGTAAATTTACAATCACATAATTGATTTTCAAGGCATTTATAACAATTTCTTCCTACATTCCAGACTGACATGTTCATGCTAAATGAACTCAATCACAAGGACGAGAAGTACTTCCCGGATCCGAACACCTTCCTTCCCGAACGCTGGTTGAGATCAGAAGAGAAGCACGAGAATTACAATCCTTTTGCGTATCTTCCTTTCGGTTTTGGCAGTCGTAATTGCGTCGGACGAAGATTTGCCGAAATGGAAATTGAATCCTTGGTCACGAGATTGGTGAGAAATTACCATCTCGAGTGGCATCATCCACCGCCTGGCATTAAAGCGCACTCCATCAATATGCCTGACGGAGACTTGAAACTTCGTCTCAGAGATTTCCAGTCTTAGTTGCATGCAACCGAGAACGCAACTCATGTTATAATTGTCACATTTATTCCTGTTAAATATTTTGTAATAGACGAGAAGAATATACCTCAATCGACTTGCTTATTAAACGTAGAAAAAAGTCATTTGCTCGATATAATTTGTGTGAAATATTACTAACAAATTGCATATAAGAATTCCAAAAATGCGCCAAAACGACGCAGTGAAACTAAGAAATGAAAAAATACTGCGTTAATGCGTATAAAATGGGGATCGATTGGATGAGGACAATTTTGCCTCTACGGCTCCTTCAGCAGCTCCACGTAGTTCGCCGGGAAGAGCCCATAGCTGCCATCCGGGCCCAATCCTTGCCACCATCCCTCATCGATGCGATCGATGTGCGTGATGATGTCACCCGGATCGAAGTTGATCTCCGTCTCGTCAGCCGCCTGATAATCATAGAGTGCCACGGCGCGCAGCCCCATGTCGGCCAGGATGTCCTGCAGGACCGCTTCGTCCTCCTTGGGCGCCACATCCTCCGGGAGTGGCTTGGCCTCCTCCACGGGCGTCTGCTCCACACTCTTCGTGTGTGGCGACCGCTTAATCGTGCTGAATTGCTCCTCCTCCGCCTCGAATCCCTGCACTTGTTGTGGCACTTCGCTCTGGCCATTCGTCGGCCCCTTGGCACTCACCGGCGGCTCAGCCTCCTGCTGTTGCTGCTGATTCAGGGAATTTATGCGCTGCGTCAGAGAATTCCGGGCAGGTTTTACAGGCGCTGCAGCTCTGTAAACATCCAGCAGATATTGATTAATATCCTGAAGCCTTCTCTCTGTACATTTGCCGATTGATACTCACTTTGTCACCGGAACATTTGTGGTGTTCTGCGAAAAGATCGCCTTCGCCTGACCCACGCGAGAGCCTATCAACTCCTTCGCTTCCTGATTCCTCTGCTGCCTCATCATTTCGGCGCTCGTTTGCATGCGCGTCGGACTCTCAAGTGGTTGACTACGCCAAATGAAGACACGCAATTAGCATCTCATCATCCACACAAAAGCAGTGCATAGATGAATCCTTACCTGGCCTTGGAGGCGATCAGCGTGGCAGCCTCGGCAGCTGGAGATGTCACTGGTGACTTCTCCGGCGCAGTCCTCATTTCCCTCTCGCTGTGCTCACGCTCCTCGCGCTGGCGACGCTCCTCCTCCACCTTCAGGACCTCCAGACGCTTCCGCTCGCGCTCCACTTCCACGCGGCGCTTCTCCTCCTCCTCCTCGCGTCGCCAGAAGCGGTCTCGCTCCGTCACATTGATCTCCTTGGCCGGAATCACGCGCGTGTACGCTGTGCCCACGGGGCCACGGTGCGAATCGTCCACCTGTCGCGGCTCCTTGAAGCTGTACGCTGAGCCCACGAGGCTCAGTTTCTGCAGGATCCTCTCCTCGTCCACATCGTCCTCCAGCCGGGCATTGATGGTGAGGTGTGCGCCCTTCAGCAGATTCGCCACGTCCCGCGTGTGATTGGCACAGGTTCCTTTGCGCAGCACCGGCGCTCCCTCACCCTGTGATGGAATGGCAAATGCATGACTCAGGCGCGCCTTATCACTCTCTTATCTCTGGCGAGGCGCCCCAGAACAGAAATACTCACTTGCCAGTTGATGAGGATGTTCTTGGACAGGCTGGTCTTCGGGTCGGCGATCCTCACGAAGGCATACATGATCTTGCCGCTGTTCAGGTCCTCATTCAGCTCCTCCAGGCCACCGCTGCCCGTGCTCACGACTCGCAGGTCATTCGTCTGCCCCTCGTAGCCGAACAACGCCCTAATTACCATACAATTAATTGGTGAAATCCACGCGAAATCTAATTAATAATAAAGCTCTCAATCTCTCTCGTGAGTCAGCCTTTCACTCTCACCAGTCCGTGTCCGTCTTGTCGTCCAGAACGTCCCGCCAGGCCGCCACGATGGCCTCGCGATTCTTCGACAGATTCACCGTCATTTGGGGCGCGCCCTCAGCCAAAGGGGGATTGCACAAATGGGGGCTCCTTCTGCACGCCTACACAGCTAGAAAACACCACCTTGCATAGACAAACTGACAATTTCACACACACTTTCCGGCACGGAGCCTACTAACAAATCGTCACCGTCTGCGGAAGAGTCATCAGAAATTCATCCAGTGTCTTACGACATTATCCCACAATTTCAGCACATCAATCAACTCACAACACAATTTCACGCAGCAACACGGTACTTACTGAATAAAATTCAGCGGAAACACAATAATATTATTTTCTCTGTCACTGAAATCGATATAAAACCACACGTAAATTTCACAAACATTTTTCGCAAAATTCTGTTCAGAAGAATTGCAAATTCCCACAGATGGCACTCTGATCGCTCAGGAGATGGTTGTCATTTGGCAGTTGAGTTGCTTGGCGGCGCTGCTGCGCCACAAGAGTTGCGCATACCGCGAATTCCGTACATTCCGCACAAATGTCAAAAAATCAACTCTCGATCGATTCTATTTTCAAGAGGAATTTCACGGCAAAATAGTCCGCTTTTTCCACAAATCGCCGTCGCGTGAGTGTCAACAGAGTGTAGTTTTGCAGTTTGTGGTGCGTGTGCTTTGTTTTCGCGACGCCCAGAGGTGGCAAAAGTGTCGGGAAAAAAACAAACACTTATCCACACAAAGTCCACCCACTTTTCCGGGAAAGAAGATAGAAAATCTCTGGACAGCGGGGCTGTGCAGTGGCCCCTGGAGGGCGCGGAGAGTGGACTTGATTTCCCCGGACAGGCGAAATTGCGCTCGAGTGCGCGAGATTGAGAGTTTTGTGTTAAGCGAGGAGGCGCAAGAAAAAAGATCGTGAAGAAATCATCTCTCTGGAATGCGGCTGCCCCGAGCCGATGTACAAAAGTGTCTTGTACGCCAACGACAAGCAGAGAGACCTCACATCCACACACAATAATGCGCTGTATAGTCGGCTGGCGGTATTGATTTTATTGTAAACCGTCTCTCTGGATGCGTGGAGCGCAGAGAGTGACCGAAAGTGGCTGACAAGGCGCACACGGAGGGTGAAAAGGTCGCCAGGGCAGTGAATCCGGACGGCATTCTTCCATGGAATCACCCCTGGAGGTTCTCTCAAGGGCTGCAGCCACCATGGTTCAAGAGAAGACTCCCGGTAAGCCACTAATTTTGCCTCTTATCGGACATTGACCGTCTCTGTCTCACTTTTCGGTGCTTCCCTCGTCAATATCCACGGGTATTTTTACGCTCTCGTCGCCCTCTTTTTATCCACTTTCCCCACGTCTTTTTCTCTTTCTCTGTGCATTTCGAGGGGTCTTTCTTATCACTTCGTGCACTGGAGGAGTATTTCTGTCTGCACTCAATGTAAAATATAAACGCCCAGAGTTGCTGAGAAAAGCCCCTGTTTTCCGGATTACAAGCATTCCAATTGAATTCCAATTTGTGCTATCTTCAAGTAAAGCCAGTAAATCAGGGCTGAAAATTTCACCTTAATCAATAGTGGAGTAAACATTTATCAATTCGAAAGCTCTTCAAGATAAGAATATTCATGAATGACGTTGCCTATACCAAATTTATTCACCAGAAAACATAAACAGAAGCGGGTATTTTAGCTAAAAAGTGGTAAGATTGAATGCTAAAAACTTTCATAGCATTCTGTATTCGTTGAAACCATCTCGTTATTTTGGCTCCTCCCATTTGAAAGCTCCGCCCATTTTATTGCATTTAGCCCCAAAGCGCTTTCTAGTGTTAAAGTAGATGCATCTGAATTTTCTTTTCAACAAGACCAAGAACACACAAATAGCGAAAGAGAAAACTACGTTTCTGAGCAAATTGGAGCAGAGTATCAAATGACCAAGAGTTAAGTCATATTTGCGCATTAAGCCAAAATAAATTCCGCTCAACAAGGTGAAAATGAGGTTGACACATGCAAGAAAACATGGGTGGACTCTTAAATACACCCATTTGGGTGAGGGAGAGAGTTTCTCTGTTGGACAACGAAAATGCACACAAATCCAATTAAGTTGATATTGGCGCGTGATGTCATAATTCTCTGACTGTCCAATAGAGTGTTGTGGAGAGATTAATGATAGTGAAATGATTCAAATTAATTGCTCATTAATCACAATTGTAATCACACACATTCATCAACGATGCTGTGCGGTCAATTTGGCTGGAATGTGGCGAGCATTGTGGCGCTGAGAAGGTGTGAAAATGGGCAGCTTCTGGCGCTCCTTGTGGCCACTGTATTGCATTGCCAAGTGTCTCCTTGTGCATCCTGTGGACTTGGCGTGGAGAAATGGTGCACCGCGAGTGTCGATTGTCGGTTCGCTGCACTCTCTCAGTCTGGCTGTCGGATACTATGTTTATCACGTGTTGGTGGCGCTGCGGCAGATGAATGTCGTGCAGAAGGAGCAGAACTTCGTCACGCACGCCATTGATAGCTACAATCTCTTCTCGGGCTGCACATTCTTCCTCCTTATTGTCGTGACGGCTTGCGTGAAGCAGAGCGATATGGTGGACGTCGTGAGCCGGATTTATGTGTTTGACGAGCATCTGGCGAAGATTAACATGTCCGTGGATAACAGACAGTGGTGCATGTCCTTCTATCTGCCCGGATTCCTGGGATTCTGCGCTCTGGGCGCCATGGAGTATGGCAATTGCATAATGTTCATTCGGGACAACTTTGCCTTCAGCGACTTCTGTCTCATCATGTGCTATATTCCCATGTTTGTCCTCATTGTCAGCGAGTGGATGTTCATTGGCTACATCCTGGCCATCAATTGTCGCTTTGCACTCATCAATGAACATCTCAAGACCCTTCCGCAAGATCCCGTCTCAATGATATTCCACGCTGAGACTCTCATTGCTGCCACAACAGCTCTGAATTCAGCCTTCAGTCTCCCATTGCTTCTGCTGCTGCTGCACCAATTCACAGCCATGGCAACTCTGCTCTACGATCTGTGCATGTGCATCATGGATGTGAAGGACGAGGGTGACACGCTGAACACGAGCCTGTGGTCGCTCCTCTTCATGCTGAAGGCACTGGCACTCTGTGCATCTTGTCAGGCTCTTCAGACACAGACCAAAGTCACTGTCAGACACTTGGCGCGACTCTCGCACGACGGCCTGACTCAATTGCAACTCTTCTCCACGTTCAGAGTGAACATCACGGCCTGCAATCTGTTTGTGGTGGACATGAAACTGTTCTACGCTATGTTTGGCGCCATTGCGACGTACTTGATTGTCCTCGTGCAGTTTGACTTTGCCCAGGAAGAAGTAGAGGAAAGACGGGAAGCTTCACTGCATCAATGGCATGTTTAATATTCGCACAAGATCTTGCTCAGAAAGACATCTATCAGACAAGAGAATGTAATTAGAATATAAATTGAAGAATGTGAACCAAAAAGAGGTGTAGTGCAAGAAAACTCAATGTAAGAGTCAAGAAAAAAACACTTGCTGAGCAATGAAAATGATGTCCAGAAACTCTCTTTACTCCACTTGTGTGTTTTTGGAAGAAAAGAATAAATAAAATCTCACTTTCCCAGACTCGAGCGTGTAATTTTCTTGAACAAGAATGCCCTGCTGTGGGGCAAATTTGTTACTGTCATCATTAGTTGCAAACAGACGCTCTAAATTATTAATTAATTACGCTACCCAAAAAATTCCACAATATCTGTGCTTATTCCTCGGCCTATCATGGTTGGGATAAGAAATGCGATGTTCGAATTATATTTCTGTCCTATTCTTCCCCGTTCTCTCCTATCTAATGCAACTTGTGGCTGAAACATTTTCATTTGTGCAATTGTGATGTGCATTGCAAAAGTCTCGAATGCACAACAATGAGAAGAAATGGAAGATTGTGGACTTTTTTTGAGTTGCAATATAAATGAAAATGATGATAAATTGTTTTGTGATCTCATTTCTGCTTTCTGTCGCTTCAATTCCGCTGTGCATCGGAATTGTAATGCAGACTGATGAGTGTGTGTTTATGTGTGGGATTGTGTGGTGTATTGGGAAATGATGGCTAAATAAAATAAGAAAAGAGAAGGATTTCATGCCAAAATTTCTCGCTGACACCGCCAGAGAGAAATCTCGATGACGGTGGAATTTGAGAATGAGATGATGGCACACACAAGATGTGCAGCTGGTGTTGAAATACTTGTGAGGTACTCCAACAATTGACTTTAGAGCACTGCCAGCTTCTTTTTCTACTGTTGTTGTTATGTGCGGAATGCACTTTCTCGCGAAATGGCCTTTTGTTGTGCGCGCGCGCGCCTTTAGGAAAAGCCACTTCCGAGTGCCCTGCGTGTGTGTATTAAAGAAAATGTCTTTCTCTCTCTCGCTGTCTAATCAAAAAAAAATTACTTCCTGCGAATTCTCTGGTGGTTTCAACGGAAATTTGCGCGCAGTTTCTCTCATTCTGTCTGTGTGATAATTACGGAGAATTTGACAGATAAGCGAGAGTGATACGAATTGACCCTATTTTTTCCTTTCACTCCAACCTTCAGTAAATTCCTCCTCACGCTGCAGAAGTCAGTGATCCTTTGAATTACTTTATATATGTTGCTTTTCTTCTACAAATCGTAAAAAATATGGACAAAGCAGTGCATTTTGGTTGATTATTATATTTCTCAACATTGTCTGGTGGATTTGATGGAAGAAAGGCAAATAGTAATCTGAATTTTTGTGTTTCGAATGAATTGTGGATTTTTCGTTCGATCTTTCTTTTTTTCTCTTGTGCTCGCCGAAGAGGATGAATAACAAAGCCTAACGCGCACGAAGGTGAATGCGAAGGAGAGAGGTTGAAAATGCGCTGTGCGTGAAACGGTAGCAATTTTCGGATGAGATTTAATGACTATTTAATTTTTTATTAGAAAAATCCCATTTATTATCTCTTTTGAGAATTCGTCTGAAGCTGTTTTTTCCCATTGGCGGTCACAATGTTGATTTGGAGAAGCTTTTACAGCTCGCTTGCAATCGCCGGAGAAGTCAATGTGTGGTTGGTAGAGTGGTTTAGAGGAGTTGAGGGCGACTTTGAATAGATATTTAAAAGTGTTGAATCAAAAATATGTCCAAAAAATTTAGTGAATTGGTTCATTGATAAACCACTTTTTGGATACATTTAGAGATATATTGTCGTCATACTTTCGAACTTTGTTCAGGTCTTTCGTCATTTTCTGAATTCTCTGTGAGACTTTGATTTCAGTGCCTTGGAAAAGTTATCAAAAGTAGCCTAACACTCTCCTAAGGCATTTTACCTGATCGTGTTTTCTCTGGTTCAATCCATCTTGTTACTTTATTCATAGTCTTTCATGATCTCTCTCTCTCTCTCTTGATTGTGTTCGTCTTTCTTCACACGATAGATTTTGAAGTGCTTCTCGTGATTCTTCACTTTGGCAGCATCTCGAGAGAGAGAGTGAGAGAGAAGAATCACGATTGCGAGATGCATTTTAGAGATGCAATTGAGACTTTTTGGCGAAGTTCCCATGAATGATGGCGTTTATGAATGATCAACTTTCCGCAGCAATATCTTTTTTTTTTAATCGTTTTGGCAATTTGTGGCCCAGCAATTGCGCGATCCGTGTGAAATGTGAGTTTTTGCTGTGTTTCTCCGATGCCTGGAGAATTGATGATACTCTCGCGCGCGCGCGCTCGTGAGAGTGAAAGAGATGCTCAATGAGAGAGTTATCTAATCAGACATTTTTTGGTTATGGGGAAGAGATTGACCAAAAAAATCTTCGAGCGGTGTGTTGAATGAGGTGTGTGCAAGAGTGGATGATGTTCTTCGGCTCTCCACTACATTTGAACTCGCGCATTTTCATTCATTGTGAAGTCGCGCCGGACGATCTCGCGGGGAGAAGAATCTCGCGCACACAAGCGCTGGACGCGCGCTTCTTGTAAGAATCCAGAATCAGTTTTGTCGGTGGTTTCGAGTGAGTGGGACGCGCTTGGTGGCTGTGTGGGGAGCAATATAGACACTGTCCATAATGGATATTTATCGTGTTCTTGGCATTGTTGAGCATTCCATGAAGGAGATCAACTCACAGAAGCTCACCCTCTGGCAACCGTGGAGGGATTTTGGGGTGCGGAAGAAAGGTGAGCGTGAAACGCACTTCCACGTGTGTAAACTTTCGAAGGATGTGCACATAATATTTTATGCCAAGAAGCGACAGAGAGATGAGTTTTGAATGACCTGAGATTTGAGCTGAGAAAAACGGGAGGAGAATTAATATAAAAATTTATTCGTGGAGAAGAGTGAGAGAGAGAGAGAGATTGTGTGGCGCAAAAGAACCATCGAAAGATGGCCGGAAATGGGTAATCAAAGTTTATACATTGATGAGAGGAGAGGAGAGCGCGAGAGGGATTTGTTAATATGTGTGTTGAGATCCAGAGTTGAAATTTGTTGTAAAGCATCTCCAGTGTGTGAGGAGATTGTGGTGATGCTGCACGGGGCTCACCTGGAGCCGATTCTGGAGGAAGGTCAAGACAAGGCCGTGGATGAAGAAAATGTTGTGCGAGAGACGCGCGCGCGGAAAAAAGAGTGAATAACAAATTTCCAGAGTTTGTTTGTGGCTTGAAGAATGAGAAAGAGACTTGAGTGAAATGAGATGGCATGATTGGGGTGTGAATGAGAGAAAAGTTGAGGCATCGCGCAGAGAGTAAAAAACGCGACCAACAACATTGGTTTCTGTACTGCATATATATATTTATGTATAAAAAGTGTTCACAAGGCAGAGCGAAAGAAGCAGAAAAAAACACTTTTCTTCATTCATCAATTTTCGTTTTGTTTTCTCTCCTCTCCTCCCAATTCTTCCCATCTCATGTGAGAGATCTTTTTTGTCTTGTCTTGGGCGACTTTTTGCTGGATCGCGCGAGGCTCAGCCTGAATTTAATATGTGTAGGGGAGAGCGAGGGTGTTTCAGGTACGAAAAATTTGGTATCGACTATCGATGCAATGTTCCAAAAAGACGTAATGTTGGTGGGATATTCTATTCGGCCTTTGGAATTCTCATGGTTTTGAGCTTTAAAAGGCCGTTTTACCTCATGGTGGAAAAATCAAAGGGTTTCATACAGAATGAGTTTTATTTTACGGTACTTTATACAAAAATGCCCCAGTGTGGGGCAAATTTGGGCAACAATTTTGCTATTATTTTCAGCGTATAATCCGAAGTAAATGACAAACATTATTTACTTACACTGCTTATTGGCCAAAAGATTATCTAATGGAGAGAAAACTTTAGGATCTTCATGTGTTTCTGTAGCACAGACACACTAGCAGATACACATTTAAAAAAACATCCATTTTCTTCAATTCTAACAAGAACGCCATTAATAAAATCAAAATCACCAAACTTTATCAGCGCAAAAACAGTTGAAAATATGTAACTGAAGTTCAATTTTCTGTTCATAAACGGTTGTTGTTTCCTATTTGTTCCAATTCCGTTGCTCCCCGTTCTCCCCTACACGATTCACCCGACGCGCAGAGGAGGTTCAAATTAAATTGCCTGCGCACAGTCAATGAAATTAATTTTTGATAATCTCTATTTGGTAGAGAAATGGATTGAATTGTTTCACGTGCGATCGCGTTTTGTGAGATGGTTTTGCCAAGTTTTACTTATGCGCCTCGTCTTCTTCTTTTTTCAAATGGCTTCATTACTAATGTAAGGTGTCTAGAGCGGAAGTTGAGTTGATCTATGCAGATTAGAGATTGGAATTTGAATAACAAAAATTAAGTGGCGCGCAATATCAATGACCTGTGGTTGAATTCATTGATTCCATTGGAATCGCTGAAATTTCTTAGAATCACATCAAGCCAAGCTAGATAAGATTGAAGAGTTGTATCTGGATGCATGGCAGAATGAAATTCATTGAATTAAGAGCTTATTTTTCTATAGTTTTTAAATAAGATTCTCGACAAGTCAAGTCAATTCGATTCTTCTAATTTATATTGATAGAATTTTGAATTGGATTTATGATCTATTTTACTCACTTCTGCTTCTTATATGTATCTCATCTTTAGTACTTTTCAACTCTGTCCTTATTTGAATACTGCCTTATTATTAACTCTTTTTCTGCAATCCTTTTCTTTCTTTGCATTTTTCTTCTCGCGAGAGCTACTGAAAAAAGAAGTTATCTTCTTGGGAAGCAGCGAGCGAGATTCACGCAAAACTTGCCCTGAAGCCCTTTTTGTTAGCCTTGGCAAATTCACTTTTCCATCCATCTCTTCGGCGGATTGCTTGGGAAAATAGTCGAAGAGAGAGAGAGAGGGAGAGAGAGAGATAGAAGTGAAAAAAATATTGGAGTGATTTATGCACTCTGTGGTTTTTTTCTTCGCCACACTGTTTGAGAAATTCAAGAGAGTGGAGAAAAAGAATGGAAATCATTCCAAGAATCCAGGAAATGAGGAGCCATAAAGTGATAAATAAGATTCTGTAAAGCTTCTTTTTCTTGTCTTTCAATTTTCTGGCATCTTTTGGTGAGAAAATTGAAAGAGACGTGAAACTAATGTTGGCTCGTTTTTCCATCATATTTTTCTCTTGCCTTTGCAGAAGCAAAATTGCCCAATAAAGAACTTCCGACAACCAAATGGAGGCGCGAGAGGCGGCGATTGTCTGAATATCAGACGCAGAGTGGCGCGGCGATGGTGAAGAATGGGACGACGGATGGCGAGACGCCGCTGGACATGAGCATCTCGGCGGTGGGTGCGAAGCCGCGCAGTCCGCCTCCGTACAGAGAGCCACTGCCCGGTTCCACGTTCGCCCTGTCGCTCACGAGGCCCACGGTCATAACGCAAGCACCAAAGACACAGCTGAGGCCGGACGCGCTCTCAGATCATCTTCCAGGTGAGCTCAGCGCGTGTGACTCCAGTTTTGGCAGAATATTTTGCTGAAAACTTGAGGGGAATGGAGAGCTTTCTGGCTTTAATCATAAGTTTATCGACCCATAAGCTCGTTAAGAACCATTTTCATATAACTAATAACTAAATTATGTGCTATTCTTTGTACTTTTCCTTCTTCATGACACAAATCAATTAAAAATACTGCATTTTTTCACTGTCTTGAGTATTAATCCACTGTTTTTGTCGTGGATTTTTGCAGAATCCATCTCGATGTGCGACACCGTGATCGATGAACACTTCCGGAGATCGCTGGGCAACAACTACATGACGCTGTTCTCGAAGAACTACGCCAAGGCGGACATCGAGGAGGACGCGATCAGTCTGTCCGTGGATGATCACTTCGCCAAGGCGCTGGGCGATACGTGGCAGAAGATCAAGGCGACGTCGGACACGACGACGGCAAACTGTTCAGGGAAGCGACGCGAGTCTGATGGCGACGAGGAGATGGACAAGGAGGTGAAGCTGGAGAAGGCGGATGATGATGTGCAGGAGACCTCAAGTAGTTCTAGTTGCAGTTCGCAGGGCACATCGTAATTGCAAATGGGCTGAAAGTGTGTTTGTGTGTGCAAAGCGTTGAAATTCCACCGCATTGTGTGAAGTCAGTGGCAAAATGAAGCTCTTGACGAGAGAAAGAGAGAAATTGTCTCGGCGGCACGCGTGGAATGTGAAGAAGAAAAGAGATTCACAATGAGAGAAATTCACTGTTGTGTGAAAATGCTGTGAATGTGGTCTTGAATTTGGGTGGATTTGAGGAAGAATGGGCGCGCGCGGGTGTCTGCAGAACTACAATAATATTCCGATAAGAAAGGGGGAGAATTTAGAGGATGAAGTCGCGATTGAGATGAGCGTGAAGAATAATGAAGTGATGAATTTCTCAAGGCGTGTGTGTCTTTTCATCATGCGAAAATACAATTTGGAATTATGAAGAATATATAAATTATACTTGTAGGACTTAAGCCTTAGTGGGATAGAAATTTCCTCCATAGAATGAGTAGATAAATAGTGGAATTATTACATTTACTAGTGTAGAATTTACAAATTAAACACACAGTGATTTATTCTGTATAGATATGGGAAGAAAAAAAACATGAGCAATAGTCTCGATTCAACTGATAATTTATTGTAATTCTCCTCCAATCATCTCTATATATATATATATTAACTTGCGTAGGCCAATAAGGAATTTAACATAAATAGTTCTTCCTTGGAAGTAATACATTTTTTAGTCTCTAAATGAATTATATTTGTAGGATTTTTACGTTTTAAAACAAGAAGAAAAATACAGAGAGATAAGGAAGAAATCACACGAAAGAGAGTGAAAAGAGCTGTAAATAAAGAGATAAAGAAAATAATATGAAAAACACTTTTCCAAACTATGCAAACACACTTGAGACACTGCGCTTTGATGCTCTTGTCCGCCTGAACAGCACTGATTTCGTATGGTGCTAGAGGGCAGACGGCATCCCAGCTGCCTGGGCGGCAAATCTATCCACCAAACGACGCCAGTATTGCTCCGGAGACTGAAATCTCGCGACTAATGTGCATTGGCAAAAACTCAGTGGCTTTAAATCAACGAGAAGCCGCACTTCCCTTTCGCCACTGAAGGACTTCAGCTGGACGGCGACAAGTGGAGCGGAGAGCTCATGTTTGCCTATTGTGAGTGCGGATAATTCTCTGAAAGAAACACGAAAGGTGTGTGCAATTGTCCAGAGGCGCGCTTCCTCAATCTTCACCATCAGTCACTCCTCCGAACTCGCTTTTCTAAACACTCCATTTCAGAGCTGTGCAGGTGACGGATCTGTCTGCGTGTTGATTGTGGACTACAAAGTAACTCAATCATCCTGCGAAGTATCAAATTTTTGATGTAATCCTATATTTGATCATTTATTTCTGTGGCTTTCAAGAAGAGGTAAAAAATCTCCCGCCAAATTGCCCCCCAAGTGATCAGTGCTGCCACCACAGTAAAATAACCCATCCGCCAACTGTCAGTGTTCGTTCGTTTTCCACTTCTCTCTGCAAGGAGAAATTGGGAAAATCATATCTCAATGTTCCGGCGGAAAATGCCGGCTGACTTTGTGGAGAAAATTCCAGAATCTCTGCAACAAGTGGCCCTCGCAGTGCCCCCAATCGATGACAATTTCGATCCAGACGCCACACCAGAGACTGGCGAGCAATATCTTCAGCAAGTGATCTTCGAGAGGACACGCAGAGTCCCAGAAGTTGTCTACAATCACCACGATCGACCTCCGGATAAGTGTGGCGTGACATGGGACTCCTCTTCAGGCGCTCCAATCGACACCACCACGCCCGAGAGCCTCCTGCCCACGAATGAGTGGTGCTCAATTCAGTGCGACACTTTCCGCCGCATCCAGAGGCGCATCTCCTCCATTCGCCTCTCCCGGCGATTCCCATACAATCTGCCTAGTCTTCCCAGTGACTGGCTGGCCTTCTGCAGTACCCAAGCGCCCTATCTCAGGTGCATGATCCAGATCAGCCAGGCGAGGCTTGAGGAGCTGCTGCACGTCTTTGTTGAGTGGCACCTGTCCAGGAGGGCGCAGCTGGCGGACGTGTGGCTGCCGCAGTGGATCTACGCCACCTTGGCGTGCCTCCATCAGCCCCTAGAACCCAGTATTCATCACTGCCTGCGACAAGTGGCGCGCATTTGTATTGAGGAGAGGAATTCTCTGTCTCCGGACTGCATCAATCAAGTGAATCCCCTGAATCTGATTGTGTGCATCATTGCCAAGGTCTTCGGTCAGGTGGACTTGCTTCATCTCTGGTGAGACAGTCTTTCCCCTTTGAATATAGGAAGAATTTGATAGCAATATACTAATAAAATTTAATTCCACACTCTTCTTTTCTTGCAATACTTTCAGACTCAAATTCTGCTGCCGCGCTATTGCGAAACTATAGCAACGTTGAAAAACTTTTTGAGCACAAACGCAGCATGTTTTCTGGCAAACAAAATCGATTGGCTTGAAGAGAATTTCAACTCTTTCTTCCTAAATCTCTCTCTGTCTTCCGGTGTGTATTTTGAGGGACTTATTTTTTATCTCTGTGTGAAAATGATCCACCAGCGGCGCTTCCGTGTGAAGATGACCGTGGAAATTGACGCCGTGACGTGTCCGGGTGTCTGGCTGTGTCCATACGGGCGTGTGGAGCTGATTTTTCGGACGCTGGGCTATCACTTCAAGACAGGTGGCGCAGAGGCGCGCTTTCCGCTGCTCTTCCACGAGAAATTCCACCTGGACGGCTTCTATCGCGAGTCTGGTGACACCTTGGCGGCTCTGGAAGCACGACTGGCGTGCGAGAGGGTTGATTTTGCGCTTTATCAGCGCGGCACGAGGCTGGCATTCTTCACAGGACAGCTGGGCACACTCTTGCGCTCCGCCACGAATACCTGTCATCCGGAAATCCATGCACAGGTGCTGATGCGGCCAACACAGTCCTTTCCCGGCGTCATATCACCCAAGATCCAGCTCATGACGCGGGTACAGGTGCTTGAGGATGCGCCAGGAAGGCCATCGAAGGTGTATTACATCATCTTCAATGCCAATGTGAGCAGAATTGAGCGACCGTGCGACGTGGCGGCGTCTCAGCGGTACCACAGGAGCCCCTGGAGGCGGCAGCGGCCGGTGTGCCATGTCAGAGAGGCGACAGAAGCTGGGCATTCGTCAAGCTACCCACATCACTTTCTGCCCATCTGCCAGAGGCGTAGGCAGAGCGCCGATCGATCCGACGACGAGGACTCTGCATCCTGTGCGCAGTGAGTATAGAGACAGAGTGAGAGAGAGAGAGAACCTTCCATTCAAGGATTGTGCGCTGCGACGGCGTTGTATGGCCCGTAAATTTCATTGATCCGTTCCGTCGCCAGAGCCTTCATTGTTGTGAGACACTCGAGGGACGGCCGCCCATTCCCCATTGAAGCGCCGCGGGGGATGAGGCTTAATACAGCTCTTAAAGGACTGTGAAAGAGCCATAATTGGCGCTGGAAATTATGAAATGTTGCTAAAATACACTCGCTGCCGCTTTCTTCGGTACTCGCATTTAAAATCACTGCTAAATCTAATCTTCTTTTGTGTTGGAATTTCCAACAAAGTCGCAGTGAAGTTCATAAATTACAATACATTACAAATAGAAAAGACTCGAAAAGCGAATGGAAATTGTGGTATTTTAGCGCACATAAGAATTTAACACTTTCTTCTGATTGCTGATTTTAGTCAAATTTGAATTCATTTTCATTTATTTTTCTACTTGAAACGTTGATTAACAATTGACAATTCAATGCTCTATTGTCCCTATTCTATTGACACAGGTCGCATTAATGAAGGTTTTGAAGAATTGTATTTATAGACATTGAGCATCAGATTGTTTTTCCTGGAATAAAAGTATTTTATTTTAATATCCATTTCTTCTCTCCATTTCAGCTATGACGAAGACACGTCTTTGGTCCACAAATGCCCATTCCAGGAAGTCAAGCACTCCTCTGCGTCCTGCGAAATCTGTCTGGAGTACAGAAATCGATTCAGTCGTCAGTCTTCTTTGTAGAAGAGCTGCGGTTCTGCGAGTGATTCGCTGTAAATGTCTCTGAGTGTGTCCAGCAATGCCGTTTGAATGTCCTCAACCTGATGGGCTGGACAGTAGTCGTCGTCCGTCGAGCGGCTGATTGTGATGATGGTGGGTGGTGGGTGGCACATCAGGAAGCTCTTGAGTGTCGCCAGAGAGTCTCGCAATTCAGCGTCTGTGGCTTCATGATGTGGAAGCTGCGTGGTGTCCAGCGTGCAGCCGGCAGAATGGATGATTTCCCAGTCAATAGTCGCCGAGGAGGTGCACTTTTCACTGATATCGTCACTGAGGCGCTTCACTGGCTCAAAGAGAGGATGATCCTTGGCTGGGAAATCCTCGAGATTCCCACTCTGCTGGAGATGCATGAAGATTCCCTCGAGGAAATCCAATTGTGCAACACGACGATCAACTGTTGTAACCAAATCTGTCTTGTCCAGCGTGTAAGAATAGATTTCCCTCAATCTCTCATAGAGATTAACTTCACTGTGGAGATTGAGAAAGGGATTATGTGTGCTGAAGTAGTCCAAATCGATGTCCAAAATGAAGTTTTCTGGTCTCACGTCGCCACAGAGAATCTCTTCCACTGTGCCAACGTGTAATTCAATGGATTTCTGACTCTTGAGACACTCAATGGGTGCAAAACTGCCCTCTGATATGAAGTACTCAAGCTCACTATCCACATGAATGTGTCCATTGTGTTCGCCAACAGTGAAATCATGTCGTCCAGGTGGAATTTGTTGTGCCCAATCTTGACGAATCCAGAAGATTCTGCTCACATGACCGGCAAAACATGTTGGCATAATCCAATTCTCGATGCTGAGTGACGGAAGGAGCTTTTCCTTGTCGCAAATCGCCGTCGAAGGCAATTTCATGGGCACCGTGAGGTCCGGATGAGCGTCAAAGTGGACAAGAGTGTTGCCTTCGAAGGGTAAATGTCGCGATCCGAGACAGCGATAGACAAAGTGAAGGACATCATTGTGCTCCTCGACGATAAACACGGGAATTTTAGTGAATCTGCGTGGTTTCTTCTCCATGGAGGGAGAGAAAAACTCAAGTTTTCGGCGCTGATAAAAGAGAATAATAAGAAAACAGCAAAGATTAATAAATTAGTGGAAAAATTTAAAGACAATCATTATGATTTCAGATTAGGCGGTTTTTTTGCCACTTTTGCATTGCATTGAGTCTAAAAAATCCATCAAGATATTGCGAGGGACTTTATGAAAAGCTCAGTTTTGAGAATTTCTTTTGAATGGTAATTTATATGGCTTTTTCCTAGTCTTCCATTCACAAAATGTGTGTATGTCTTTCTTTCTCATTCTGAGCAACACGAAATTTTCCACTCGCTCATTCATTGATTTGCCTGGCGAGGGAGAGTCATTTATCTGAGGGGGCGCACGGGGGAGGCTCGAGAGTGAATGTGAAAAACACCCACGCGCGAAATTGTGAATTGCCGAGGGAAAGACGCTTTGGGCAAACTAAAGCGTTGCTTTTCCCGCAAAAGAGGCTTTTTTGCCAGCGGGCCAAGAAAGCATGCCTATTTTCGTTGGCCTGCGAGGCTACTTTGGCGGCTCAGGGGAGAGAGGGGGTGTGGATGAGGGGGTGGCGCGCGGGGGCTTGTGTGCTGGTGGCTAAAAAAAGACACCCGATAGGGGAGAGACTTGCGTGGGCGATGGCATAAATTACGATGAGAAAGTGAGAGGCGAGGTGTGGGAGTGATGCGCTGGGATGGGACTGTGCAGGTTGTGCGCGCCACTGCGCGCGCGCGGTGACCTCGAGTGAAAATTGGCGCGTCTTTGCGCGCTCTTGTGGAATTTCATGAATGAAGTGACGTCGTCGGCCAATCAGAGGCCGGCTCGGCTCTATTCATGCGCCAGCAGCGCCTCTCGCACCAACACCACCAAACACGCACCAGAATCTCGAGGGATTTCTGCAGGTGACATGGAAAATCCCCTGCGCGCATGAAAAGCAGGCGTGTGGAGTTTTCGGGGCAGAGCACAGGACCTCCAGAGACACAGAACCCTTCTCAAGGATCCACAACGTGATGTAATTATGGGATGAGACTTACAATGCAAATGTAGACACTGAAGTGAAATCATCCAGCAACTCTTCAAGGGAGATTTGGCACTGAAAATAAGAGGGTGTTGAAATTTCCGGTGAAAAATTCATATGTTTCATTAAAGTTGCTTCTTTTGCAGACACATTTGGCTCTGCTTTTGTATTATAATAGCATGATTTTCTGTGGAAATTCAAAAATAATACAAACTACTTTTATCAGCAATCATTCGGCAAGTTTGTGTGTAGATAAGCCGTTTAATTTTAATTGAAGATTGGCGTGAAAGTTTAATTCCCATGAAATTTACCCCCAAAATCAAGTCTGGTGGCTTCTAGTGATTTCCTTGGGGCAGCAGCCTGCGCGCTGGCAGCACGAGCGAGGAGTGCCAGTGGCGTGGTGGGAAATCGAGTGTCCGTCAGTTGGAGTTGGGACTTTGTGTGAGCTTGTGGTGCTTCGCTAGCACTCTGCGTGGCATGTGAAGAGAAACAGAAGAGGACTTGCTTCCAAAACACTCCTGAACAAGAACATCGTCAGCCCTTTAGTCGAAAAACGCTTGTGATGCAGTGCGTGACGTCTCTGGTGCAGTGAATTTGGAACAGAACACAGAGAGAGAGAGAGAGACTCAAGATGCCAGACTCTGAGAAGGACATCGTGACGAAGGAGTGGCTGCAGGCGGAGCTGCGGGCTGCCACGCGGGATCTCATCATCCTGGACTGTCGCAGCTCAAATCTCTATGCGGAGTGTCACATCCGTTCGGCTGTGAACTTCTCCATTCCCAGCATCATGCTGAGACGCCTCGCGGCTGGCAAGATCGACATCACGTCCACGATCAAGTGTCGCATCCTCAAGCAGAGGATCACGAATGGATACAAGGAGGGCATCTTCGTGCTGTATCACGACGCGATGGACGCAACAAATGACACAATTAATGTGTTGCATCGACGACTCAAACAAGATGGCTGCCATGTTGTGTGTCTCGAGGGTGAGTCCAAAAATGCTCTATCTCTTTGCATTCGCCGTGCGCGCCCCCCTGCGCGGCTCCACAGCCCCCCAGCCATCCCGCGGACAGTCAGGCACGTCAGGGTGTCATTCCGCGAGGACTGTGCCCCGTTACTGTCCAGAATTGGGCGCTTTTGGGCGTCTCGAGAGGCGCTGGAGTGGTGACCTTCTCACGCACACCAACACACACACTCACGCAGAGCACTTTGCTTTCGTGTTGGGTGAAAACCGTTGAAACGTGAGAGAGTCGAAGAGACTTTGCGGAATGCGGTGATTTATTGAGATTTGCGGAAATTAGTTAATTACACCTGTAATTCTTATCAGTTATGTGCGGAAAGAAGAGTGGCAATATTACGATTTCACTCGAGTGTTAAAGAAATATTGTTTCTAAACACATTTAACATGGATTTTGTGTCTAATTTTTACTCCTTTTATCTGCTTTTCGATCCATTCTTGGACAATTATTTAAGCTTCCATGATTTGCGTCTTAATTACATAGACCTCTAAAGCAAAATCTTCTGATTGTCCCCTAAATTTCTCAGAAGTCTTGGCCTTTAGTTCGTTGCACTGTGTCTCTGGAAAAAGTTGAGGAATATAAGAATGTATGATTCTGGAGGGTTATTTAGTAATCCGTGGAATCAAATATATATTTTTGCATGAATTTATTTCAGGTTTATACATGTGCAAGTCTTCATATCTGTTAAACTCCTTGTTGTTTCCTAAGAACATTGGCTAGACCAATTGAGCAAAAAAGGCTCCTAATTAGTATAATGAAGAATTGCGTTCCGAAGAACAGGTGTACTGGCGAAAGAGAGAGAGAGACAGCGATTCATTGATATCGCGGAGTTGTTTATGAATGAGTTGCCGATTATAGTTATCAGTTCATTGAGATACAATCGAGCTTTTATGCAGGAGTTTCTTCGCCAGTGTGTATATATCTGGGAATATTCCACACTTTGCACTCTCGCCGCAATGATCAAATCCTCGTGCGTTGATTGTTGGATTGTTTTTTAGGTCAGAGTGAGCATTTTAAATGGTTAATTGATTAATAAATTGTTCACACCGGAAATGCTGGTTAATCGAGCGTCTCCACGACAAATCAATTAATTTCCCATTCAGTCGCTACAAAGTGTTTCACTTTGCGGGAAAGTTTATAAGACAGAGAAGATTCTTCTTGGCGGTTCAAAAGGTCATATACTTTCAATTCAATTCATATTGTTGAATATATGCTTTCTCTGACGCGCTGACCTCTTCGTCGTGTGTTATGCCATCTCTTAACTCTCAACTTCCTCTCTGCATTTGACTCGCTTGTTGCGCGCGACTCTCTGTGAGACAGAAATCTCCATTGCAACGCGACTCTGCATTTTGCATTGAGATTCCAGTAATGAGATCACACTAAAATGGTCATATTTTGAGAATCGTTCGAACGACTCGCTATTCATGGGAAACACCGAAAATGTTAAAAACTTTGCACGCGAGTGAAAAGAGGGAGACTTTGGAAAAATATTGATAGAATTCAATGATTTGAGTGGATTTTTTCGGAATACTTATAGAGGCATTTCGTGTTTGTGTGTGTGTGTGAGGCGGCAAATTGATTGTGTGGGCAAAAAGCGACAGATTATGAATGAAAAGTGACGCGTTCTGTGGTGTGTAGTTTATTTGAATCAACCCAAACATTTACACGGGATACACAAAGCCAGACTTGTGAGTGGAGAAGAGTAATGAATTGCACGAGGCGATTCAGTATGGAAATGTGCGGCGTTGCGATTCACCAAGAATGCCTCATTCATCCTATGCGCCTTTTCCGCTTTGGAAATGAGATGCAAGAGCTTTTGCTATTCAAAATTGCCATCAAGGGTGAGGCACTCGAGTGGAAGTTTCACTATAATGCGACTATGAAGAGAGAATGGAAAAATATTCAGTTCTTATCGAATGAAAATGCTGTCATTCTTAAATGTGTGATGAATTTGTAATGGAATTACTGGGAAATGATAAATAATAATATTTGTCAAATTGCATATAAAATAGATCGATTTTTTGTCGTTGTGAGAATCAAAGCGGAGAAAAAATGGACAGAACTGGCAAATGGGCGGGGCATGAGAGTGGGCGTGGTGTCTGCAGATTAGAGTGATTTTCAGACATTCCCATAGACAACTTATCTTGTCAATGAACAGCGAACAGCACTGTTTCTCTTCCAGGGAAGAAAAAAAAATTGCGGCATGTTTGAGTGCAATTAAAGGTCTCTCTATACTCTTATACATATATAGTACATTACACAGAGATTATGAATGGGAATGAAAGATGTTACGTCTTCTTAATTCTCCATTCCCGCATGTATGCTTTGGGTAGTTTTATAGCTGAAAAGTTTTCCAACATTACAACAGCTAGAGAATTCTCCTCTTTTTTTCTATCGCGATCGCGCGATGGTTTTCTTCAAAAGAATTTCATGTGTGAAATTCCACGAAGAATGAGAATTGACGACAAGAATATGAATGAGAGAAAAGCTGAACTGTGTGTGCGAATGAGAGGGCAATAATAAAAGTTATGGTGTTGTTTAACCGATTGAAGACGCTACTTCCTGTTATTCAGATTCTCTCTCTCCATCTCGTGTGTGTCTGTTTTTTCTCCCTCTCTCTCTTCTCTTTTCTGTACGTAAAAATTTTTTTTCCGTCAATTTGTGATGTTTGAGACTCTTTTTACGATGACTCTCGCGGCCGCCCATGAAAAAGTGTGTTTGTTTGTTCTTTCTCACTTGTTTTCAATCCCGCGTGCGGGTTAATTTTTTTTTATACATATTTGAGGGAAAAGGGAAAAATCAATTTTGAAATTTCCAACTTTAGTGCGTTTTTGGTGAAAAAAAAAACACTTGATTTTTCACTGAGAATTTCCTACTATTTTTGGACTCTGACACAAATGGAGAGACACACTTCGGAAATAGTCTCTGGATGTCACCTTGTGGCTGTCCAAAAAAGCGGGTCATTTGCCTCCAAAACAGTGAAGGTCGCGTTGAATGGTGGTGTTGGAAAAGGAATCCACACGCCAGTCACACGGATTCGTCGAAAAAAAAAGAAAAATCATTCGATTTTTTTGTTCATGCGGTATTTTTAAAAGTAAATGAAATATGTATTATGTAAAATGGATTTTTTTGAAGAAACCGCGCGCACTGGTTTTGTGAAAGGAGAAGAAGAATGTGTCAGAGGAGAAAAATTCAATGAATGGCGTATATTGTGATGGAGTTCTTTGATGGCTTGCTGTATTTACATTTATAATATCAATGACATGAGGTGGTCAGTGAAGATTTTCTGTTATATTTTCAATTAGCAAATTGTGAGATGGTTTCGCGGTGCTGTTTTTTTTTCTCTCGCTCTCTTTGAGCTGTGTGTTGTGTGTTGAGAAGAGAGCAAATTGCGGGTCTCTTTCGCACTCTATTTGTCACTTCCCGGACGGAAGATGAATAAACTGTGATGGTGCAAAATTCAATGGAAATTCAATGTGTGTAAATAGAGAATTTCCTCTGTAATGCTACCTTTTTTTGCGCCACCATAAACGTTGTCGTGTCTCATCTATTTTGAATATATATACATAACTTTTGCATATTGTCAGCTTTGTCACACGATATTTCGTTTTATCGTGTTTATGTGTTTTTTTTTGGCCAAATTGCAAGAAAAATTATTATCTCTAGTGGCTGATGAGAGAGAGAGAGAGATTATGTGTGTGATTTGAAAGTATAGAAGAAGAGAGAATGTGCCTCATTTCCTTGTGTACCTTTATTATTATTATTTCGTCTTTGCCCCGTGCAAAAGGCATTCTCTTTCACCTGAAAAAAGATGAAGAAGAAGGAGGAAAAAAGCAAAAATGCCATGTCGATGAATATGTGGGAGTTTTTGCTCTGTTGTAATTTCTGTAATGAGAAGCAAAGTGAGAGAAAGAGAGAGAGAGAGAGAGAGAGAGGAGTTTATTCATGCTTCCACGTTATAAGAAAATTCATTTGCCTTCCGCCCCACTCGTAGTCGCGCTGGGAGAATGTGTCTCTGGTTTTCATTCATGAATTGTATGTGCTGTGTTGGTCGCGCTCTTCTGAATGATGTGTGTCTCTCTGTCGATGTGTGGCTGAAATGTTGTGTTGGGTAAATCGATATGATATGAGGCCACATTATATGACATTTTATGGAAATGAGAATAACTCTTTCATTCAACCCCACTTTCTGCATTGATTGAAAGTGAAGGAAAATGCTTGTGTATTAATAATATTCTTCTGGTAGGCATTTATTAAGAGTTGCGATGATAATGATGGAATACGCGTCGAAATTCATTGATTTCCATCTGTCGCGCTCTGCCTGGAGGGCTTGAGACACATCGACGACGACGTCGAGGTTTAATTTTTGGTGTGAAGAGACAATTGAGTGGGCAAACAGTGCATTTCTCAGAAAAACTGTTGAATCGTTATTAATTGATCTCCGCCCTCTATCCCATTCTCAGCTCTCGTTCTTTTTTCTTCTGCATCTCACAACAGTCTTTTCATCATACCAACAGCCACAATTCTTTTCAATTATTATCCTCTCTCTCACTCGGCAATGTTTGTTGGAGAGTAATCAACAAAAATGCTCCCCATTTGCACTGCGAAAGAGTGATCTCATCATGTGTGCGGATTTTTTCTCCTTTCAACTCCATTCGCAATACAGTTTTCCGCACAGTAGAGTTGTCAGTGACATAGATTAGAGATATTCTTTATTTATTTTACATTCATTACACAATAATTTATTTTATGGGAATGTAATGAAGAATTGTAATTATTGCATATTAAAAATTTTCTATTATCAATAGAATAGTCTTTATTATTAATAGAAAAAAGTCATTTTGATAATTTTTTATTCGTAATAAACCAAAAACTGCCCTCCAAATGCACTTTTGTGAATATTCTATTCGCGAAAAATCACTTATTTAAGTAGAAACTTTTCACCTTATTTGTATTTTTAACACAAATTGAAAAAGTAAAAAATTAGATTTTTTTAACAACACAAAACATATACAAGAGAATGTAAAAACAATTTTCGGGTGAAAAAAATGCATGTTTGATATTAAAAATTTACTAAGAATTTCATGCGGTAATCAGCGTACTTGTATTGCAAGAATACAATAATTCACGATGACTGCGAGGAAATACAAAGCTGAGGAATGCGCAAAAGGCGGAAAAAATGGCCTAAGAATTAGCAATACACATGAGATGGCTTCATTCATTATAGAGTTGTTCAGGAAATTTCGCAGACTAGAAAATGTCATCCATGGACAGGTGATTATGAGACGCAACAAGGCATTAGCGATTTTAGCAGTAGAGGCGCAAAAAGAATCCGAATGAACGATTTGGCTGTGAAAATGGAAGTTTCATGTCGCTCATTTTGGGTTGAGATGATGTGTGTGCGTGTGTTTCTGGCGTGGATGTTGAATTAATGTGGATTTCATTATGAGCATCGCCAGAGCAACAATTGGAGCCATTTTTAATTCATTTCATGTTTCTGCTGGCCCAAGGCGCTTTTTTCCCTTGAAATTGCGCACGGCGTGTATGATATGGGGTGAGGCAGAAGAGGTGGTGTGCTTTTGCGTGTGGCGGAGGGAGAGAGGGAAAAGAGTCCGGGCTGTGAGTTGAAAAGTGCGCAAAACGCATTCAATTTTTGCGTGGGCGGGTTCATGACCTTCATGCAAGATCACAAACAACCATGTAAGGGATTCGCAATGCGAGAAGAGAGCATTTTTGTTAAATGTTTAAATAATTTCACCATCTCTCTTTCTCTCTCGCTTCGGCTCACAGTCAAAACCACACTGCTCTTCATTAGCATCCACCTAGTCAGTATAAAATGTGCGGAATCAGGTGCAAAAGTGGCTCCTTTCTTGCTATACCTCTGATGACTTGGCTTTGGTGCGAACATTTGCGTTCTAGAGTCGGTTTTACTTTTATCCAAATCAAGTGATGGCGGCGCTAGCGACACACGATGCAGCCATCTTTGATTTTTAGACTCTTCGTATTATCATTTTTTAGTCAGATAAATATCGCGTGAAAGCTTAATTCTGTACTTAAAGCACATTGAAATATAGTGACATTACATATTAATTTAGCTCTTAAGTTTCATCACCTAAATTTAATATTGACGTCAGCGTATGGAAATTCTTGATGGAATATCTTTGCTGCTGAATTGACAGTGAAAAGGCATGATGATGAATAAGAGATTGAAATTGTGTTCCGTCATCGATCCTTCATTCTCTCATTTTACTGAAGTGTCTGGCGTGTGTTGGCTTCAAGGCATGGGCACACTTCTTTGGTCTTCAAAGAAAACCCATGAAAATTAATTACAGTCTCTGTAATATCTGCACAGGGTCTTGTCATATTTATATTTTCCTCTGTGAAAACGATGTCACAGGTATGGACACACAGACAGTTTGGGTCGGACTTTCTGCGAATGCTGCGTGTGTTTTTAATGGCAGAAAAGGTAGAAAGGTTGACAGAGAGTGTAGAGGAAGAGACTGGGAAATTACGTCAAAATTGTACTGCGGGAAAAGGTCACACAGGAGCGATTGGGGCGAGATTTGAGGCAATTTCCTCCGTGTGGGCACCCTTTGCATTGGATTGTGGGGGTGTGTATTTGTGCGTGTATACGAAATTGATGACGCTGTGAATTAAGAGCGTCTGCCGAGGGTGAAGCAATGACGACGCAGTGAAATCTTCCCTCGCACGTTCACCAAATTTACAGAGGGGGTGAGAAGAGAGCCTTCGTCGTCGCATATTTATCAGTGTCGACATGCCAAAAGCGCGTCGCCCACGCTCTCGTCCTCCGCTCTTTCATCCGTTACATAAAAGCCTTCTCTCCTTGCTATAGATTTTTCCACTTGTGTGGGGGCGTCCGGCTTCTCTTTTTCACCTCTCTTTCTCTCTCTCGCTATCTCCCATCTTCACCCCAAAACTCTGTGCTGATCCCCAATTGCAATTGTGTTGTGGGAAAACAGAGACACATCAAATGTGTTTGAAGTGTTGATTTCCGGGCGAAGACAAAATTGTCGACTTTTGTGATTGTGATAATAATTCACCTATGAAATTGCACTGGTCAAAAGGATTGAAGGGAGGATTTTGGTAATTAATTTCTCTCTTCCAATTAAGGAATATATAAAAGTGTAGCGCAGGTTAATTTTCTCCTACTTGAAATATTAATTTTAAGCCTCTACATATTTATTGCGTTGCTCTGCATCTTTTCACTCTCTCTCTCTCTCTCTCTCTCACGATGGCGAAGAGGGTATTTGTGTTGCATTCTCCGGAAGCTGAAATTGCATCTCCAATGCAATTTATGGTACTTTTCTCGATATCCTTTTCAGGGATAAAATATGGGGGAGGATATTAAATTATAAGTCAATTTCCCGGATATTGAGAATATTGGAAATTCTCAGTGTTCTATTAGTGTTTCACAAACACACTTTTCAGGAAAAGTTCTGTAAAAATTTCCGGTTCTTTGATGATACATTCTTTCTTGACTGTTTAGTCACAACAAGCTGGAAAATGAAGTATTTTCAGGGTGTCTTAAAATGTTTAAAGCTGAAATTTTATCAATGACAGAGATTGAGAAGGCATAATTTACACTGGATCTCATAATCAACATTGCAAATTTGCATGCTTTTTGAGGACAGAGTGTACAATTGTGGATCAACGTGTTCAAATGCTAATAGCATTAATTTAATGTCAATTGACAAGGATCAAATATCCTCTCCACAGTTGCAATTGCATTTGCAGTTCAGATAATAATCCATAATCAATGCTTGTGTGGATGCTTTTGTGCGCCTTTGAGAGCCTGTGAGGATGAGAAGGTGTCCGTGAGAACATGTGAGTGGCGAGGTGATGATGGTCAGCGTGATTATTTGGCACACCAGCCGGGGATGAGTGATGATGTAATAGCGCTGCTTTTGCGAGGGTGTCTCTCTCGTGTCATCTCAGTTGCGCTCATGTGCCATTCCCAGTGGAGCACCTTATTGATTTTTCTCTCTCTCTCTCTCGGCAGAGAACTTCATGAATGAATGAAATGTAGAACAAGAAGTTGGGCGCAAAAAAGAGCCCTGTCGCTGAGGCATCTGCGCTACTACTTGGCGTGGGTGTTTAAAGGTAGATGGCAGAGGAGTGAGAGAGAAAGGAGTCGCTCCTAATGCGATTCCACGGCGTCTGTGTGTGCCTTTCTTGCGTGTGTGGGACGCAATTGTGTGTTTTTTGGGGAGTCAAGAGATGATGATAAAGATTGAGGAATCCTCTGTCATTTCCCTCTTGATAGAGAGGGAGAGAGAGAGAGAGAGAGAGAGTGGGCGCTTTTGGCTCTTCTCATAATAAAGTTCCGATGTGCAGAATGGAAGGGAAATTATTCTGCTGATGAGAGAAGAAGTGAAATATTTTAGGTAGTTTGAGCTTTAATAATAATCACTGGAGCACATAAGAGACAATTCTCAGCAATTGATTTGTTTCCACACATGTGCCATTCAATTAAAGACGTCCAATATACATATGTACCTTTGAGACTCCCTTTGGGCTGCAAGGACGTGCCCACGTTTTCCTGCGAATCGCTCAAAATAGCCGCTGAATTGAATCCCACAATTCTCAGCATGTAAACCATATCAATATATGTTTTTCCCCTGAGGAAGTTCTTTGTATTTATTTACAAAAGCAAGTAACATAGAATAACAGCGCTTCTGTTGTGTGTTCGCCCACAGAGTCCTTCGCGAGCTTCAGGTCCTCCTTTCCGGAGTGGTGCGAGGAGTCAATGGACGGGAATGTGGACGCGAAGATGGCACACGGCGGACAGACGCCGGCGGAGCAGCTAATGGGACTGAGGTAAGTGTGTGTCCATATCGCTGAAATTGCAGCCACTCTCATGCACGTCCTTGCAGATCCCTTCGCATTTCCACACCACAATCAGATTCAGCGTGCAGCAGCTCGGCCGAGTCATCGGACTGCGAGAGTTCCACTCTGTCGCACAGCATCGCGTCTTCTGGGGCGCCGGTGGAGATCCTGCCGGGACTCTTTCTCGGCAATGCACAGCACAGCGAGGACTCGAGGGCGCTGCAGAAGTACAACATTCGCGTAAGTCTAAATCAGACCTCAGTTTGATCTCAGGGATTGTGGTGGAAATTGCATTTTCATTTCAACATTTGATCGATGATAGAATATCTAAATTGAATCCGTCAAGAATGGTCAGTGACAACAACCTGTTGTCAGTTCTGCAACTCATAACTCTAAATCACTAATTGCTGGCATTTTCCTCTCTTTGATTCACGCAGTACGTGCTGAACGTGACGCCGGACCTGCCGAATGTGTTCGAGGGCTCGGGCGGCATCCAGTATCTGCAGATCCCCATCACGGATCACTGGAGTCAGGACGTGGCCGTGTACTTTCCCACGGCGATTCAGTTCATCGAGGAGGCGCGCACCAAGGGTGCCGCCGTCCTGGTGCACTGCCTGGCCGGCGTGTCGCGCTCCGTCACAGTGACACTGGCCTATCTCATGCACGCGCGCTCGCTGTGTCTGAACGACGCCTTCTCGCTGGTGCGCTCGCGCAAGCCGGACGTGTCACCCAACTTCCACTTCATGGAGCAGCTGCACTCGTTCGAGCGTCAGCTCAAGTGTCGCCCCGCCGATCCGCCGCCGCCGCCGGCCGTCCGTGCGCGCGCCACCAAGTACTCGTGCGCGTGCGCCGAGGTGGAGTGCAAGTGCATGCAGACGGACTTTCTGGCCACCGCCACCGGCGTGAGCCCAGATTCGGGCATTGAGTTCGATCGCTGGACGCCCGGCGACACGGAGACGCCCAAATGAGGGCGGCTCGTGGGGAAGAGCTTCGTGTTGCCCACCAGCGTCGAGGATGCTGAGGAGACGACGACGGCCGCCGAGTGAAGTCTCTGCCCACGAGATGTGGGCCCATCGCCGGCGGCCGGGGCGACGGCCGAACGGGGCTCTTTGCCTGCGGGACACATAGATGACATATATGCCAAAACAGCGACGACGGAATCGCCTCGGTGGAGTGGACAAAGTCGAGGAGAGAGAGAGAGATATTGTGGCCGAAAATTGTGTACAATTTGAGCGAAAGAATGTGTTTAAAATCACTTGCAATTTTCCATTTATCGTAGTTCGCTGAACTTCTAGGTTTTCCTCGAGAGAAAAATGTTGTTTTTAAATTCTCTTTTCCACATTATGTGGAGGACTAATTTGAGTGAGACTTTGTGAGTGAAAAACATCCAAGAAGATACAAGTTTAACAGAATTAAACATTTGCGTTTTACAATAGAGAGCGCAATTGTGGATTTTGAGGCGATAAGAAACACTATATATGGCACTAAAGTTAAATATGAGGATAGATAAAGTGTTCTCCTTAAAATTATTGATAGAAAACTCTGCAGAATCTTTTGATTAAATTTCACACTGATATTTGGCAAGTCATCATTTATTCTTTGGTCTGAATATATCTTTTTTAATTCTCCTTTTTGACTCATAATCTCACAATAATTGTCCTAAAAATTCATAAGACGTTCAAGAACTGCTTCAATATCTCAAAGGGTTCAAGAAGGACTACAGATTTGGCCATATTATGTCTCCCTTGCGCACAATAGAGAGAGAGAGGAAGAGAGAAAGAGAGCTACTTAAAGAGCGCGCCAAATCTCAGACGATTCCGCTGTGCTGGAAGAATATCTACAATTAGACACGCATTAGAAGTGGACACATATATAATTTCTTCGGCAGCTTGAGAGGATGTTGTGTTGTTGATTGTTGATTTGTGTAATGAGAGTTGATTTGAGAAAATAATACACTAATATTTAAAATATTTGTGAAATATTGCTGAACATTTCAGCGGATTTCTTTCTAAAAAAAAAAGTAAATAAACAAATCAAGATATAAATATCTAAATATATTATTAGAGAGAAAATGGAGAAGTTATGGAAAAAATATTGATGAAACTAATAATATTCATGGTGTAAATTTTATGATATTTTGAAATTAATGTATAAATTACATCAAAGATGCAATATTTTCCTTTCTTTTATTCAATATTAAATCTTTGTAACTCCGTTGTGGATATTTAACAAAAGAGAAGAGACGAAGAAGAAAAATAACTAAGAATAAGAACATGAAAAACCTCATTGAAGAACACGAGATTCTAAAAAAAAAAACAGCAGCACTTAAACTTAGATGCAGTAAAAGCTTAGAGAAGCTTTTCGATATGAAGAAGAAGAATAAAAAAAAAACATGAGAAACAATTTGTCTAATTCCAAAGAAAAGTTCTCATAATGTGCATTTTTTTAAACATAATTGTAAAAATATAGCCAAAGTTGTTCTCTTTACACCATAAATTTCATTCCATACGAAAAACACAAGTGTTGGAATCGAAGAATGAAATAACAATAAAAATTGCCTCCAAAACATTCCTGAAAATTTCAAACACCAGCGATAGTAAGATAACATTTTTTTGCAAAAATAAGAAGAATAAGGAAAAACATTTATAGAAACACTGTTTGCATTTATATGGTGAACAAGGTTTCCAAACTTCCATAGAACTGTAAAAAAAAATCACGAATTGAGAGAACTTATTCTCAAGAGAAAAAAAAAACATTTACATAATAATTACACTTTCCTAGAAAAAAATGCAGAGAAGGAATATAAAACATATATATATTTTTGGATAAAAATATGATGAAATATTAAAGAATTCCACATTGTATTTTTGTAATAAACGAGCCAATATTTCTTATTCCCACAGAGAAAAAAAAAATTAAACAGTGAAGAACAAAATTTGTGTAAAACTCAGCTTGATGAAGAAATAAAAGGATTAAGCATTAGACATTAAAATGACATAAATTCTAATAAATGCATTTCCTAATAAGTATATAAAAATAATGATATATAATTAAATGGAAGGTTTTTTGCAGTCGCCAAAGTTGTTTAATTCCTCTTTTCACTACTGTATTAAAAGCGCAGAGTTTACATCCAAGAGCAAGAGAGTAAGACACGTGAGAGATTGAGAAATTATGTAAAGGAAAGAAAAACATATAAATATATATATATTACTGTAATTGACAAAGTGAATAAACACACAGTGTATTAATAAAGGATATAAAGAAAAAAAACACATGTAAAAATGATATTTGCCATGGGAGAAGCCAAGATTTCCGGGGGGGCGGGAAGGGATTGTAAAAGTCAGAAGCGAGAGGAATAAAAAGATGAGCAAATTTGCAAGTTTGTGAGATATTTTCCCCTCGAATCCATGCGCCTGAACATGGGCAAAATGCGGCGCCGGCGAAGCTGTCTTTGGCCAGAAATGTTGTGAGCAGAGATCATCAAGTCCTCGGTAGTATAGTGGTCAGTATCCCCGCCTGTCACGCGGGAGACCGGGGTTCGATTCCCCGCCGGGGAGAGGATCTTTTTTATCCCCCCTTTTATATCCGTTTTGTTCAGATATTGCAAATATACTTACTTACAATATCTAAACGCAAGTAAAATTTCTTTTCTTTACAATTTATTCGCTTTTTCAAAGTGAAACAAGAGGAATTAAAATGTTACTAAATTAAATCAATTCTGGGTAAACAGATTTATTGCAATGTACGCTGCCTTTATTGGCACAAGTGCGAAAATGAGTGTGGAAATCTCTCAAGGCGCTCAGCTTATAAATTTTGCAATTCCTCCAGAATCGCCACAAGTGATTATATCAATTCATCTGGGTGGTCATGATTAGACAATGGATTTTACCACTTTGCCTGTTCGTTCTCCACATTCCCTTCAGTGCCGCCAAATCATGCACAATTCGTGTCCCAGAAGACATTCCTCACGATGGCGAACCGATTTATCTCAACCCAGATGAATCAGGCTTCAGGATCACCGGAAAGGTGACTAAGATCGAGTCTCTGTCTGTCTTCTGTCCCGGCAGGACGATCGAGAGTGTTCCTTGCCAGCGCGATGGACACTCTCTGTTGGTGGCACAGAAGAAGTGCAAAGGAAGGATTCTGAGTGAATTGCTGGACACGAGAGAAAAGTGCGGGAAATCCGGAACGCTGATTGAGATTGGTTTCCAATTACCCTCGAAGCATTTCTACTCGATCTACAGCTCGTGCTTCGACAGGAAGAGTCTTAGCCCACTCTACACGCATCACGTGCTGAACGGAAAGGGTGTGAAATGTGAGTCAACTCAAAGTCATTTGTGCAAAATCCCATCGCATTCTTCACACTTCCAGACCGCATTCAAATCAAATCAAATACATGGCGCTTTTCCATTCAGCACCTCAAGAGGATTTAAGATATGCTGAATTCGCGCGCACTTTGCAGATCGCGTGAAGCAGCCCAGAAAAACATTCCGCGAGGGCAAAGGCGTCTACATCGGCGTCAACATGGATGAGCTGTACAAAGGTCAGCTGGAGCGCTTCCGGAAGCTCTTCGGCGCCAAGCAGCAATTCGTCCTGTCGTCCAAAACGTCGCAGCTCTTCCTGTCGCGCGGCCACTTGAGTCCCGAGGCGGACTTCACCTTCGGCACGGAGCAGCACGCCAGCGAGATGTACGTGAACACGGCGCCGCAGTTCCAGAGCTTCAACGCCGGCAATTGGCTGCGCGTGGAGAGCCGCGTGCGCGCCCTGGCCAACGCACTGCAGGACGATCTGCATGTGTTCACGGGTGTCCTGGACGTGCTGCAGCTGGCCAACCGCAAGGTCTTTCTGGGCAACGGTGTCGTGCCCGTGCCGGCGCTGTTCTGGAAGGCCGTGTTCCACGTCAAAACCTCCGCGGCGATCGTCTTCGTGGGCGCTAACAATCCGCACGCAGAGAACGGTGCTCCGTCTGTCTGCAAGGATGTCTGTGCGGAGGCAGGATTCGCGGAGAATAGTTTCTCCAACTCCACTCTGGGCATCACCATCTGCTGCGCCCTCAAGAACTTCGTGAAGCAGTCCAAAGTCGTCCTGCCCAGAGACATTGAAGGCCGAAAGATGCAGCATTTCACCAAATTGCTCACATCCGCCGAAGGGAGAAACGGCAATTAAGCAACAAGGATTTCTTTCTAAATATGTTGCTGAGTCCACAATTTTCTCCAATTCGGCATTTGATGGAAAATATGTGATAAAGTCTGGAATTGAGGGAATTAAATGAAAATTCAGGCGATGTTTCAACTTCTCGCCAAGAAGGAAGGCCAGAGTCCTGCGCGTGCTGGCGAATCACGAATTCTTTGAAGGAATTGTTTAATTGCTGTTTCATAGCCGAGACACGAACCGTCTCTCGAATGAGTTCAGTTCGCAGTTTCCTCTTGAAGCGATCACAAAACCTCTGACTTTGACTTTGTAAATCTCTCTCAATTCGTTCTAAAAGACTATTTTACAACTTGTGCCAACAAGCAGTGAACTAGTGTGGCTTCGCGAACGTGGGCATAGGCAGTGAGAGTCCCTCTTTTGACTCGAAAAACGTGTAAGAAAGTGTGATTTCGTCGACCAACTCCATCTTCGGATCCTCACAGAATTCCGGGTCAATGTAGAAGAACACGGGCATGTCCACCTCCTCGTGCGGATTGAGTTGCTGCTCTTCGAAGCAGAAGCACTGAATCTTGTTGAAATACTGGCCAGCTTCGAAGGGAATCACGTTGTACGTGCTGATGCCGATAACGGGATGATTAGTGGGATTCTTTGCCGTGTAGAACGCCAGCGCAGTCTCTCCGGGCGCCACCTACAAAAGTGAGTACTCGCATGAGATTCTGCCACCCCAATTCACTGTCTCACAAGATATTCACCAATATTTCGACTTGCTGTGGCTTGAAATTCCATCGCATTGCCGCTCCGAGATCCGCGTTGAACTTTATCTTGATGATTCTGTCTTCGATTTTCTGCATTTTCTCCACTTTGGAACCATCGTGATTCGTGGCTGTGGTGCCTCCGTAACTGTAGGCCTGGCAGAACATCCTGTACAGAGGCACAGCGGCGTAACTGAGCCCCACCGTCAAAACGCCGGCGGCTGTGAAGTAATACAGCGTCGATCTGAGTCTCTTCTTGACTTCCTGGTTGCCCTGATTCTGGCTCAACAGTCTTATCTGACTCCTCACATTATAGCTACTCTTTCCACACGATCTCCAGAGAATCCTCGAGGGAAACAGCAAGTTTCTCAGCATAATTCTCTAAGCAAAATTGAGCTTTTTCACACGTGCTGGAAAAACGACAAAGGACGATGTTAAGGATGGTGACAGTTGTTGAATTTCATTTCTAGGATGTTTTCTTACTCAAATTCTCTGTACAATTTACGTCATTTGCCTTAAATATTAAATATTTTCACTAAAAACCTCTGTTCTGGGGTTTGTTTTGATTTTTGACACTGACGAGAGCTTTTTCCCAGTCGAACAGTCGTACATTACCAAGAACAATATGCATACAAGCGGCGCTTTTCGTACAAAGCTTCCCGCCAATTTCCGTCTCTAGGAAACGTGTTTATTGGCAACAATCCTTGGCAATCTCAACAAAACCCAGTGAATTTGTGAAAATGGACTTTGACTTGGATGATCCGCTAGATGATATCCTGAAGAGTGATGAAAGTGATAGTTTCTTCGATACAGGAGTGAAGAAGGATGCCGCAGGAGCCAAACCTGCCACACCAGCGAAGAAGGAGGTTCCTGGAAAGGCTAAAATGTCTGATTTATTTGGCATTGGCAAGTCTGAGAGTGTTCCAAGTCAGCCAAAGAAGCCAGAAGCGAGCGCTGCAGTTGAGGCGCCGAGAGTGAAGCCAGAGCCCAGGAAAGAAACACCCAAGAAGACGCCGGAGTTGAAGAGCAAGGTGTCCTTTGACGATGATGCGGATCTGGACTTGGGATTTGATCCGAAGCAACCCAAGGCGAAGACGAATATCTTCGAGGATTTGCTGGGGACGAAGTCTGTCCCGAAAACTCCTCCTGTCCAGCGAGATTCGCGGCCAAAGACAACGCCAATATCTCGCCAGTCGACTTTTGACCAAGGAGACGGAGATCCTGCACCACAAGTGCCAAGTGGGCGGCCCAGAACGGCGGTGAAGACCGGAGGGAATATTCCTGATCCTCTGGGATTGTTTACGGAGAAACCAGAGCCACAAGCAGCGACTGCTAAAAACACCCCAAAAGACTGGTTAGGATTGGGAACAGAGAGTGCTAAGGAAGCTCCTGTGAAGCAGAGCCAGAAAGAGGAGAAAGTCGCTCCACAGCAAACTCAGGAGCAAGTTCAAGTCTTGAGTGGAGAGACAGTTTTGCAGTCCATGCGCCAACAGGAGAGTCAATTGATGCTGGCGGGACAGCTGAAGAATCAGGAGAGATCACTGGTGGAGATTCAGGCTCGTCAGGCGGATCTGTTGCGTCGGCAGGAAGTGCAGTTCTCAGAGTTGATGCAGAAGCAGATGCAGCGACAGAGTGTCCTGGAGGAGAACATCAGGCAGCAGCAGGAGAAGATCAATTCGCACATTGAAGTGCTGATGAATCAACCGGTTTTGGCGGGAATTGCCGTGAAGAGTGAAGAAGCACAGAGGACAGCAGAGACTGTGGAAGTTGTGGAGCTGAAGGCGGATGTGAGGAGATTAGAGCTAGAGAAGTTACGACTTGAGGATTTACTGTCGAATGTGAAGAGTAATCATGAGGAGGAGTTGCTGTTGATGGAGAGAAGTCATAAGAAGCAAATTAGTGTGCTGGAAGAGACTCTACAGAGTCTCGAGAATCGCCTGAAGAGTGAGAATTCCAGTTTGGAGGAGTTTTTCGCCAGGAAATTAGCCAAACTCGAGGAGGAGAAGGTCGGTTTGGTGAGAGAGGCGGAAGAGAAGCTTGATGACATGAAGACAAGCCATCGGGATGCTCTGGCCACGCTGAGGAGTGGCTATGAGAGTGATCTTGAGCACATCAGAGAGGATCACAAGAGGATTGTCGAGAATATAAGGGAGTCAAAGCTGATGGAATTCTCAGTGGTGCAGGAGAATTCCTCCTATCTGCAGCAGCTGAAGACTGCCTCGTCATATCTGGAGACTGCTTCGGGGAACATTGAGACGCTGAGAGAGACAATAGATGAGCGGATCAATGTTGTGACTGCAGAGAAGACGCGCGAACTGGAGGCGAAGGAGAGGAATCTCGAGGAGCAACTGAAGAGAGTGGAAAGGAGTCGTGATTTGGCAGAATCTGAGCGTCTGCGATTGCTAGACATGGTCAATGTGCTCGATGTGAAGCTGACAAAATTGTCCCAGGAGGCGTCGGAGGAGCAGTGGATGATGAAGGAGAAGCTGGCCACGCTGGAAGTCGAGAGGAAGTCCTTTGAGCGCGAGCGGGATCTTGTGCGAGAAGAGCAGAAGCGCCATGAGAGGCGAATTGAGGATCTGAGGATCATGACACAGGAGGAGCACAAGAGGCTGATGTGTCAGGTGGAGGACGAACGGAGGAGGATCGTGGAGGAGCGCATGAAACTGGAGATGATGGAGAAGATCAATCCAGGCAGGAGTTCACGAGCAGAGGTGGAAATTGCCCTGAAAGTGGCAGAAGATGCTGCCAAAGAAATTGACAGGGAGCGAGAGAATCTGATGAAGTTGCAGAGGGAGTGTGATTGTGTGAGGCGGCAGCTGCAGGATCGGGAGAACAGTTTGAGGAGGCGTGAGGTGGATGTGGAGGCGGCACTGAGGACGGCTCAAGCGCGAGAAGCGGCGGCCGAGGGTGCTTTGGAAGGAGCGAAGGCGACGGAAGCGCAGTTGATTCAGAAATACCAGCAATTGTCGCAGAACTCCAAGGATCTCTGTCAGCGGGAGGAGAAACTGTCGCAATCGTGGGAACAGCTGAGCAAGGAGCGATTGGAGATGCAGGCCATGCGGAGGAGCCTGGCGGAATCCAAGTGCAGTCTGTGTCGCTTTGGGCAGACAAATCAGAAGATCGCAGATCTGTTCAGCATGAAGTTGGCGGATCAGTCTGGCAAGATCACAGAAGTGAGGAACTTTACGGAGGAGATTGAGAAGCTGCCGAGTGTGACGGATGACGATCTGCTGAATGCGTCAAAGATGAAGAGTATGTCCAGGAAGAACTTGTAATTTATTTTAACTCTTTTGAATATAAAGCAGTCGATATAAAAAAGGATGTTTTTCAAACATTTTTCTCAAGCTGACGAAGGACAGCGCGTTGCTCAGGTACTCGTCAAATACAGTTCCTGGGAGTCGAACCCAGAGATATGCTACAGTTAAGGAGATTTAGGCGAATGAGAGTACCGACTTCTTGATGATCTCCACGCACTCATCAATTTGCTCCGCGGTCATCACAAGGGGTGGCGCGAAGCGAATGATGTCACCGTGCGTGGGCTTGGCCAGCAGACCGTTGTCTCTGAGTCTCAGACACACTTTCCAGGCGTCGAATGTCTTGTTGATCACGATGGCGTTGAGGAGACCCTTGCCGCGGATCACACTCACGACTTCCTTGGGCAAAACACTGAGGCCCTGACGAAGACGTTCACCCATGATGGCAGCGTTTTCAGCCAGATTCTCCTCCAGCAACACCTGAAGCGCCGACATGGCGACTTTGCATCCCAGCGGATTTCCGCCGTATGTGGATCCGTGCTCGCCAGGCTTGATGGTGAGCATCACTTGGTCATCACAGAGGACAGCGGAGACGGGATACAATCCACCGGAGAGAGCCTTGCCGAGAATCAGGATGTCCGGACGAACGTCCTCATGATCAACAGCCAACATGCGACCAGTCCTGGCGAGGCCAGTTTGTACTTCGTCGGCAATGAAGAGCACGTTGTTTTCCGTGCAGATGCGACGAACGCCCTGGAGATAGCCGTCGTCGGGAACAACAACACCAGCTTCGCCTTGAATGGGCTCCACCATGAAGGCAGCCACATCGGGATCTTGGAGTTTTTCCTAGGGAAGACGCACAAATAAAACGTGCTCTAGCACTTGACCCCAACATCCACTTGTGATACCCATTTGAACTGGTATGTGATCTCATGCTGGTGATCTCGTGCGTATGATAAGGTCAATTGGGGCCCCACCGAAAATTTCCACTCCTCTGATAAGGAGGTGAGGAACAATGACTTACCGCCAGAGTCGCCAAGTCGTTGTATGGCACAATGTCGAAGCCAGGCATGTAAGGTCCGAAGCCCTTGAAGCTGTCTGGGTCCGTGGACGCGGAGATAGCGGACATGGTGCGTCCCCAGAAGTTGCCTTCTGCGAACACGATCTTCGCCTTGTTCTCGGGGATCTTCTTCACGCTGTAGCCCCAGCGCCTGGCCAGTTTGCACGCTGTCTCGCCACCCTCAACACCAGTGTTCATGGGTAGGACCTTGTCGTAGCCGAACAGTCGCGTGACATACTCCTCGTACTCACCCAGGACGTCTGAGTAGAAGGCCCGGGAAGTGAGCGACAGCACCTGAGCCTGCTCCACGAGAGCCTGGATGATCTTGGGATGACTGTGACCCTGATTGACAGCAGAGTAGGCGCTCAGGAAGTCGTAGTAGCGTTTTCCCTCCACATCCCACACATGAACACCTGGAAAATGCCGAAAATAGAAAAATAAACACATGATCTTCGCGACACGCGCGCCCAGACTAACCTTGGCCTCTGCTCAAGGCCACCGGGAGTGGGTGATAGTTGTGCGCCCCGAACTTGTCCTCGCGCTCGAACACTGCCTGGGACGTGAGCTTCCCCTTCTCACTGGGCTTTGCGTTGATCGTGGTCAGGGGAGCGAAGCCAAGGCGCTTGGCGGCACCCAGTCGTCCGATGTGTCTTAGAGTTGCCATGATTCCGGACACAAAAAAATAATTGTGGCAATCAGCAAGTTAATTACGTAGAAAATTGAGCAAGGCTCGAAAAGCTGGTCTGAACGGCACAAGGAACAGATTTCAACTGGTTGCTGGGTTCATTTTTGTGAATTAGCAACAGCTCCGTCGTAATAACAGGGAAGGAGAAGGCAAGGCGAAGCCTTATCACATCGGAAGACAGTGAATTTAATTTCCTATCGATTGATCCAGCTAAGAGTAATGCTGATCTTATTGGAAGAAGATACTTTTGCTTAGATTAGAAAAGATAATGAATTGATCAAAATGAAAGATGGCAGGGTTGTACGATACCGGCGCCTCTACAGTGATTGAAAGTAACGTGAAAACTTGCTTCAAAATCTTTAGACACGCTAGAATTGGCTCTAACTGCAATTATTACGCGTGTTAAGTCATAAATGGGCGGAGCATTCGAATGGGCGGGGCCAAGAACTGCCATGCCAAACTCCTGCCGAAATCAATATACGCGACCAGTCTGTACAGCGATCGGGCACACTTGAGAGAATGCTGAAAAAACGTGAGTTCAGTATTGCTCGTGTATTCGCTATCTGACTGCTCTATCTCAGTCACTCTCAGTACGCATTGGCAAGTGGACTCAGAGTGGACTGGGGGGCTGTTTTCTCACGGAGACATGATAAGGAGAGACTCGTTTGATGTGTTAAAAATAACAATCGCCGCTCGACAGAGTTCAAATTCATCGCATTCCAGGAAAAAGTGGTTGAAAATATATAGTTTGCGCGCAAATTGATAAGCAGAAAAGATGCGAAGAAAGAGAGTTCATGGCATAATAACAGGGTTGATGAGCAGGAAATACTGAGCAAGACACACTTGTTGACCACAGATTCGTATCGATATTTTCTCAAGTGGGGTGGAAAAATTTGCCTTATCGATTTGATTGTGAATTTGAAAAACACTTCCTCAATAAAATACATTATTTATTTCTCCATTATTTCACCCACTCTTGGTTGCGGGATAAAAATAGAATTTTCGCAAGAAAGACAAAAATGAATGCAACGTTATTAGTCAACGTCTCTCTCTTTCTAAAAAAGAAAGAGCTAAAAATAGATATAATATGAAAATGTAATCAAAAGAATTCTCGCATGTTTTTCTTCTTCTTTCACAAAGTGAGATTAGCATCTTCAGCAACAAGTTTAATTCGAATGTTTTTTGAGACAATGCAAAAATGTTTACCACTCTCCTTATCCAATAAATAGCTACGTCTGCGTTCTCTTATCGGCTAAACTCTCTTATAGTTATAGGGTGAGAAAGAAATCAATTAAGTTATAAATCACAAGTTAATGCTTTAGTGATTATTCGATTGGGTGCTCTGCTGCTGGAGGTGATTTCGCGTGAGAGAAGTGCGCAAAAGGTTGTCTTACAATGTACGAGTCATCACAATTTCTTTGTGGAGGAGCAGGCGGTTGTCCGGATGATCACAGGCGACTGCTTCGAAGTCGCTGCTCGGCTTACAAGTCAGTGTAGGATGGAACGGCGGGCGATGCGAGGTCATCAGTCGCGCTCTGCTCGTCGGTGGCAAGTTGCATGAGGGCGAGGGCGCCCAACCACTTCCTGTTCTCGTCCGGGCGCGGCTCCACGCCGCTCTTGCCGGCAATCATGAGGACCGTGGGGCGCATTTGGTTGGGATTCGGCATGGCGGTGGGTGGTGGTGATTCAGTCTGACTCGGGGCGTCTGCCAACGGCTTCGCGAGATCGTCCAGGCACGCGTCGCGCAGCCACTTCTTCTTGGGATAGAATGGCGACACCTCCAGCTCATCGGCGCTCTCCTCACTCACTGGCTCTTGCCAGTTGATCACCTTTGGCTGTGGTCGCGTCTTTGGCGCCACCGGACTGAAGCCCAGTCCGGCATTCATGTCCAGCTCCACCATCAGCCCCTTACGGCTCTTGTATGCGTTTGGCGTCACTGGATACTCAGGCTCCGTCGTGGCCACGTTCTCGTTGTTGTCCTCCTTGGCTGTCTTCCTCTGTGGCGTCTTGCGCGTCGGCGTGCGCTCTTCGCGCTCACTCTTGTATTTCTCCAGCCACTTCTGCACATCGGCGTTCTGCTCAGGATTCGCCATCATCACGTAATTGTCGTCCCGACGGAGCTGGCTGAACACGTGCACCGGACAGTGCCGGTTAGCGTGCGTGAAGCGCATGCCGCAGTTCTGCACGGAGCAGATGAAGGGGCGCTCGCCGGTGTGGAGGCGCTGGTGGGTCTTCAGCTGGCCGCTCTGCGTGAAGCCGCGATTGCAGCCCGGATAGTCACAAATGTAGGGTCGTTCACCTGAAAGCAAAAACCACACAGCATTTTAAAGCCGGCCATTTAAAAGCCTACGAATCTCTTCGTCTGCACTGCTGCACTGGTGTTGAGTGTTGGCCAACAAAGAGTTGAGGCCCTCGAAGAAGAAGACACACGAAAAGCAGAGGAAGAAAAAAACATGGCGGCCTTTAAATATCGCTCTCTTGCGAATGCCATTTAAACGGCGCTCCGCGTCGCGCTCACCTGTGTGCGTCCGAAGGTGGGCGGAGAGGGACTTCTCTCGCGGGAAGACTCTGTTGCAGTAGCGGCACTTGATGGACGAGGGGCTGCGGTTGCCCTCCAGCATCAGCGTCGTCAGGGACTCGGATCTTGGGCGTCCGCGGCGATTCTCGCTGCGCTCGCCGGTGCCGGGCGCTTGGGGGGCGCGGTGGGAACTCACGGGGGTGCTGAGCTGGGACGCGGCCTCGGGGGAGCCGCAGGAGCTGCTGGGGCTCGTGGCAGCGTCTGGCCAGTGAATGCCCTCGCCTGACGGCGCTTCCGTGCACTCGCTGGCGCGCTTCAACCTCTTGGGCGTGTTCACGGACATGTCCTGGCCACTTGGTGCACTCGTGCGGGGATGAATGGGGGCCGCAGATGGATGAAAAGGGTGATTTTGGCGCGGGTCACAACAATACGTCGCCACAGGAGGAAAATAAACGCCATACTAGTGTTGCCAGATGACGCTCATGTGCGCTTGTTCTAAAAAGCTCCCGGCGCTTTGTTGCTCTAACCCGCAAACTTGTTGATTTGCAAGAGTTATATTGAGAGTAGTGCAGAAAGTAAATTTAATTGCGGAATTTATGGAAAATTGCTGACGTTGCAATGTTATCTGAATATTTAAAAATTCCAATGACTCGGGCGTGCGGCGAATGCTTTTGCCTTTGCTGCCATTTTTAGTACAACAAAACAGTGTCATGGAATCCACGCATTGGAGCATGCTGCGATTCTCGGACTGAAAGATGCCCGTTGAGTGAGTGCAGAAGTCGCAAAGTGCGGAGAATAGCTTCCTTGAGTGACTGAGAAGGATTGGGAAGAGCCAGAATGGATGCTGGCATGCTGAAGGAGCTGGAAACGGCTGCCCAACTGGTGATGGTGAGTGTTGTGCGGTGTTGTGTGTGTGGCGAGGGTGAAAGTGTGGGCATGACTGGGTGTTTTTGGGCGCTTGCAGGATCCCCAGTTGGGCACGCAGGAGCAACGAAAGGCGGCCGAGGCGTTGATAATGAACTTCCGGAAGATGAAGAATCCCTATGAGATGTGTCGCCACATTCTGGAGACGTCCACTGTGGATTTGGTGCTGTTCGAGGCGGCGGATCTGCTGAAGACGGCGCTGGTGTACGAGTGGGAGTTCCTGCAGGAGCAGGATCGCGCGGCGATGAGGCAGTATCTGTTCAACTACGTCATGAGCAGGGAGATGAAGCCCTTCGTGCGGGAGAGAATCCTGCTCGTGGTGGCGATCATGATCAAGAGGACGAGCATCGCGGACTTTGGGGCGGAGCGCACGGCGATCCTGGCGGAGTTCCAGCAGATCTTCACTGAGGGCGATGCCAAGCAGCAATATCTCGTGTGCCGCATGCTGATGGCCATGATGCAGGAGTACATGACGACTATCAAGTCGGATGACTCGGGCCTGACGTTCGAGGATCACTTCAGGGCGAAGAAGCAGTTCGAGAACACGTCGCTGCAGAAAGTCTTCCTGGTGATTCTGAAGGCGCTGGAGAAGCTGAATGAGAACTTCGATGGTGGGAGTGGCGTGCAGGTGCTGTGCCTTGAGTTCCTCTCCATCATGGAGATCATCCTGTCCTGGGGTTACATCACTGCCTCGCCGATCTTCTCCAAGCGCCTCATTGGGCTCTTCGAGATGGCCTTCAAGATCGAGCAGACGCCCTCGCTGCGCCTCAATCTGCAGTGGGAGGAGACAATGCTGGAGCCGAGCGTGGTGAAGTTGTTCTTCGACATCTACTGGAAGTGTCGCTCGTGCCAGGATCTGCAGGGCAAGGCGGCGAATTGTCTGGTGCAGCTGGCGACACTCAATGGCCCCATCATGGGCAAGAAGGAGAACAAGGTGAAGTACGTGATCAACTACTTCACCAACTACCTCCAGCTGATGTCCAGCATTGAGCTGAAGCGCGAGGAGTGCATCCCACTCACTGCCATCTGTCGCAAGGTGTTGTTCTACAACCATAAGCCCGGACTGGAGGAGTTTCCGCAGGATCTCGTGGCGGCTGTCCTGCAGCGCATGTTCCAGCTCACGTGCACGGTGGCCGAGCGGACGGTGCAGGAGGACTTGATGGCGTGCGAGGAAGGCGACGCAGTGTATGCCGAGGGTTTCACGAATCTCCTCGAAGCCTGGCTCACGATTCTGCATGGCAAGGAGTCTCTGCCGAATGGCGTGCTTACGCCGTATCTCATGGAGATCTTCAATAAGTATCTGCAGTGTCACTTGTCGCCGCCGGACGGCGTGCGGCCGCTGGTGGAGGCGGACTTTAGCGAGGTGTACGAGCATGACACGCCCGACAGGGAGAAGTACAGGGAGCAGTTGATCATCATTGGGACATTCGGCCGGGAATTCCCACAGCACTCGCTGCCTGTGCTGGCGAAACTCCTCGAGGCGAAGGTTCACATGTTGCGCGAGCAATTGCAGCAGATGCACAGCAATATGGCGAATGTGGACGCCACTCGGCTGTCGCCGGTGTTTGAGGATCTGCACTGGCTGCTGCTCATCACCGGTTATGTGCTGTGCACGGAGGCCGAGGGCGAGCAGTCGCTCATTCCGTCTGAGATCATGGCGCACAGCATACAGCAAGTGACGACTGGCGGAGCGGACATAACGACGAGTCTCAAAGTCCTGGCCTCGCCAGCTTCTAGCATCTTCGAGATTCCCACCGCCGAACAGACGGCAGATCATGTGATCCGGATTGTGGCCGCTGTGTTGAGGTACTGTGAGATTGAGCAGAGCGCCATTGAGGCGAAGATGACACACTTGCTGAGCCCCGAAGTGAGCGCCAGCACGGTGTGGTTCCTCCGGTTCTGGGCCAATTCCTACCTTCTGCCGCAGCCGGAGTGCTATGCCAACATGAGCGAGAGCCTGAAGGCCGCCTTCGGGCTGAACACGCCCGGTGGAGAGTGGACGATGAACTACTTGCTGAAGAAGATCTACGTGAATGTGCAGAGTTTCACTGGTGAGCTGGGCGTGATTGATGATTCCATCAAGCTGCTGGTGTCGCTGGTGAGGCGGAATCACAAGTGCGAGGTGGCTTTCAAGGCGGAGTACTTCAAGTCTGTGCTGGAGCTGAAAAATTTGCCGCTGCCGGTGCAGATCAAGAGTGGTTTGCTCATGAGTCTCATCGTCACGGCGTCGTGCATTCAGGAGAAGCCGCTGCGAGAGCAGTACTTGCGCGAGTTGATTCAGCCAATTTGCGCCAGATTCGCCGAAATCACCACCGCAGAAACGAAGAACAATCCACTGTTCGTGCAGAAGATCCTGTACAGTCTGAATGAGGTGAAGGCGTGCTTCGAGGGTGGCGCAATGGCCACAATGCCATTTGTCTTCGAGAGTTTCGAGCCTGTTCTCACGGCGCTGGTGAATCTGCTGGATTATCTCCACAATTCTGTGCAGGTTGTGGAAATTGTACTGGAGTTGCTCTGCAAAGTTGTCCAGGCGACGTTCTTCCTCAATCCCGAGGACACACAGAAAATCTACGAGGTGTGCATGGGTGTGCTGCAAGTGTATGTGAAGCACAACAGCAATCGCTTCAGTCTGGACGTGACGAGTGATGAGGACAATCTGCAGGATTTGCTGCTGCTGCTGAAGCTGATGAACTACTTGCTGTCGAAGAACTTCTTCGAACTCACAGATTCAGCCAATACCATCGATAGTTCTGAGTTTGTCATCTACGGACTCACGTTCCTCATGCCAATGATCACCACGGATTTGCTCAAGTATCCCAACTTCTGTATGCAATTCTACCAGACCATCAGGTTCTTCGTGGAGACCAAATCGCACAAGGTAGAGAGAGAGAAAGCGGCAGAGGAGCTTTGGTATATTTCTGTACACTCTTTGTCTCCTTTCTTTTTGGCAGGTTTGCACTCTCCATCCGGACTTACTGACGAAGCTGATGGCGTCAATTGAGATGGGCTTGACGTCCTTCGGGTCAGAGGTGCAATCCTACTGTCTGGACTTCCTACAGATCCTGGCCAACACTGTGTACTTCGATCAGAATCCCGAGTCCTTCATGTACACAGCGCTGATGCCGTTCCTTAAGCTCCTGCTCGATCTGATCCTCACGCAGCAAGTGGACTCGGTGAACAAGACGGAGTGCAGCAAGGCGCTGTTCTCACTCATTTGCTGCTATAAGGAGAAATTCGTGGAGCTGGTGAGCAGTATTCTGCAGTCGCAGACGAATCCTGTGCACGCGGGAAAGCTGTCGGCGGAATTCCGCGAGTTGACCAATAATGTTGATCTGGTGAACAATCGCTTCTCGCAATTTCGCTTCACGGAGAGATTCGATAAGTTCCTCGTCAACATTGGCTTCATGTATTCAAATTGAGTTGCTGATTTTGCATTTCAACATAATTCAGCAGACAAAACATCTCAATCGTCCTCTTTTTTTCTATATTATAGATGAAAAATATAATAATTGATTTTGTGAAGATGCTTTATGAAAATAAGATAAATCGATGAGAAAAATCAAATGCTGTTTTTCACATCAATTGAGAACACCTTGAACGACTGCTCTTGTGCTCTTTTGGGCTGTTCTTCAATGAGACAATGTGTGATATCAGTTCACTAGAGGAAATGGCTTTTTGAATAATAGTTTTGATATTAAAATGAATACATTTTATAAACTACTTTTCAAACTTCATTATTATCACCTTGTTAGTGTGTGAATTCAAGAATCGCAACTCAATTTAGAGATTTTCTCTGAATGATTGCAGAAAGAATGCACGGAATAATTGAAGATCTCAATGCTTATTGAATGTCTAGAGTGATTGCAATCAGTAAATCGTGGGGTGACATTAAATTGATTGTCTTTCAGCCACTATCGCGCGAGGTCATCGCGAAAAGCGCACGCAAGAATGTGTGAGTGGAGAGAAAAGCCATGTGAAGAATCGGTTGAGAACTTTAATTCGCGAAAATTAATTTCAGTTGGACTTCCTATTGAGTGTCGTTCGCCACGATTTATTGCTGTTAGTTTTCTGCCTCAACATGAAGTGGATATTCTTCAATAGAGTGACAAATGTGACGGTGAAGAAGGAAGAGGATGTGACGAGGAAACATCAGCAGATTTTCTCACATGTTTTTCGGTATTTTCTACCATGGAATTTTTCCACTCCCGATCGATTTGGTGTTTCACAAGTTTAACAAAAAATGTTTGCAGAAGGAAAACTCTATGGGAACTCGTGAGATTATCGAGTATTATGATGGGAATTGAATTGGCTTATGCTGCCGAAACATCATTTGTGTCGCCAATTCTGTTGGATATTGGAATTGCTCACAGAGTATGTATATATCTGATTAATTTGCAGTACCGCAGCGTTTTCCATTGATTTGGTCACATTTGATTTTTACGAGTGGAATGAGTTGTGAATGATGATTTTTAGGCATTGAATGTATTGTCAAACAGTGAAATATTGCTATTCAGAACATCTCAGAGTGTCTAATGAGGAATTAGGCATAAAATTATGGGGAAACGTAAAGATTCTCGCGCAGTTTTGTTGGTATTTGGAACACAGTTTACAAGGTTTCTGAGCACGTGGGTCATGCGGAAAGCATGCATTCATTGAACTCGCACAACAAACAAAGTGTTCTGCTGAAAGCCAACAAATCGATAGTGTCAGTTGGATTGGATTTTCACATGATTGCATAGAATGCACTTGCTATATTTCGTGATTTACTGATTAAATCATCATTATGAGTCTCACTATCGCGCCACAACAAAGCCGCAATGTTGACTTTTCAGCAGTAAATAAACTACTCTTGATCAAGATTATGGGTGTCTAGTATTGGTCTAGAGAGGAAGAGGTGATTTAACAAAGGTAACTCGACGGGAAAGTATGAATCGCGACAGAGAAGAAGTTTGGATTAAAGAGATTAGTTCAACAATTACCAAAAGTGTAGTTTTCCTGTTGGTGAAAAGGGTAAAATGCTATTTCTCTCGATTTATTTAAATGTTTCTATTCAATTAAACAACTTATTGTTGCAGTATTGCACGGTATTCAAATTTAATTGCATATGAAGCATGAAGCAATTGCGATATTGAGAAAACATTCCCGACATTATTTAGCATTCATGTGCCTAAGCGGTGATGAAATAAAGTTAGGAAAGCCTAAAAGAAATCTTCACTGATCTTGCAGTACATGACAATGGTGTGGAGCTTATCAGCGTGTTTGGGCGTTCTGTGTTCGCCATTCATTGGTCCTCTGACGGATCGCTGTCACCTGGCCTTGGGTCGACGACGTCCTCTGATGATCTTTCTCGCAGTATTACTCACCATCGGGCTGATCGTCGTGCCGCACGGCCGAAGGATTGGCCAGTGGATCGACAGAGGATCAACTTGGGCGATATTCTTCACAATTCTCGGGACGGTAATGCTGGACTTTGGCGCTGACAATTGCCAGACGCCCTCTAGAGCGTACCTGCTGGACATGTGCCTTCCTGAGGATCACACGCGAGCATTGAGCACGTTCTCGATCATGTCGGGTGTTGGCAGCTTTCTGGGCTACATCATGGGTGCCTTCGATTGGGAATCCCTGGTGTCCGGAGACAATATCGCCACAGTCTTTGCAATTGCTGCTGTGACTCTGGCCATTTGTGCTGTCTGCACGATGACCATCTTCCGTGAGATTCCGCTGCGTGTGCTGGAAGAGAGCAGCACTGCCTTTCCGGTGAGTCAGATATGCCCAATATAATTCGCCTCTTCAGATCTTGACTTCCTCCAGGCAGAGTGAAGTGACGCAGAACGAGAGGAAGAAAATATCCTTCCTTACCTACATCCGGAGTGTCGTGAAGATGCCGTCGTCAATCAAAATCCTCTGCCTCACGAGTCTCTTCGGATGGATGAGTGATGTCTGCTATTCCCTCTACTTCACGGACTTTGTGGGCGAGGCTGTCTTCCTGGGCGATCCCACCAGTGACTCTCAATCGTCCGAGCACGCATTATATGAATCTGGAGTGCGATTTGGGTGCCTGGGAATGGCCATATATGCATTCTCGTGCATTATTTTCTCAATAGTCATGAACCTTTTCCTCAAACTCTTCAGGTGAGCACAGATGTGTGAAAAGTTATGGTGATTTTATGTGTGCTTTTATAGCTTCAAATGGAATTACTTTTCGAATGATACGATCGTAAAAGTACAGCACAATGTATGTTTATTTGATGTTCTTTTGCTTTGATTTCCCAGAATAAGAACAATCTTAATTGGGGGCTCATCAATTAATGGCCTGTCAATGCTGTGTCTCGCCACGTGGCCAACGAAAAGCAACGTTTTGCTCCTCAGCATCTTCGCGGGCATCAACTTTGCCATAATCTTCACCATTCCCTTTATCCTCATCGCGCAGTATCACTCCACAGACACTTTCAAGCGGAACCACGATGATCCCGTGGCCAAGACGGAGCTTCACCATCGCGGTCTGGGCACGGACATTGCCATCGTGAACAGTTCTCTCTTCCTGGCGCAGATCTTCGTCTCACTGGCCATTGGATGCCTGGTGAATCTCGTGGGATCGACTTCTGCTGTGATGTACTCTGCCGGAGTGTTTAGTTTGTTGGCCGCCATCGTGGCCAACAAAGTGCTCTACCTCGATTAAAGTATTGTTAAGGTGTGAAAAGCCCCAGTGAAACAGGTTTGAAGTCACTATCAGAGGCTTTTCCGCAGCACATTCCACTCAATGGTGGCATTTTCATTGACTCTCTTGGGTCGCGAGACAAAACCTGCACCTGCTCATGTCAATGGACTGCAGGCGTGAATAAGGTCAGCTAGACTGTCTGGTGGGTTCTGATTGAGGGGGAGAAAGAGAGTGTCTGAAGACGGTGACGCAATTTGAGGTGGGAGATTGAATTTCCCAGTCAAGTGTGCGGCTTCCTCACACCGGAATTGCTCACTTTTCAGTTGGGAAATGCGTCAGCTTTGAGGTGGTTTCTTTCTGTCTAACTTAATCATTTCGTATTTGATGAGCATCTCTAGTTAATTAGAGGCGCGCGAGATCTTGGTTGTTAAATATCGCGCCGTGATAAGAGACGCTTTTATAACCGTGATGTCCCATTAATTGCGTTCAGTCACTCTCACTGTGTGTCTCTCTGATTGCCTCTAAAAGGCAGAGTCTTTTCTGGTGTTGTGAATTCTCCTCCCTAGTGAATCTTATCAAATATCTTCAGTCTACAATTTCTCAGAGAGTTGATATTTGAGAATGCGAATGAACGTGGGAACAGAAGGTGGATAAATTATGTCAATCGTATTTACAACTCAATGATCATCTCCTGCTCAATTGATTGACGCGATACGCACGCACAGTAATTGGCCAGTGGACTGAATTCCTTCGATTGATCGCGAGATTTGCTTATTGTCCACTTCAGTTCTGTCGCGACCATCATGCAATCGCACACCAACTGTGCCTTTTCGGTAGACGAAGTGCCCTCAGGAGCGCCGGAAGAGGCGCCACCACCTCGCGCCTCTCCGAGCCAGACGCCGAGGGATCGCTGGAGTCGCGACATCGAGTTCCTCCTCTCGTGCATCGCCTTGTCCGTGGGTCTGGGCAATGTGTGGCGCTTCCCAGTCACGGCGCTGGAGAATGGTGGCGGAGCCTTTGTGATTCCTTATCTCATTGTGCTGGTGTTTGTGGGACGTCCTGTGTACTATCTGGAGATGCTGCTGGGACAGTTTTCCAGTCGCGGCGCCGTGAGGGTGTTCGACTTCGCGCCTGCCTTCCGGGGAATTGGATACGGCCAGGTGCTGTCCACGGGCTTCGTGACCATCTACTATGCCTCCGTGATGGGACTCACGCTCAGGTACTTCTTCGCGGCACTCACAACGGATGAACTGCCGTGGAATAAGTGCCGGCCAGAGTGGAATGACTCCTCGACGATTTGTGTGGACTCGAGTCTGTCAAACACCTTCGGAAGGGCGATTCAGGATGACCAGAGACCAATCACGTCGGCTGAGCTGTACTTCAGGTGAGAGATTAATGCTCAAAGAAAACAAACTAAACCATTGAAATACTATGAAACCCACAGCAAAGAGATCCTGAAGGAGAAGGACTCCATTGAGGATGGAATTGGATATCCAGACGCCATTCTGATGGGATGCTTAGCACTCTCCTGGACTGTTGTCTGCCTCACGCTCATTCGTGGTGTGAAATCTTCTGGGAAAGCTTCCTACTTCCTCGCCATCTTTCCCTACATTGTCCTCACCATTCTCCTCGTGCGTGCCGTCACTCTTCCCGGCGCTAAGGATGGCATTCTCTTCTTCATCACACCACAATGGGATCAACTGCTCGAGCCCAAAGTCTGGTACGCCGCCGTGACGCAAGTATTCTTCTCCCTCACCATTTGCTTCGGGAACATCATCATGTACGCGTCGTACAACAGATTCGATCAGAATATCTACAGAGATGTTAATATCATCACAACTATAGACACGGCAACTTCAATGTTGGCTGGATTTGTCATTTTCGGCATTCTGGGAAATCTGGCACACGAAATCGGCACGCAGGACATCCAATCTGTGGTGCGAGGAGGCGCAGGATTGGCCTTCATCTCGTATCCGGACGCTCTGTCCAAATTCACCTTCGCTCCGCAATTCTTCTCCGCCCTGTTCTTCCTCATGCTCTTCGCCCTGGGCATTGGCAGCAACGTGGGCATGACTTCATGTGTGATGACTGTGCTGCGCGATAGATTCCCATCTCTGCCACACTGGCAAGTTGTCCTTGGAATAGGTTTTGTTGGCTTGCTTCTGGGATCGATCTTCGTCACTCCGGTGAGCTTTTTTCTGTCTATTTATTAAGATGTTTAGACTCAATATATTGGCTCTGCTTTTTTTCCTTCCAGGGAGGTCAATATATCCTCAATCTTGTGGACTTTTTTGGCGCATCATTTATCGCATTTTTTCTCGCCATTGCTGAATTGATGGCAATAGCGTGGATTTATGGTGTGAAGAGATTCTGCAGAGATGTGGAGTTTATGCTGCAGAAGCCAATTGGGCTGTACTGGAGGATTTGTTGGGGATTCATCACACCCACAATGATGATCATCATTCTCATCTACACTATCGTGAAGCTGCAACCGCTGACTTATCGTGATCAGCCTTATCCAACCTCAGCCTACATCGCTGGCTGGATTCTCTTCTCCGTTGGCGTTCTGCAATTCCCCATCTGGGCTTACTACGCCGTCAGACAGCAGAAGGGCGAGAGATTGAGGGAGAGAATCGTCTCCTCGTGTCAGCCAGAAGTCAACTGGGGTCCGCTGGATGAAAAGCTTCTCCGCGAGTACAGAGAATTCACTGCCAGATACACAATAGAGGCTGAACCGCACTTGAAGCAGATGAATTTCTTCGAGAAAATCCGTGATCGAATATTCAATTAATTAACAACGTCATGGAAAAATCTGGGTTGACAATATTATGAATTTGAGTGTGTAATTAAATGCAATTTTGTTGCAAAAGTAGTTCAGACGAAAAGTTGTTTTGATTATTGTTCTGAGAAATTGTGCCTAATTGTAGGTTTAATTGAATTGATAGAGATATTGTGCTTAACACTATATAACTCATAACGTATACGATTTTTATCTCCTACAGATAAAAACGTGAGAGATTTCCAGCCATTAATTTTTTTCACACTATTTAGCCAGTCTGGAAAGTACAGTGTTGAATTATCGCAAAAAAATACCACAAGATCAATTATATGCGTCATATATTTTACCCCCATCACGACTTCTAAACAAGTTTGACTGAATATCGAACTTATAAAAGGCAATCAAATCAATCTTTTCGTAGTTGTAGTATATCGAAGATTCTGAGATGTCGGAAAATAACAATCGCGATCATCAGCTTTCATGGTGGGAAAAGGTGCTCCTCAGGATCTTATCGTATGGTCCTGAAATCCGTCATTTGGCTGTTGTGATGGACGGAAATCGTCGCTATGCGAAGAGACAGAATATGAGCACACAATTGGGCCATAGGAAGGGCGGCAGGAACTTTGGACGCATTCTCAAGATGGTACAATCCGTAGGAATTCAGGAAGTCACAGTTTATGCCTTCAGTGTGGAGAATTTCAACAGAAACCCGGCAGAAGTGCGTGCAATCCAGCAAACTCTGGAATATTTCGCCAATGAAGTTCTGGATGGTCGCGAAAATATCCTTAAGGGAATCAAAGTGAGGTTCATCGGTGAGGTTCACATGCTGAGTGAAGAGTGCCAGAAGTGCTTCCAAAAGCTGATGAAGGCCACGGAGGAGAACAGTGATTTTCTATGCAATATTGCTGTTGCTTACGCTTCGCGTGTTGAGATCACGAGAGCCATTAAGAATGCCGTGCAGAATCCAAAGACACTGTCTGAAGACGTGGATCATGAGGTGCTGGAGGAGTTTCTCTACATTCCCAAAGGACGACCGGTGGATTTGTGGCTCAGGACATCCGGAGAGACGAGATTCAGTGATTTTCTTACATGGCAAAGTGACAAAGCTGTTATGCACTTCAGTCCAGTTCTGTGGCCGGAATTTGGTGCTTGGGATCTGTTGAAAGGGATTTTGCAGTACTCCAGAAGCCACTGAAATCTCCTTTCCGTATTTAATACAAAAGCACCGATGTGTAGAAAGAAATGTGCAGGAAGTTATCGTAACTCTTCGGCTGATAATATCTCGGAGGATTTCTCTTCATCTGCGAGTAATCAGCATCCTTGATCTTCAAGTTTTTCTTCACACTCTTCACACTTTTAAGAAAATTCCTAATTCTCTTACCGATCATTGCTAAGGAAGGTGACAATGATCTTTCCTCGTGTATTTTCAGTGAAACACTGACAATCTGATAAAAGTGTCTTTATTACGTTACAGTGAAATAAAAGTTTTTACTAAAAATGTTAAGTGTTCTTAATTTATGGCCTTCGTTAAAAGTGTTTTTATTGATAAAGCGAAATAGTCTTGGAAACAGAAAATACTCTAAAATAGCATGTTTCGTCGTCATGCAATTTTCATGTGACGATCGTGTACGATTTTTTATTTACAGTAAGTGATAGTGGGTTACGAACAGTTCTCCTAAGCAATGTAAATATACTTTGTAATTTCTTTGATTGAGACTCTCAGAAAATGTTTAGTTCTTATCATAATTATAGTTCTTATCATAATGATTTGTTGTTTAACAGCTCTTTTCAATTATATTCTTCTAATTTACTGTTTCGAGTTCAAATATTTCTCTTAGTGTTAAAAATTAGGCATTAAACACACTTATGAACAATTAAAGAAATAGAAAACAAAGACAAAAGCAGCCTTTTCGACTAAAAAGTTTATTTCCAAAAGCATTCGTTTTTTAATCACATTTATCCAGTGAATTGTATTCACTGGCTTTTATTGTTGACGACCAACTTCCATAGAAAAACGGTGAAAAAGCTCTTTCATAGGATGTAAAAGCGCTTCTATAATACAGAAAAAAATAAACAGCAAGAAAAGGATAATAGTCAAGACGCCGAAGAGGTTTGGTTTAGCGATAGAAGGACTAATTGAGAATTGATATTTTAGAATCCCTTTCAACAAATCCCAAGCACCAAATTCCGGCCACAGAACTGGACTGAAGTGCATAACAGCTTTGTCACTTTGCCATGTAAGAAAATCACTGAATCTCGTCTCTCCGGATGTCCTGAGCCACAAATCCACCGGTCGTCCTTTGGGAATGTAGAGAAACTCCTCCAGCACCTCATGATCCACGTCTTCAGACAGTGTCTTTGGATTCTGCACGGCATTCTTAATGGCTCTCGTGATCTCAACACGCGAAGCGTAAGCAACAGCAATATTGCATAGAAAATCACTGTTCTCCTCCGTGGCCTTCATCAGTTTTTGGAAGTACTTCTGGCACTCTTCATCGATGAGATGCAATTCGCCGATGAAGGTGAATTTAATGCCTTTAGCTTTGTATTCTTCTATGTTATCCAACATTTTCTGGAGGATCTTCAATATGAGGCTCATAAAGTCCTGAAGTTCATCTGCGGGTCTCTTGAAATTCTCCACACTGAAGGCATAGACCGTCAACTCCTGAATTCCTAAGATTGCTGCCATGTTCAACATCTTGAAAAACTTCTTGCTGCCCTTTTTGTGTCCCAATTCTGATTTCTGTTGCAGTTTCCGCGCAAAACGACGATTTCCGTCCATCACAACAGCGAAATGAGTGATTTTAAGGCCACTCGAGAGGATTTTTATGAGAATTTCTTGCCACCAAGAGATTCGAAGATCACAATTCACTGACATCTCTGCGTCTTTGCTGAACTAAATCTGTTGAATGGCACGAATTGATTTTATAAGCCCGATTTTCGTGCAAACCGCAGTGAAAGTTTTCAGAGTGAGGGATGTTTTTTCCGCAAGTCAATAAAATAACCCCTCAAATTTTGTATCACTCTTTCGTAATATATTTTACATAATTTTGTCGAATTTAAGACATCGCGGAAAAATACTAAGGCTCAGTATCTCTCATAGCGTCTTTCAAAATGTACTTTAGCCTTATTTTTCTGTGCATTATTCTTGCATTGTGTCTTATTCACTATCTCTATGTGACTTTAGTTGCTTTCACGTACTGGAAAAGACGCGGTGTGGCTAGTGAGAAGCCTAGTTATCCTTTGGGCAATGTGAAGATCTCCCAGATCTTTCACACCCCCATCGAGACTCTCTTGGAGGACATCTACAGTAGGACGAAAGGCCCTTTCATGGGCTACATGCTTCACACTCGCCCAGTGCTCATTATCAAGGATCCGGAGATGATAAATAGGATCCTCGTGAAGGATTTCCAGTACTTCAATTCACGAATTGAAGTTGATTTGACTAATGATCCTCTGTTTGGCTCATTCTTCATTCTCCACGACGAGCGATGGAAGCTTTTCAGACAGAAATTGAGTCCAATCTTCGCTGCGAATCGTTTAAGGGGAGTTTTCGACTCAATTGAGAGTAAGTATAACGCTTTGGAAGACTACCTGATGACAGGGGAGAGTCTATCGTTGGATTTCTACACCCTGATGAAGAGATATTTAGTGAATGTGATGACTTCTGTTCTCTTGGGCATTGATGTTGATTACCTCAATAATCCCAACGATGAAATCCGCCTCATGACTGAAGAAGCCATTCCGCCAAACACTAGAACAGCCTTCAGCTTCTTCTTCAGTCTCATCGCGCCAGGATTGAAGACAAAGATAAAGTACAACTTCTTCAGAAGAGAGGTTGAAGACTTTGTCGTAGGTTTAGTGAAATCCGTGATGAAATTGAGGGTGACAAAGGGCACTGAACGCTTCGATTTCATTCACAAACTTATGGAATTGAGAGAAGATTTCCCCCCTGAAGTCCTCTCGGCTCAGGTTTTGGTCCTTGTTTTGGCAGCTTACGAAGGCACAGGCGGAACAATCTCTTACTGTCTGTGGGAATTGGCCAAGAATCCCGAAATTCAAGCCAAAGCCCAAGAAGAAGTGGACAAAGTGCTGCAAAAGCATGGCAAAATCACTCTTGAAGCTCTCGGTGAGATGACCTATATAGACAATTGCTTGAGTGAGACTTTGAGACTCCATCCGACGCTCACCTTCCTCATCAGACGATGCAATCAAGATTATCACAACGATAAGTACAATTTGAACATAGAGAAGAACACTAACATCATCATTCCTCTTCCTGGTCTGCACAAGGATGAACAGTATTATCCAGATCCTCACAAGTTCGATCCTGATCGCTTTCTGCCAGAGGAAAAGGCCAAGAGGCCTTCAGGCACTTACTTGCCTTTTGGAGACGGCCAGAGATTCTGCTTTGGTGAGATAAAAATATACTCATAGTTTTGAGCTTTTTCTATGCATATTGCATCTTGCAGGAAAGCAATTGGCCAAATTGATAGATAACTACACAGTGGCTAAACTTCTAAGCAGATATTCAGTGACATTAGGAGATAAATCCCACCAAGAGAAAATCACGATGAAGCCGTTAACTCCACTACTAAGCCCTGATGGAGGTTGTTACTTAACGCTGATCGAGAGACATTAAGCAGTGGGAAATTTGCTATTCACCAGGCGCCTCCATCGATGAGCTTTGTGGAGCTTTCAATACATCTTCTCGCCATCTATTCTCTGGAATCAGTACCTGTGCAATTTTGTAAAATACATATGTATGTTTCAATGATTTTTAAGACGTTCCTCTAAGAAAAAAATACTCTTCATTGGCAATTCGAAGGCTACAATTGAATTAATAAAGGCTGTTTCTGAAATCACCTTTTATCTGAAGAGTTGTAAAACAGTGAAAGTGAGATGATAAAGCTTATCATTGCACGTTATTGTTGGGATTTGTGGTATCAAGAGACTAAAGGATCAAGGATAATGCTCAATATTGCTGACATTGAACATCATTTGCCGGTTGTTAAGTTGTAACTTCTTACCAGATGGTGGATTTTTCATTGCATGGCATAAATCAGTAGATTAGAGTCTCTAAATTGTGTCATTGTCACACTATTTGCGAATTTAACACTTTTACCATCCTTCCTCACGCCAATTATATTGGTTATTTGCCTCTTCAAATTGCAGTTTATGATTTTACTGGTGGCAGACTTTTTTCCTGCATCGCTCGCTCTCAGAGTCCAGCTATATGAAACTGTTGCTGCGAATATAAATGCTTAGGCTTCACTCCGCTTAGTTATTCTCTCATCATGACAGTCACCACAATCCCGCTTTCGTGTAGCGGAAGAGTGCCTGTCTGCGGATTGGCGCGAAAGCTCTGTTTGCTGATCGTGTTTTCACCTCCACGAACAGACTCCAATAAAAGTCTCCGGAGGTGCGCCAAGAGAGGGGACACGTTTAGTGGCGGCAGTTAAACAACAGACAAGATTGTGACGCTCGAAGCTCATATCGCATCTGCTTGTGCCGATAAACCCACGCCAGCTGCTGAGGAAGCTTTCGCGGCACATGGGAAGTTGTCCATGAAGGCCCGTGCGCGCTTTGCCTCTCAGTCACTCACGCGAACTGCCTCAGTTCTGTTCTCGCAGCGATCGCGACTGGATCGTCCCACCGAGCTTTTCCCCAAGGGATTTCCCAGAGTGATCTTTAGAAAAAAAGTATATTGTTTGCATATTTTCGGCTAAATAAGTGCTTCTCGAGAAGTGATCATTGAATTGAGAAGTTGCGTGTACGGAGAAAACCAGAAAAACACTTTTGTGAATTGATGATTGAAGAAGTGCGATCAATCAAGTGATTCTTATTCTAACAAACTCCAGTGAATAAAAACAGGTATAAAAAGATGGGTTTTTTTCTGTTTAATAACTCTCATTCTCAAATTCAACACAGTTCACAATGTAAAGAAAAGAAAATCTCCAAGTGCATCTGAAGACAAGCCAAAGTCCATTGCAATGTCTTGCAAGATTCAAGTGATATTGCTTCATCCTCATCATAATTGGCCAGGTTCAAACCATCATTGATGGACAATTGATGTGCTTCAATCAATGAAACTCGTGATATTGCGACTTTCCCTGATTTGGCAACGAGAGTCACACAGAAGAAATTGAGCCATTACTTCACTCGCATTGAGTGTTTTCGGGTGTGCAACCTTAACTGAAGCGGATCCAAGATATTCTGCGGTCAGATTTAAGCACACACTCATTAAGTAGGTAATTTTCAAGGGGCAAAGTGGCATTTCTGCTGAGGTAATTGCGGAATCCACCTGCTGTGGGAAGTCTTTGTGTTTTGCGTAGAATGACCTTAAATAGCTATCAACACATGCATTATCACTGGCGATAGGCGATCTCTTGTACACTTCTTCGGCCTATGAGTGTCTTATGGCGCTCAATGGAAATGTCAAGGGGGTGATAATGTGACTACAAGTCTGTACACCACTCATGAGAGATATTTGCAAATACTTAGTAAAAATATTGTGATTTCTGCTCATAAAGTAGCAATTAATCCGAATCTTGTGCACAAGTCACCGACATCTATAAAACGAGAATCTAAAACAACAGACAAATCGGTGATTTCGCATAATTTGCTTCGCCGGTGAGTCAAAGCCATTATAATGAAAGGAAGTTGAGATACAAATATGCCGCGACCAGTTGGACAAATTATAATAACTTTCACGTGCCAACACGCTTTTCTCACTCAGAACTTTATATTTGTTTATATAACAAGTTCTTAAAAAATACCAACTATAAAAAAATTGCACAACAACTTCTTCAACTTACGTCAATTCATTGCTCTGTTTTGCATTTTGTCAAAGAAGCACGGAGAAATACAGATAAAATTCCAGTAAAGACATGAGAAAGAAAATTTAATTGACTAGCTGTGGTTTGAGTGTGATTTTTTCTTCACTCAATCTTTGCAAGATACAATTGCGAAAACTAATTAATAGGAGAAAAAAAATCAATAATATCCAACGAAATATGCAATGCATTTAATGAGCTCTCGCGCGAGATAAATGGTTATGCTAAATCGCATTGCAACATGAAGTTTGGTCAAGGTTGCTCTTAACATTGTGCCCAATGCAAGCCTCTTTCAATCGTTCCGTGAGCATCTATGGTCAGAGATATTTCCCATCATCGCATCGACATTGAGCACCTTTTGATTTGCTGGTGCTTCTAATGTATCGACGAATCTCTCATTGCACAATATTATTATGATGCAGTTTTGTCGAATGAAATTATGTTGAGAAGTCTTTTGGTGGGAGTGAGAGAAAAACTCGTTTTCTGCTTAACTTCTTCTCGCACAAACCCGCTTCCAAGAGACACACACTTGACGATTATTTCCCGAATTGACAAGGACAAGAGCAATTGAAGGTGTGCTGGTGGAATGTTGATTAAATGTAGTGCAAAAATGACGGAAAATCACTGCGCTGAGGCATTCTTTCGGAAAGAAAAGAGACATTCGAGCTATGCAAACTGCTCAATTTCCTTCCTGTCACTCTCTGATGGCGATGGAAAATTGACCGAGTGAATTGATATCGAACTGCGTAAGGAATCTCTGGTGGGTTATAATCAGTAATAATTGTATTTTGATCTCATGAACTTCAATCAATCACTTTATCACTCCGGCAAGCGCGTCAATTACACTCCCATTACACACGTCTCTTTTATACGTACAATTTATGTATATTAATAGCTCATATTGGGCCAATATATATAATAACATGAGCAAAGTTACACAATAAACGGGAAGATAACCAGCCGGCACGTAAATTCACATGATTACTCCTCAGATAAGTAATCTTCGCGGCTGTTTTTTGTGGAGAGTGAATGTCTGAATTTTCCCGGAAGTTTACCTTATAAACTTCAACTTTGGCAATCAAGAGGAATGGTCAAGGAGTTCTGCAAGGCGACAGAAGGTCCGCATAGGAAGTTCCATTCATCTGCTTCTGATGCTTCAAGTGCAAAATATGCGACAAAGTGATAAAAGTTCTCATACAATTCCTTTGATTTCTGTAGTGAAAATATTCCGAGAATTCATAAATAAGCACAAGTGGATCAAGATCAACGTGAGAAAACATATGTAATTGCAATTGATGAATCATTAGAGAGAGTGTGCGTGAATTTGGCCCTTGAGTGGTCTCCAGAACACTTCAATCACAGCTTAATTGGCGTTTGAAATTGTGTGCGATTCTCTTGAACTTGATGTTTGCATGAGCAATTGAGGCACAGCCAATGATAACAGTTGACAAAGAGTGTGCAATTCGCAATACATAATAATGTGGATCGCAAAATGCAATTGTTTGACGTTTTAATGATCGTCTGGTGATTATTTGCAGACAAATAAATTGCAGTGTGATCGGTAAATAGATAAAGTGAGAGAATAAAAAAAATATATTGTTCTCACGCGAAGGTTGATTGAAATTTGTCACACTCAAGTCAACATTCAACTTACCTTCGGAATCGCACAATTTAATAAATAACTTTCGAGATATAGCCGAAATTTTCCAGTAAATTAATCGCACAATTCCTTCAATTTGATTTTTTTCAATTGAAAGGTGAAAGAATCACTCAATCACAGTCCATGTCTTAGATGTGACGCAGTGACTTTGGATTATGACCATCAAACATTTAATGGACAGTTTGAGCTCAAAGTCTGTCCAGAGAATCATCTTTTAAGTGTTTTCACAACTTCCCAAAGCGATTGAAATGTCGTAAAAAAAGATATTTCTATTATTCTTTTTTTTTCTCTTAAGATTTCGCCTATTTTAACCGGTTTCGACTAGAGAGAACAAACCATAATTCTTCAGAAACTTGTCGTGTTTCCACAAATTTGAATACAAATCATTAAAAACCATACACACAACATTTCGCGCACTACAATAATTATATTACTATTGTGACAACAAAAGCACAAATTCCAGAGGCGTTCGCTATTTTCACAGCTGCCAGTATGTCAGGCCATGACAATCCCACATTCCTGGATGACAACATGTCCATCCCGGGCGGCTACAAATCTACCTACTTCCCGCAGCGCCCGCCGAAGTTCGAGCCCGAGAATTCACAAACCTGCGAGGAGTCCGCGTCGGACTCCATGCCGCCGGACAAGGCGGATCAGGTGCCGCAGCGAGAGACGTGGGGCAAAGGTGTGGAGTTCCTTATGTCCTGCATCGCCATGTCGGTTGGCCTTGGCAATGTGTGGCGCTTCCCCTTCACGGCGCTCAGCAATGGCGGCGGAGCCTTCCTCATTCCCTACTTGATAGTCCTGCTGCTGGTCGGTAGACCCATCTATTACATGGAGATGGCCATCGGGCAGTTCTCCAGCAGGGGAAGCGTTAAGGTCTACGACTTCGCACCGGCAATGAGAGGTATAATTATTGTGTCAAGTCTTAAGACAAGTCAATAGGAAATTATTTAGAAATCTATTATTACGTGTTGTGGGTAATCTGATTGAGATTATCGATTGAAACCTCTCTGAAAATCCCCAGCAGGAATAATTAAACAATGACTCAGGGAAATTATTACAGATCATTTTTCCCGTTAATATAATTATTAGTTAAGAATACAGTTATTAATACACCTCATGATTCTATTATGCAGAGAATATTTGGCAATTTGAGTATATTTTGCCGAAAAAAATTAGTACTCATTGGCTCTTTTATAATATAATATTCATCAAAATATGCATTTTTTAAGTTCATATCCACATGATTCACACTAAGAAAACTATTTAAATTTATCAACTTTTTACTAAAACAAAGAGCTATTGTTTTTTATTCTCCCCATTAAGTGGAATTCAGTGTTATTCGTGTTATTTGAAGGTATATTCACCTCAATTGGGTCGTAGTTTTTCATGAAATGAAGCTTGAGAAAAAGCTCGCTGATTCATAAAGTATGTTCTCTGTATGCAAAGGAGCGGGATATGGCCAGATTATAGCGACTTTCTGGGTCATGACCTACTATTCGTCCGTGATGGGGATCACGATTAGATACCTGTACGAGTCCTTCAGCTCAATCCTCCCCTGGACCTGGTGCAGAGACACTTGGCAGAATGTCACCTGTGTCGATTCCCTCCTCAAGAACACCTCGCACAGTTTGCACAGTAGCAATTCGGGATCGAGATCCTCGTCGGATCTCTTCTACCAGTGAGTGAAAAAGCTGAGACTTTTGCGGTGTTGAGGATGTATTAAAAGAGCCTAACTGAAGTGGTCTTTTGTAGTTATAAACCTTGGACTCTATATAGTATATGGATTTTGTACATGTTGTTTTGACTAACACTCCTTGCATGTCCTCTTTAAGGTGTTGGTTTTGGACAGTTGGTCGCGATCATTTGCGCCGCGACGTACTATTCATCCGTGATGGCCCTGATTGTGTCCTACCTGGTGGATTCCTTTAAGAATCCCCTGCCATGGTCGAAGTGCAAGGAGAATTGGATCAACTGCATTGATTCCGAGGGACAATCAAGTCCAGTGAATCCGGACACGGGACTCACGACATCGTCTCAATTCTATTTTCTGTAAATAATCCCAATCTTAACCGGTATTGTAGTTTGCATTGATGCATGCTTTAGTGCTATATTTGGGAGACTATAGAACAGCAGAAACTATAACGTCTTTTCCCTCGAGTAGCAATGAAGTCCTGAAGGAGAAACCACATATTGAGGATGGAATTGGACTTCCTGATCTCTATCTGACCATGTGTCTGGCAATTTCATGGCTTGTGGTCATGCTGGTGCTCATCAAGGGTGTCAAGAGTTCCGGGAAGGCTTCGTACTTCCTGGCGCTCTTTCCTTACGTCGTCATGGGGATCCTCCTCATCAGAGCAGCCACTCTTCCCGGAGCCATGAATGGCATCATCTACTTCATCACTCCTCAGTGGGATCAGCTGCTGAATCCACAGGTGAGTTGTGGTGAGGTAGAAGGCATTGTTAATCTCCATTCTTGCTCCTCATCAGGTTTGGTACGCCGCTGTGACGCAGTGCTTCTTTTCCTTGTCCGTGTGCTTCGGCAACGTGATCATGTACGCTTCCTTCAATAAGTTCGATCACAACATTTACCGAGACGCCAACATCGTCACTACTCTGGACACCTTCACGTCTCTCCTGGCTGGCTTCACAATCTTCGGCATTCTTGGCCACTTGGCGCACGAGATTGGCACTGACGATGTGTCGACGGTGGTTGTGTCTGGCGCTGGACTCGCCTTCATCTCCTACCCAGACGCAATTGCCAAGTTCGACTTCCTACCGCAAATGTTCTCCGTGCTGTTCTTCTTTATGCTCTTCGTGCTGGGCATCGGCAGCAACGTCGCCATGTCCTCCAACATTTGCACTGTGATAAGGGATGAGTTCCCTAAGATCAAGAACTGGCAAGTCTCCATCGCCGTCTCACTCATCGGCCTAGCGTTGGGCTCCGTCTACGTCACGCCTGGCGGCCAGTTCATCCTGGAGCTCGTGGACTACTTCGGCGCCTCCAACATCGTGTACGTGCTAGCGATTGGGGAGCTCGTGGCGCTGCACTACATCTACGGCCTGGGCAGGTTTTGTCGCGACATCGAGTTCATGATCGGCAAGCGTCCTGGTATGTACTGGCGACTCACGTGGGGCTTCATCACGCCCGCTCTCCTGCTCGCGATCTTCATCTACACCCTGGCCATCTACACTCCGCTCACGTACCGCGGCCAGACCTATCCGGACGCCGCGTACGCCTGCGGATGGACGCTGGCGGCCTTCGGGGTGTTCCAGCTGCCCATCTGGGCGGCCGTGGCTGTGATAAAACAGGAGGGCAACACGTGGAGGGAGAAGTTTTTGGGTGCGTTCAAGCCCAATCCCAATTGGGGCCCGGTTGTGCCCTCAATTGCCGAGAAGTACCGCAAATTCAGGGCCACAGAGGACAACAAGGCGCTGTTCGAGAATGACGGGCTCATTGCCAAGATCAAGAGGACACTGTTCGGCTGATCATTCAGTTCCTGAATCTCCTCTCTACGCATGTATTTATCGTTTCCTTTTTACCGCTTTATTTCTAAGAAATAAAATAAGACATGTCGCCAAACTTCTATTAACTCGTGATTGAATTTTCAGAAGTTTTCTTATCAATGTCCTGTCCTTAACATCCCTTCCTAAGATCATAAAATCAAATTTAGGGAAAGAATAAGCTTTATTTAGATAATTCCTGACTCCAGAAATTAATTGCATCCGGGTGGCGGCGGTTGCTCGGGCTCCACTTTGACGGGGGGCGCGCTCTGCGGCGGGGGAGGCGGTGGTGGGGGCTGCATGAAGGGAACGTTGGCCTGGTAGGCGAAGGGGTTGACAAACACGGGGCCCCAAGTGGGCATCGTCGGCGGCGGATATTGATACCAGTTGAGATTCGGCGGAGGCGCTCTCGGCTGCTGCGCCCACCGTCTCTGGCCCCTCAAGACCTGCCTCTGTGTTGGCTCCTTGTGCTGTTTGCGCGACCGACGACTGGCCTTCTCCTGTTCATCATCCGAATAGTCCAGACAACCTTCCGGCGGTTCGATGTCATGTTCCCAGCTCGCGTCCGATCCCTTCTGCTGCATCAGATTGGGCACAACGACGATGGAGGAGTGCTCGGGCTTCGCCACCCAGAACACCTCCATTCCCGTGGTGAATGCCTTGCTCTTGATTTCGGCGGGAGAGTTAAAGCGAATGCAGTAGATTGGCTGATCGATGGGGCCCAGGACGTCGAAGATCCTGCCCAGGACTCTGTGGCCGCGCTCTACAAACAGCACTGTGTCCAGATCCAGCACTGCACCACCTCTTGTGGCCTCGACCAGCACCATTTGCTCCACAATCGAGAGGATGCGCCCCAACAGAAGACACTCCTCTTCCCGGACATTGATGTTCAGCTCCTCAATTGGCGGCAAATCCACAAGATCCAACTCTCCTTTGGCCTTGATTCCCGTTCGATGGCGTGATGGTTGATTTGGTGCCTTTGGCTTGCCCTCAGATTCCTCGTCAGAGGGATTGTCTGAAGCCTCATCATTGCTAGAGTCCTCAATGACTTGAGGAGCTTCTCTGTAGGTCGTCGTGTTGGTTATCACGACTTCTTCGGGGCCCGATTCGCTGCTGGAACTTGAGGAGGATGAGGAGGAGGTCTCCGAGTCACTCTCGGAATCTGAGGAGCTGAGATAAGTGGCCAGGAGTGCCAGAGCGTTCACAGCATGGATTTCTTTCGCCTGCTTCTCCGCCAAACTTTCAGAGATTTCCTCAGCTTTCTCCGTTACAGATTCACTTGTTGAGGTATCACTCTCCTTGTTCACTTCCATTTTGCACAGATAATTCACGATTTGAAGAGAATTTTGTGGGAAATCAATCAGAAAACTGAGCAGAGAAATTTGTAAACAAAGAGACTTTCCATGTGGACTGCTAACAGCGCCAAGGCATTCCACGTGACTGGGAACCCAAACTGAGAAGTGGCATGTTAGTAAACAATTACTTGTTGATTTTGGTGATAAATTGCCGGTGATGCCTGGAAAAGGGACTCCTGCTGTAGCCAGACAGTCGTCAGAGGCGGAAGTGATCCAGAAATTGGCAGCTTTGGTGGAGGAGCACGCCAATAAGGCCATTTCCACTAAATCCTCCTTCAGCGTTGGCCTTTCCGGAGGCTCCTTGGTGAAGTATCTGGCGACAGGACTGCCGAGGATCCAGACTGACTGGTCCAAGTGGAGTCTGTTCTTCTGTGATGAGCGCTATGTTCCCATCGACAGCCCAGATTCCACATTTGGCCTCTATCGGCAAACTCTCCTCGCGGAAACTCCTCTCAAGGAGGAACAATTCTGGCAGATAAACATGAATCTTCCTTTGGAAGAGTGCGCCAAGGATTACGAGAAACGCATCCGGGAGCACTTCAAGGAGGTAAGAGTTGAGGAGATTGGCAGTCTGTGATGTTTTCTAACAGTTGCTTGTCTTCCAGCCGGAGAAAACTCCTTCATTTGACCTTTTGCTGCTGGGAATGGGACCAGATGGGCACACTTGTTCACTCTTCCCCGGGCATAAACTCCTGGCAGAGACATCTTCCCTGGTGGCTCCGATTTCTGACTCGCCAAAACCACCCCCGGAGAGGGTCACAATGACTTATCCTCTGATAAATGAGGCCAAGTGCTGCGTCTTCGCCATGGCAGGCGCCGGAAAAGCTGAAATGGTGCGCAGAATCATTAAGGATAAGGAAGATCTGCCCGCAGGAAGAGTCAAGCCTGCAGATTGTGTCTGGATCATCGACGAAGCCGCGGCTTCTCAGCTCTGAAAGCTCTAAAACCATTCCATAATTCATCTCTTGATTTTTGAATAAAACCGGGTTGCAGTTCAAGTACAAGTGTGCTTATTTGTTAGGAGATATATTGGAGGAGTTCGACAACTGGGTCGTTGTCAACCATAACCATCAAAATCATCAGCTGAACTCCCCAAACTTCTTGCTGAACGAATTGCTGGAGGTATAAAACACATAATCGGACATTATTTTATCCATTGCTTACATTTGCTGTTTCCTTTCAAGTCAAGCCAGGATGATTGTTTGCCAGTGAACACCAAGCAAGAGCTTCTGGACGTTTCCTGGTCAGGATGACGCTCGTCCATCGCGCTTTGTTCACCTGGTTCATTGTCCTCGTGTTCCTCATCCTCCTGTGCCTGCGTCTGGAGACCCGGACGCACTGGAATTGGTTCGTGGTGTTCATTCCGCTTTGGATATTCGATGCAATCCTCCTGATCTACGTTCTCATCAAGATTGTGACCAAGTGGCGAAATCTCACGCGACTCAAGGAACTCCTGATGCAGTACCAAAGCTACATCTGCACAGTTCTGCTCAAGATAGCCATTCAGATAATGATTTGCCTGAAGCTCGAGTACCCGAGTCTCGAACTCTCCATCTTCACCGTGATGATTCCCATCTGGATCCTGCTGCCCGCGACAATAGCCTACGTCTTCATGCACATGGTGCGAGCCAAGTAATGTTTAGTGACACTGGATGTATTGAAGCTGAAAGATCTCGTGAGTTAATACAAAATAAGAGGAGGAAGTGATCCGGACGCTGCTCTACGACTCATCATCGCTCTGGGGCGCTTGTCGGGGCTTCGGTCCGCCCGCTCTCTTCGCCATGATGATCTGGTCCACTTTGAGGATGGTCGTGGCCGCTCCCACGGCGTACTTCAGCGCCCACGCCTTCGTAGCGAAGTTATCGAAGATCTTCGCCTCCTTGGCGTCCACCGTCGCCGGAAGTTCGCTGTTCAGATCGAATCCCTGATTCACGGAGCCTCCGCGATGCGCCAAGTGCAGCGCCTGCAGCACATCCGTGGAGTTCACGCCGGAGTTGTCTGCCAGCGCCTTGGGGAAGACCTCAAGCGCAGCAGCGAACTTCCGGACGGCGTACTGATCCAGCCCAGGAAGAGTATCGGCGTACACTGCCAGTCGCTGCGACAGCTCCACTTCGGTGGCTCCGGCGCCAGGCAGGAGACGCCCATCACGAGTCAAGGCCTAGGAAGAGAGACACCAGGATTAGGCAAGATTCTTTGGTTAAAGGCTTATTCTTCTCCCCATGTTGTATTCCCGATTTATTAAAAGTGATTCTCTTGACTTTTGAACTCACCTTGAAGTTGTTCACTCCATCATCAACTGCCCGCTCGACGTCGTCCATCGCATTGTCTGTGGATCCGCGAATGAGCACCGTTGCGATCCGGCTCTCTGCGCCCTCGCTCTTGAACACCACCACTGTCGTGCCTCCCACCTCGTCCACGGCTACGCTGTCGCAGTAGCCCAGCTCCTCGGCCGCCGGAGCCGTCAGCTTGGGCAGCACGGTTCCGTTGACGGCCTTGCAGAGGCGCCGCAGATCGAACTTGGACATCAGGCGCACCGCCATGAGGCCGTGCTTGTTCATGAAGTGCAGCGCCATGTCGCCGAACTTCCCGCCGGCGACCACGACTTTGGCCCCGGTGGCCGCGATGGCGCGGATCTGCTCCTCCAGCAGATTCTCCTCGCCGCGACTGAAGTTCTTCAGCTCGTCGGCGGTCTTGATCAGCACGGTGCCCTTCGTCTCCGTCTGGATTATGTCCACTGGGCAGGAGAACAGGGCGATCTTGGCGTCGCGCTGGTTCGTGATGTCACCCTCCACTTGCCTCTTGAACACCATGCCGTGCAACACTTCGGATCGCTGAATTCCGCTGCCCAGGATCTGCAAGAACAGTGAATTGAACACAAATTCCCTTCTCAGCACATCGTCATCTCACCTTGCACACGCGGATGTTGTCCACATTGAACGTCGTCTGCTCAGGCATAATCGAGATGCTCGCCTTGGCGATGAGTTCGGCCAGGAAGTCCTCATTTCCGTACTGTTTAGACATGATGGCGGCCCTCAGAGCCTCCTGAACTTGCTTCAAATCCCTGCAATCCTTCACCTCGTGGCACACGAGCTCCGGCAGGATCTCCTGCACCTTCGCCAGCGCCTTCTCATATCCCTCCACAATCTCACTTGTGGTCACGCCGAGGCGCAGAAGTTCCTCAGCCTCTTCCAGCAGCGCTCCCACGAGGATCACCACGAAGTTCGTGCCATCTCCAGCCTCTGCCTCCTGCATCTGACTGGCGAGGACCATCAAACGAGCCGCCGGGTGCTCCACATCCAACTCCCGGATGATTGTGCCGGCATCTGATGTGACAAACTGCTTCTCCAGGTGGTTAATCACCATCTTGTTCATCCCGTTGGGGCCATAAGCACTCCGCACGGAGTGGGCAAACTCCTTGCAGGCCGAGATGTTCCTGAACACCGCCTCGTCCAGACCACTGAACATCTGTGGACAAGAAACAACCATGAGAACCCACGCGACTCAGTCACGAGGTGATTTTCCGCATGAAATACCGGAAAATTCACCGGAATTTCTCTCTCAACCGATAGTTTTCACTCACCCGCGCACCATCCTTCAGCATTGAAGACACTCCAGGGGCTTTGGGGACTGATAGAGCCATTTTTCCGGGCAGATTTTTCACGAGCTAAACAAAAGGGATGATTTAACCTCACTTCTGAGAATGTTCCAGACAGTTGCTCAGATGACGTCATGAAAGAGCAAAAAGTGGGGAAAATTGTGGTGAGTTGAGATTCAAATGTTGTCGTTATGGTCATCTTGTCCGCCAAATTCAATTACAATGCTTTCTGATAAGAAACTGATAAATCACTTGATATGCAGATAATCTTTATTGATGACACCATCAAGGAGCGGCTCTTTGATGCAACTGTCAGTCGAAATCAAGTGTTCTGAATGAGCCTTGCATGAGAATATCAGCATTCTTTGCCTTTCCCACGCGTCGCTTCTCATCGCTCTTGAATCTCACGTCCTCCAGGAACCAATCTCTGCGAGCCAGGAGCTGCTTTGTCCAGTCATCTGCGAGAAAGTGTGTGTTAAATCATCAGTAGGATGGAAATCAATTGAGATATTACCGATAATGTTCTGAACCGGTCCAGCTTCGCCGCCATATTCGGCTGGCAAAAGGTTTTTGGGGATGTGCTTGTGAAGATCCTCCAGAGAACCGTGGACGAAAGTGCGCTTCTTGATCTTTTCACTGAGGAAGCCATGGAAGATTTTGAAGAGAGACTCGAAGCCAGGCATTGGATTGATGAAGTGCATGCCCTTTTGACGAATTGGATACGCTTCCTGAATGCTGGATGTCATTTTTCTGGGAAAAGACAGAATGAAGATCAGTTGGTGGTCATGAAGGATAAGTAAATCAGATAAATTACTTCAAGAGAGTCGGCGTTACTTGTGTTAAGTGACCGAACGAGAGTCCCTGGAGGTCCACGAGGATCGTCTGACCCGCCACAGTGCAATTGTCGTCCTCCCAGATCATCATGTCGGTGATCATGTAGCTGACTTTCAGGACGTCCACCACGGAAACCTTCGAGGGATCGTAGGCGCCCTGCTTCACCAGCAGGATCCGCGATCCGTTCTCGGGAACGGGAATTGGGAGTGGCAATGAGAGACCCATGCGCAGGATCTCGAGTAGCTTCTTGTTCTGAGGATCGCGATCGACGAAGAACTCAGGAATGGCAGTGCGGATTGTGTAGTACATGTCGATCTTCTCTTTAGCCTTCGCCAGGCTGTACTTGCAGCCTCTCAGGAAGGCTATCAAGAACTGATCATCTGGAATGAGGCAAGAAGATCAGTGATTGTCTGCAGGCAAGATTACAGGGTGAAATGCTATCTTCTCACTTGTCCTTGCTGTGAGATGAGCCTGCTTCCCGATCCACTCCTTCAGGGCAAGGAGATCGCTCTCGATCTTCCCTGAAATCTCGCCCAGCTCCTCTTGAGCCTGAAGTGAGAGCTCTGGTGAGAGTGGACGCACTTGAGCCATGATTCCGGGTGTCACTAATTACTCCGTGACTATCTATCAGTGGTCTAATCTGAAATTAAGCACGTCACTGATAAGCGTGACGAAAGGTGAGAAATTGACGGTTTCTCAGCACATTTTCAAATTAAATTACAAGGATTTTTTTCTTCACTTTTATCATAAATCCTTTTTTCCGATAAAAATCACTACACCCAGAATCGATGGAAATTCTTACCTGTGAGTGGAATTGGATATTTCCTAGTGGATTCAACTCGAGGTGAAAATCACAACTGAGCGATACGCTTTTCCTCACGATAACAAATCTTTCACACTTGCTTATCACTTTGTCCACTTGTGCCACTCACACACGAAGAGGCGGCGATTATCTCACGGTTGTGATTACGAAAGGGATTTGGGGCGCAAAGGGTTGCCAACTGTTGGTGATCTTCTCACCTTAAGCAAAGATCACACCATGAGAGTCGTTATCAATTGACACTATCTTATCGTGATTCTTAAATCCTTCAATTACACTTGTATTTGAAGAGTTGTCTCGAATGTCGCTTGATGGGAAGTTAATGAGAGGGAATTTTTAGGCATGAAATGTGACTTTCGGCGTTGCATTTTCTTTTTCGTGTTGGAAGAGACAGAATGTTTCATCCAGTCACAATTCTCAATAGGAATAATTGCACTTAATATCCTTGAAAGGTCTTTGATTGACAGTCTCAATTGCAGGAAAATTGTCTCTTCCCACGTTTTATCACTCTTCAATTGCCCAATTATAAAGCATTTTTCTTTGCTCATAAAAGAAGAGTGATTGTCTGCATTTCTTTCCAATCAGTTGCAAAGCTCTTGTGAAGTTCCATCCGTCAGGATGCCTGCTTACGTGGAGATTTTCAACAGGATCAAGCCAACAATTGAATTTGGATTATCCTTGCTGACACTGAAGACTGAAAATGTGTCTATGTTGAGTCGTTACATGGTTTATATGACAATTGGATCGATGACATTGAATTGCATTTCAACGTCTGTGCACATTGTTAGGAGTTTTCAAGGCGAAATTTCGACCAATTTCATTCTATCCACGATGGGATTGGTTGGAATAGCCCAGCCGCTGCTGAAGACTCTCGTGATACGACCACATCGGAGGCGTTTGTATGAAATCCTGAACTGGGCTGAGGCGCTTCACCACGAAGAGATCTCTGATCCTCAGCTGAGGAGCATAACTCAAGATTGCCTCACGAAGTTCAGTGAGATATGGATCACTATCTACAAGTGAGTCTCTCTCAAGAACACACAAAACACTTTCACTTTCAAATTTCTCCACAATTGCCTTGCAGAATCGGAATAGCAAGCTACATTCTCACCACATTGGGCTTAAGTGGAACAAACTACATTAGAGGACGAGAAGGAATCATCCTGGCCTTTCCATTCATCCCAGATGACTATGCTTACTGCACGGAGATTGTGCTCACTGTTCAGTTGATTGCAATCTCTTTTGCTTGTGCCGGAAATTTATACAATGATCTCAGCATAATGTTTGTGGGTTTTGAAATAATGGCGGCTCTGGACATTCTCAATGACTATATAGAAGCAAACAAAGATTGCATTCAAGCGAATGCGAACTTCCTGAAGGCAATAACAATTCGATATTGGGACGTGATATCGCATCTGAAGATGCTAAACACCACAATTTACATGATGTCCTTGATGCAATTCTCCATGAGCACTTTTATGACCATGACGATTCTCTTGTACATCCGAATGAATCCAGCAAAGATGGATGGATACATAATGGTGATGGTTATTCTGTCTCAGCCCTTTTGCTTGTGCTTCTACGGGGAGTTCTTTAGGATCAAGACGGACAGGCTGTCAACGAGTCTGTACCTCACCAATTGGTATGATTTGAGCTTGAAGGAGCAGAAATGCTACTCAATTGTCCTCGCCATGGCTCAAAGGCCGTACGGCATGAAAGCTGCCGGTCTGTATCAAATCAATATGCGCACGTTTATTGAGGTGATTGTGTGAGGTTTATTAGTCCAATCATTGTGCTATTTTGTGAGATGTTTCCTTTTCATTTTAGATCATGAAAATGGCCATCTCTTACTGTGCCATTCTCTACACATTCAGCAGCAATTAGAGAGGCTCGCAACATGCCTCTGAAATATTCAGTAGCGCACTTGTCGTCAAACGACAGCTAAAGTGTTCACACTGGCATGAATTTTAATAAAAGCCTCACCCTGTTTCGCTTGGAAGTTGCGCGGAGCTTTGAGCTTTCTCCCAAATGCCCCCACAATCTTATCTGCCAGGTTAATCGAGTTTAATATTGGGCGATTATCTTATCGCCTGGCGCGAAGGTTTTTCCTCATTGCGACCCACCAATCAATTCCATCTTCGACACATGGCGACATAGCAATTGGTCTGGCAATTGTCTTGTCGTCAGTCGGTGAGACGGCATTTCTTCGAGCGGTTGTGAAGTGATTGTGCGCGATATGCCGAACATTAGGCCACTGTCCGAGCCACTGGCCAAGAAGGCCGAGAAGGAGCTGTTCGAAGTGCCGGAGAGAATTGACGAGGATGTTACTGCGCTGCGCACGTGGATCGCCAAGCAGCCCCACTTGAGATCCAGGACGGATGATCAGTTCCTGGTCACGTTCCTCAGGGGCTGCAAGTACTCGCTGGAGCGTGCGAAGGCGAAGATTGACCTCTACTACACCGTGCGCACGTCAATGAAGGAGATGCTGATGGATCGAGATCCGCTGAGTGAGAGGAATATGGAGCTCATCAGGATGGGAGTGGGACTACCGCTGCCCAATACCGTCACTCCGGACGGCCCCAGAATCGTCCTGATTCGTCCTGGTGTCTACGAACCAGACAAATTCAGTATAGTGGATATCATGAGGATCAGCTTGATGGCGAACGATATGCATCTGATAGAAGATGACCAGATGATGGTGGCGGGACAGATTGGCATTCTTGATCTCGCCAACACGACTATGGCTCACTTCTTGCAATTCACTCCCACTTTGACCAAGAAGATGACCGTCATGAACCAGGAAGCCATGCCGATCCGCCTCAAAGGCTTCCACTACATCAACACACCGCCAGGATTTGAGACTGTGTACAACATGTTCAAGAGATTCCTGAATGAGAAAAATAGGAACAGAGTGAGTATTGGAAAATTTCAACTCTCTCTTATCACTTATCGATAACGCATAATCCGATTTATCGTGCATTTCGTCTGGGTGTCAAGATCACTACCACTGTGGAAAAGATGGTATGAGAAATCATGAGATGGCAACATGAGAAACAGCGCGAACACAATATTTTTATGCGTTTTCTCAAATACTTTCTCACAATCATGTCATTTTGAACAAGATTTCTGGAAATTTTCATCATTCTGAAGTACTTTGGCTTTCCATTATCGCAATGTTTAAAGGTTATAAACACATGACATTAACTTCCAAGTCTCCTAAAAGCTTATCACACTAAATGAACAAGTCATTGATATTTACAGGGGAATGAGTGGCGAAAAATGGGGGAAATGTGAAGTGAATATTGCACGATAAACAGGCAAAATTGCTCTAATATTTCCAACCTCTCGATTTATCAAACTTTACCTAACTTTTTCGACTGATAACACATGGGAAGCACGAGTGTTATCGCAAATTGGAGAGAGATAGGCCGCGAATTCTGACAAATTTTCTCACCAACTATGATGTTTCTCCACAGCTTCATGTGCATGGGGACAATATGGAGAGCCTGTACCAGCACATTCCGCAGAAGCTGCTACCCAAGGAGTACGGAGGAGAAGCTGGCTCCATAAAGGACATGATTGTGCATTGGGAGAAGAAGTTCATTGAGTTCCGCGACTACTTCCTGGAAGATGACAAGTACGGCACCGATGAGAAGAAGCGTCCAGGTCGTCCGAAAACGGAGGAAACCATCTTTGGCATCGACGGATCATTCCGGAAACTCAATGTTGATTGAAAGTGCGAGTAAAGCTTGCCAAAGACTCAGTTTTATTTCATGGGTGTCTTTGTCTATCATATAAAGTTCTCAGGATTGAGCGTATTGGATTTCTTAATGGGTTTCTCCCGATCATCATCATCATTCATGATCATGTTTGTGACGATGAAGCCAGAATCTGAGAACTCCATCTTGGTGGACAGCATGCCGACTTTCGTGTTGTCCGTATCTTCGTCGACGCGGACAACAAAGGGCCTGAAGATCGTAGATAAGGTGGATTTGCGACGAGTTTCGCGCGTCTCGCAAGTGTTGATCTTCTGATGATCTTTAATACTTTTGCTGCGAGTTTTCCGCTTCTTCTTCTTCTTCTGAGGAGACTTGCAGAAAATCCTCACAATTGGAGTTTGTCGGAAAGCTTTGCGAAAGTTATCATTCTTCCAGCCATAAATGATTGGATTCACAGCAGCATTGACGAATATCAAGTAATGCGCGATGTACCTGAAAAGACATACTCTGCTAAGGTTTCTTTATTGCAAAAGAAGTGACGAAACTTACCAGAGAATCTCGAAACTGGTGGATATTTGATTCATTTGAGACTGCTTGAGCAATTGATACCTTATGAAAACTAGAGCAGTAAATGGTCCTCGTAGGATTACAAATGTGATCAGGACGATGAAGAGCATCTTTGCCACTTTGGTTTTGTAGGAAACACTGATTGGGTTTTCACGCTTCAACACCTTTGCTTCGTAGCGATCGAGTTTGTAGAAGATTGCTGAATAGCAGATCAGCATAACGCCGAGCGGAAGCCAAACCAGACCAGATATCAGAACGTGCCAATACATTGGAAGGACAGAAGTGTCCTCGGTGCACCACTTCTCGTCGAAATTCAGCCAAATTCTTACCTAGAGAGAGAATGTTCAGCTCAAGATTGAGTACAAATAAGTTCAAAAATAAGCTAATTTGTTAATGAAGATATCAATGATTAACTCACTCTGTACTGACGGTAGATCAACAGGGGAAGAGACAGACACACGCCAAATAGCCAGGTGAGGCACAGGACAATTCTTGCTCCTTTAATGGTCAATCTGGCCTCCTGAGGAAGGACAATAGCCGTGAGGCGATCGTAGCTCACAGCAACCAAGTTCATGACAGCAGTCAACAGGAAGGCTCCTAGAAGAAATCCCTCAGTTTTGCATCCTATTTCTCCGAGCTCGTAGTTTTGGAAGAAGTTCTTAACCATGACCATGGCTGGACAGATCGCGAGGAATGCCAGATCAGCAGCTGCCATGTTTGCTATCAGGATATTTGTTGGTGTCCTGAGAACACGATTCCGATAAATGATACTGATTATGCAGGCATTTCCGATCAGTCCGAACGCAATGACGGGAATGAAGGTGATGACTTTGAGGACGACTTCCCACTTTGAGATAATCCACCATATTTCACGTGGGAATTCAAACTTGCTAAAGTCCTGATTAACGTCCTGCAAGAGGAAAGCAACAAATTGCACTGAAATGCAGCAATTTCCAACCCCGAAAATCTTCCTGACACAGCCAGAGGAAGATAAATTCCTCACCGTGAGTGACATTGTGAAATGCGCTTCCGATGGATTTAATCCAACCACTGGGCATCTCATGAGCCCAACCATCGACCAGAAGCTCCAGCGCTGCCAATTTATGGCCGTCGGATGGGGAGTGTATTCAGAATAATTGCCATGACAAACACACTTCACACGCCACGCTGATAAAGTGGATGGCATATGCAGCAACTTTCCGCCCCCAGTCAATTTATTGGCGGTCTCTGCAAACATCCAGAGTGCCTCCTCGCGAATGCAGCTTTTATATGCACTCCAAAGTCCAGTCACGCCAATTAGACATCCGCACGAGAGATTTCAGCAGCATCTCAGAGTACAATAGGCTTTCGCGAAGGCCTGAGAGGTGGGATTGTGGGTGTTTCTCTTAAGCTATCAGACTGAGCTTTATTGCGTGGATTATGACGCATTCAGCACTTTTTATGGTAATTTACGCACTATACTGATAAATTTTACTACAATTTATCAATCAATGCCCTAGAATTTGTGAACATGTTCATGCTTATGTTCAGACTGGCTTCTGTTCTTCGGCTATATAACAATAAACTAGCCAAATTGATTAGTAACAGAGTCGAAATTTTTCTGAACTGTCAAGAAAGTGAATCAGAAAATTAGAGAATTTTTCAAAATTCATCAGAAGTTCTTTCAACTTACAAAAAAACACAGAGAAATCTTTCATGATCTAAAATCATAAGCAGACAAAAACAGCTTGATTATTGTGCTAAGTGAATTTTCAACGGCAATGCTTTATAGTGAAGAAACATGAAGAGAAACACTTGAAATCAAAATTAATAATTTTAGTTCTAAAATATGATTGAAGAGACTCTTAATTTCAGAGCTTAGACACTTTCCAGTGGAGGCGCCGGGTGTCAGTGAGGACGCCTGGTGTTTAATTGAAATCAATGCTTCTTATCAGTTAAATGGCTTTACCAGAGATTCCTAACAATATTAACCTGTAGAGAAATTCTCTGTGACTATTTGGGTCAATCATTAGCCGTTTCTGGGAATCTGCAGACTTGAACGTGTGTTTGATGATGAGAAATCAACAAATTCCACACATAAATTACACAATTTTGATGGTGTTGCTGCAATGTACCATACTGCAAATTTATTATATTGCCAACAGAGTCCGGGGTAAATACAATTGCCGCATGATATCACCAATCATCACAGCACAAATATGGGTGGGCTGGAGAAATAGGGACGAAGGATTAATTGCAAAAGCAAACCATGTTACGAAGGGACAAAAGGCTTATCAGTGAGTTGTTTTGGGGGAAACATTGGAGTGTGTATATTCGGTAAAAATTCTCACTGATCAACCCAAAATGGTGAATTTTTCAATGAATCACTGTAAAAGCCCTCAGGCAGCTGCGAAAACTCATGGTAAAGTGGAATTTATTGTGATTTTCATGCATTTAATTCCGTACGCGGTGTGAAAATGAGAAATGGTGACAATGCAAATAGAGGTGATGATGGTTTTTGCTGAAATTTTCTGTATATTATACTGGCAATTGTTGTCACTGTAAATTATACTGAGTGCATTGATTCTCGGCAATTAAAGCATTTGCATTTGATGTTTTTTTGTGTGAGAACTGATCTTCCTGGAGCAGGAGAGTGTCCATGACATGCATAATTGAAGTGCTGGCACTTAATTCCATATAATTTATATCATGGAATTTGAGATTTACTCCCACGGAATGTGAATCATTATTGTGTGCTTTGAGATGTTGAACCAAGAGTGATTTAGTAAGGATGATGATGAGTGATTTAATTGTAATCGTGAATTAGCACTGCTCTAAAATTAAATTGATTATCTGTAACTGAAATATTTCTCTGTTAACCTTTAGCCAACGCACGAAATTCTCACTGCAATTTTCCCTATCGAATCGATATTCGTGTTGGAAGTTGGATGATAGGAAATTGCCACTCGTGATCTGGTATTGTCTGGCTTGTTTGCCAGATGAAAATTGAGCTCTTTGTCATTTGGCGAAAGCTCCGTGACAGAAAGCGTTTCAGCGCCTGCAAATGAAGGCGCCGAGGAAGTTCACAACAAAGCTCACGCTTTCGAGTGTTTCTCAAATCCTCAATTCTGCGATGTTTGCATGAGACTAAGTGACAAATGTTTGCTAATACCCATTTGACCTCCTGCACACCGAAACCTGATGAACTCCTGGCATGCATCAGCTCAAACGTGCAAATATTTGAAACTGTGCGAAAGCTCAAGAGGGGCATCTCTGTCGTGGAGATTAACAGGGGTGATTTATGTCATTCCGGGGCGAATTGAGGGCAATTCTTGGCTCTCATTTTTTTTGGTATTTACAACGTGTGTTTGCTGATGAAAAGAGGTAGAAAACATGTTCTCTAAATGAGCTGCTGAACAATCATCTTGAGAATGTGGAAAGCAAACATTCTTGAGAAAGGCTCAAGTGACTTTCTAAGATAAGATCTTTCTTTGCACTGAAGTGCAAGAGTTCAATTGGACATTAAGTGGCAGTTTGCATAAGCTTTGGCAGAACTTCTCGAAATTCAATCCCTTTTCATTTATAAAGCCCGCAGTATTTAATCATCCAGGTGAGATTACACAAGAGCCAGAGAGTTTAGCAGGAGGAAGATGATTAATTTTAAGCACAAATTCACTTCCAAGCAAAATATTACCTCTCCAGAAGGTTGAAATTTATGGTGTTTTTGCATGCTGAAGAATTGCTTTTCCCGCACTGAATATTTCCACGAGAGAAAAAAACATTCCAGAAATATCATTCAGATAAGATTTGGTTGGTATTTCAGGAATTTCACCTTATCTTTTGGCTTATTTGCAGATGCCAAAAGCGGGGGAATTTGCAAAATTCACCTATAAACACATCACGAAGAGTTTTAAAAGACTTTGAGGTATTGTGAAGTTTCTCGTTATATGTATATATATTTGTGCGCTAAAAGCTGAGCTTTACTTATGCATATGGAAAGATGCAGAAAAGCTTTCATTGGATCACTCATAAAGTGTGGGAAACTTTTAAAAGTTCACTCTTTTCAAATAATGATCAGAAAAGGGCTGTGAAATACTCTATATTTCATCCTTCTCTTAATTGATCCATTCGTGCATTGTGAAGGTGAATAAATTAATAAATTTGTAAATTAATACGCCATGACATGGACTGACAAAGTTTCCTGAAAAATTAGATGGCAAAAGTTTTTCATAATGACTGAAAATTACCATTACCGAGAAATTTAGGAACTGTGCCAAACAACTCTGAAAAATCACCCGAAATGCATTGGCGAGCTTGAGAGATTTGCATTAAAATTTAAAACTCATCAAGTGGAAAATTATTGTGACAAAGTTGCCACAATATTCTCGTCCATTTATCACATCCCTTCATTCTGAGATTTAGTCCGCGATGCCGCGAGTGACGTTTAATATTTCATGACACTGTGAAAAAGGCTCAAGGATGGAAATGAAGTCGGGCTCTGTCACAGGTGAGAATGCACGAGAGAGAGAGAAGGCTCAATTTTCACAGGACGGAATTAAAATTTCAGAAATACATTCGATAAACTTCTAGTTTCTGGAACTTCGCTGAAGCCAATAAGTAATTTATTGCAGCTGATGTTGTGCTGGAGAATGTAGAAAATTAGTGAAAGTTTCATTCCCGTATCTCGTAGCCAGAAGTTAACGAAAAAGTTCAGCACACACGAGCTTGATTGAAGTGTGGGGATTTATTTCAATTTGTCTCGTGATTTCTCATTAGCAGTTAGAAAACTTTTCCGTTCACGAATCATATGTGAATTCTGTAGAGCTGAGAGTTTGGATGCTCCGCCCACGCTTCTGCTCCGCCCACATGAAGTTTGTAGAGTTTGGGCTAATCAAAATCTTTTCATCATTTTTTGAATTGAAGTAATGGAAGGGGAATTTCATCTTATGTCATTTTTATAAACCCTGAAACTGCTGACAAAGGCATTTCTAATCAATTTCAAACATCGCAAGCTCCAAGTTCTCTCGCAACCTACATAGCAAATCACTGCGACGCTACCTGCCAAATCAGCCCTCAGTTTCTCAACTCCCCTTATTTTGCAAGTTGTGTGTATCTTTCCCAGAACGTCCCCTTCGGTGTCTGAAATCAAGACATGTCCCAAGTAATTCATACCTGGAGCACCCCAATTTGGCCTTGTCTTCCGCGTGAGATGCGTCCCACGGATAAGCTGAGATGAGGTAATTGCATCTGACTCGATGGACGTCTTCATTGCGGCTCCGGATGATCAAATTGCCGGGCGTGACGTGACTGAGAAGTGTGAGTTGGGGAAGCCAATTGATTTGCGGCGAAGACTGGGCTGAGGCGCCACCCAGAGTGGCTTCAAGGGCAAACAAGGTGGCTGTGCGGGATAATTTGCATTGGGCCACAATCAATCTTGTTATATAATTAATTACGGCTTCCAGTGCATCTCAAGACAGAAGGTGTTCTCAATGGCGCACTCGTACGCCCTAATTATTAATTATTGTGCTGTGTCTTTTGCCATGTGTCTCCCTGCCAAGATCTGTCAGGGGTGGACAAGCTGTAAATCTCTGTATTTTCATGACAAATCCACAGCGCGACAGTTGGTAGTCAACCGCCCCAGACGTTGAGTTAATTTTCATGTGGATTTGTGGCGCACATAATCTCTATCTTCACCCAAAGACTCCCAGAGACGTCTTGGGTGGGGCGGAAAAGGTGGGAAACTATCTCTTTTGTCTTGTTCTGTGCTCCACTCTTGTCTTACTCGATAAGACAACTTTGTTTATACTTTATTACTTGCAGAAACTTTCAGCGAGAGCTTTCCAACCCACACCGCGCCTGAAAAACTCCACCTTTTTCTTGTTGGCACACGAAAATATTTTACTCGCAATTTCCTATATCGGATTTCATCGCACTTCACATCCACCTTGCTCTCCGCGCGATCCGCCCCAGAAGATGTCACACGACACACGCAGAAGCTCAGCAGAATGTGGAAAGTTATGGTGCTTCGATACAAGCAATCTTCTCATCATAGAGCAATAATTGAGGATATATTTGAGCAATTTGTCATGAAATATTTCTGTAGGAGTTCGAGGGAAAAAGAGAGAAGATTCGCATTGTTTCGTCAAAGAAATATGTTATACTCAGTCACTTTATTACACTTATCAATGATTGCAATATCAAAGGACATCAAAATTTGAAAAATCACACTAATAAATCTTGTGAGAATTATCATGATTTTGATTGTTTAACAGAATTTATATTTGGTTTTCAGTTGTTATCAATTTAAATAAGGGTAAACATAAATTTTGACAATTGCTCCGGTTGCATTTTGAGTAAGATTTACAACAGCAATTAATCTGAATCATTTTGATGTTAACTGCTAAAATAAATTCTATTTTGCGTAATAATAGATTCAGTGAAGTATGCAATTGTTTTTCACCTGCAGTGACAGTGAAAACGGTTAACTCGTTGATGGTGTTTATCGAGCAAATATTTGCAGAAGCAGATCAACTGCTCTGTTTATCAATACATATGGCGAAATAGTTATTCATAAATAATATCGTCACTGAATTGTTTATCCACACTTTTGGCATGATCCTGGCAATTAATTGCTCCCCACTGGGCGATTGAAACGCAATCTCATGAATACTTTTATACATTTTTATTCAATATGCAGTATAATTCATTATGTACATACAAAGCAATACAATTTTACATTCTGCTCATCTTTTTTTTTGTATATTTTCACTATCATTATTTTACTCATTGTAAATACAGTTTATTACTTCCTCAGTGTGTCTGCAAATAGGATATTGTAGAAAATGACAAGAGGAAAACCCAAAAATATGCAATATGATTTCCGCGAATTTGCATTTTCACCACATTCAATTTTTCTCAATCGAGCTTTTCGCAGTGGACACAATTATAAATATTTTATGGGGCTTATCACAAAAATAGATTAATATATATCGATGTGAAATACAAGATAATTAAATGTATTTTGTATTCATATTTTTTTTATTCCATGGCAATTGGATATTATAATTTATACGGTTTGATATCTGAGGAAGAGATTGAAAAATAATTAAAAATTGATTGAATTTAGTGCTTGAGAATTCGTTGTTTTTTCTCTCCATTTCATCCAGTTTCAGTTAAATGAGATAAAATATAACTTTTGCCCTGTATTTGATGTCACAGAAAGTGTTTTTTTTTCATATGTATATATAGGAAAGAAAGCGCATGATAAAGCAAAATGATTTCGATAGATTGAAAATTTTTAAATAATATTTAATACAATATTTATTATGCTTATAATTTTCGTAATAACACTTATGCTTTCTCGGTGGGTAACAAATGTTCTTTTAATCTTTTCCATTTCTCCCTATCTTTCACTTTTATTTTAATGTTTCAATAGTATTTTTAGGGTTTTTTTCTGTTCACATTTAGATGTACTTTTTCACGAACAACAATTTTTTTTTTCAAGTTTACTTGACTTACCCTAAGTATTTTTAGATTTTATTTACTAGAAGGTTGTTCTTTTACAGATGAAATATTTGTTTTCCTTTTTCACATTCATTTTTTTTTATATAAATGGAAGCCATATAATCTCGTTTTATTAATATTTCCATTTTACTTTTAATGTAGGTAGAATTATTCAAAACGAGATGAAATATTTTTCATTATGAAGATTTTACTCTATGGTTTTCTTTTCTTGTATTTATTTTTAACAGTAACTTTATTACAAGATCAACTTTAATACATTTACTCGTGATATTTTTGCATCATCACTTAATGCTACACAAAACAGCATTTCTTAGACATTACGGTAGAATTTATCTCATATTTTATGGTTCTTTTACAAGTTAGGATGCTCTTCCTTTGTTTCCTTACATGGCTAAAATTATAACTTTTACCCCCGCAAGTCGCCTCACTTTTCGCGCTTCGCCTCTCAAAATAACTATAATGCAGCCTTTATATAACACTTCGTATTTTCTCAAGTTCTTCCTTGACCTAAAATAAAATCTCTACCTCTTAATCAAGACCTCTTCTTATCTCTCTTTTTCTTTCCACGATTACTTTGCAAATGCAAAACCTTCGGGAAATTTTGGAATTTCGTTTCACAGGCAATTGAAGAAGTAAATTCGAGTGAGTTTGACGAGTTTTCTTTGCATCCTTTGTGTGTCGAATCGAAAATTATTACTCTGCAATCATTCAGCACAACAATCAAACCCATCGAAGTGTCCTCTTTCTCTTCTGGCCATAAATCTACCTACGAGTAATTGTGCTGATTCGTGAGTGCACCATTTTGTTCCCTCAGCGTCTTCTTCGTCGTGTCCCCATCCACATCCATCTTTATACTCAGAATATCACAATTGAAGGGCTTGCCCGACATCACGCCCTTGGATCCCTCGCTCGACTGCCGCGAGTCCACCGTGGACACAGTTTTGTAGGTCTTCTCCGGCCGCCAGCAGAACCACCACACGATGCCCGCCATCAGGAGCAGCGCGATGATGCAGCACGCCACGATGATGATCACCGTTTGGCTGCCGTTTGGGTCCTCCTCGGGCGTGGCGGTGGTGGCGCTGGGCGCAGCCGAGCCGGGATGCAGCGCCTCGACGCCTTGGTGGCAGCGACAGAGATCGCAATCAGTGCTGTTGTCACGCTGGTAGCCATGTTTGCACACCATGCTGCAGTGCTCGTGACCCTCGCAGAAGTGAGTGTTGCGGATGTCACAGCGCGGGCAGCACTCTCCGGCCAGCTTCACCTGCTTCGCGCACATCAGCGTTCGGCAGACGCTCATCTGGGATGAATGGAAATATGAGTTGAAATCGAGACTCAATGCATCACAGCACTCAACTCACCTGGCAAATCGATTCTCCCTCCACTGAGCACTCGCAGTGCGTGCACTCATCATCCATCCACCGCCCGCCAGCGGGAAAATGCCTGCCCAGGCGTCTGGAGTAGCAGCTAAGCGCTCGTCCGGCGGACGTGGCCGTGGCACTCACGCACTCCTCCTCATGGCACACCCTGACGCCGCCCTCGCATCTGCACCACTTGCAGTGTTCCCGCCACTCGAAGCCCGACTCCAGGGCGGTGCAATTGGGCGGCGGGGCACAGCGGTAGGCGGGGCAACAGTCGCCGGGGCGGTGTGAGCCCTGATTCTTCACCAGCGGCACCAGATCCCCGATGCAGATGGGCTCAGGGCATTGCGAGTGGCACAGGCAGACCTTCTGGGGGCAGCAGAGGCGGAAGAGGGCGTCTGTGGCATTGTGCTCTGTCGGCGGCTCGTACAGTTCGGGAATACTGCGTCGGTGAATGTGGCCGGGCACGATTTTGATGGACTCACGCTTGTGGTACTGCACGAGTGAGCGTTTGGCCAGGACGCGCTGGGCTTCTGGGTGTGAAATGTAGTGTGGCGGCTCGAGGAGGGATGGATAGCTGTCTTCTGGGCACTCGATGTGGGCCAACTGGGGACACACCACTTCCTTGCACTCGCTTGGTTCTGCAAGGACACAGAGAGAGAGTGAGAGAGTGAGAAAAGGGGGAAATTGACGACATTTTTCATCGTGAAACTCTTTGATGTCACAATAATTCGTGGGATAAAGTGGGAAATAGAAACATTTCAGAATAAAATCCGTGAAATAATAGTGAAAAGCACTCCATTTAATTCTTCTAACGACCAAAGCAACAATGGAAAGCGAACGCTTGTTAATTCCTCTATTCTTCAAGAGAGTCAACGTGTTGGGAGAATGTGTGTAAATCACTGAAAATGTCCTGTAAAGTGGAGGAAAATTTGACACGTTGGACTGAAAGTCATTCTTTGGCCATGTTTTGTGGTCTATTGTATTGGAATTTTATCTCTTTCATCCCACCCAAAATGGTCTGGCAGAGAGCATAGAATGGCGAAGCCTGTGTGGAAATTACACTGGGAAATATGTCACCAAAAATACTGTCTCTGACATGGAAAATTCATGGATTCCCACTCATTACTTTTAACAGCACATATTTATCATGGTTTTGTATAAATTGCAGCATTTTTGGGACTTAAAGTTCTTCATTTTCAGGGGACATTGCCATTTGGTGGTTTTCATGAGAGAAAATGACGCTCTATTTACATAATTCTCTGAGTCTTATCTTGTCTTGGAGATAAAAGCAGATTGTGCGAATAAATTCGTGGTGAAGAACAAAGAAGTGCGTGATTTAGCAAAGAGAAACTTCTTATCAGCGCTATTTGCCAAGAGGTGAAGAGTGAGACAATAACATTATTAATATCTAAGGTGTGAATATCAAGGAAGGGCGTGAAATGTGGCCAGACTTTTGACTGAAAAACCATATAGAGACTTTAAAACCCATTACTTTTACTGACAATTCAATAACCATTTCTTGGCACTTTTGCCAATCATTCCACCGCAATAGTCTTTTCATGTCTCCATGCAAATTCTCAGGCTACAATCGTGTGATCCACGATCGCGATATAGACATCGTTTCAGGGAACAAGGATATGGCGATAAAAAGCCATCAAAGTCGTGATTATCACTGGAAAATCCAGATTCTGCTCCACTTGATTGCAAAAAAAGTCGTCTTTTATGTTGCCATCGAGTTTTCTTGAAGCTGCATTGCCAATCGCGTCTTTTTATTAATCCTCCTCGCGTGTAGAAATTGCTGCAATGATTGCATGAAACGATGCCAATAAATCAAAGTCAGGGCACGAAAAGTGGAGACAATCCTCATCAAATTTGTATCAATGGCAAGATGCGAAGTATTAATAAATCTTCCGTCGAAATGGTGCAGAATCTCCATCAATAATTGAAGCAATTTTCCTTCAGCACCATTTATAGTTTTTGCATGATGCTCAGAGACTGTGGATGAGGGCGGGGGGGGGGGGGCAATTGGGAAGTCTCAATGGAGAACCTTCGAGCTCAATAGACCATGACAATTGCATGGGTGAAATTTCCATGCAAATTGCAAATGCCGAAAAGGAGGAAGAGAAACAGGCAAAAACAAGAATCGCGCCGAGGAAAATGTATTTGATTGTATTGTCTCGAGCAATTTACACGATTTTCCTTCGCTTTTTATTGCATCCCAACCATTATCTCGATCGTTGTCGCATTAAAATATGATGTACACACGCTTCATTCCCTCGTTAGCTCACCTTTGGTAATACGACAATTAGAACATTGCACCTCAGATGGGAAATTGAGGGAAAATTCCTGAGCGACGAGGACATTCCAGTGTCTGGGGTATAAAACACCTCAGTTGTGTGTATTTTGTAAAATTTGTGGATGTTGCGGTAAAGAAGATTTCATGCTAGGGTGTTCAGAGTTGAAAGGGGCGAATTTCTAGATGACGGATTAAATTCATGAGGCGAAAACTCTTCACGGTATAATCAAATGTTGTTGATCATCAGTTTCCAGTCACGTTTAATGCGGACAGACGAGACTTTCTATCCTCAATCTATGTCGCTGCTCAGTTTGTGAGAAATGTTAATAATAATACGGAACACCATGTCATTTCGCCCGCAAGTTGTGCTGCGAGAAATTCGTTGGTGTGGGACAGGAAACTTCCATCTTCATGTGCAAAAGCTCCGTGTCACATCTAAAGCCTGGCAACGTGCAGTTTTGAGCCACACTCCCCAGACTCTCAGGCTCATCATGGCGCAAATATTCCGAGCAAGGTAGTGGAAAATTCGTCAGCATTATTAAATTCATGTGACGTGATTCTCTAGGGTGAATCTCAATTTTGTAATAAATTCAAGGCAGCACGGCACGTCTGAAAGAAAAATCCATGCTCGGAAAGAAATTCTAGGGAATTTCCTTATAGTTTTTCGGGGTTTTTCACGTCCAACTGCGGGACAACAAGACATAAATTCAGCACAGAGATCCTGGATTTCTCTGCCACTGCAGGTTTTTTTTTATGGAAATCTACCACCATCAGATAATCAATTTTCTCTATTTCAATGCATTTTCTGAGCAGGAAAACTTCACTGGCCATTTCGATAATTTATTACTATTGGAAAATATGTAATTGCATTTCAGCACTTTTGCAAACTTCTTCTTTTAAACTCATGCGATGAATTTCCCATCAACACGTAAAGTGGAATTTTAATTAACAAAAAAAATATCTGCTCAGGAATGTTCACAGAGAAAATCCGTGCATAATAGAGTACAGGAGTACTTTGAAGAAGCTATTAAAATTTCATTTATTGCTCCAGAGACGATGAAACCCTTGCGGAATCGTAATTACTGCTTGGACAATATTGTCATGCGCTTAACATAACATCTTTCAAACATTTCAAACATTTTCCAGCCTAAAATAGTGGACTTCATGTTGACATGGAAGAGTTAATACAGTGTCAAAGAGAGTTTAATTTAGAGCAAATAGACTTGAAATGTGTGACGTAGTTAAAGTTTATAAGTTCCGTACAAAATATATCATTAAATAGTGAGAAATGATGCGACTTATAATTAAGAAAATAGGTGAGATTTCAATTGAATACAGCTCGTGTTTTTAATTACTTTACAGAGAAGAAAATATGAAGAGGAAAATAGGACAAAACATGAAAGAATGCCCTCTGTGCTGAGCTTTTTAATCACAAATCTCCCAGAAGGAAGACAATAAAGAAATGGCTGTCTGCCTTTGAGGCCATATTTCATAGAGAGCAGAGATAGATAAAACGGAAAAGAATGGAGAAGTCTTGTTGCTGAGTTTTATCGAGTTTCCAATGATTAATATCGCGCCATGCGAGGATAACTTCTGGTGCACTTTGGTGGAGAGAACACCAATGAAAAGTTTGCAGTGCAAATTGATTTGTGCCGATGCGCGTCATGGAAGAGTGATCCGGAAAAATCTGCAAATCTGGGACACAGACGCAGTATGGCGCCATATGTGATGCCATTGAGAGCGATTGTGTAAGCCTCTCATCTTGTCTTTTTGGCGATCACCTTTCCTCCAGCGACTCCTCTCACCTGGATGACCTTCGCCAGAGCTGCAGTCCGCGAAATTGCGCGCTTTTCGTGGCACACATCATCCGAAACGTGGGTAAACACATTGGCGAAACTGCGCGCATTCATTGAGAAAAACACTACCCAACGGATATTTATAGACACGCATTGAATGATTTCCACCTCAGCCTTTTGATAGATCCATTGATTGCCTGCTCAGATGGTGGAAATTCTCTATCTCAAATTAGCTTTTCGAATGCCCTCGCACTCTCACCCTCTTCGTGTTGGCTTTGCTATTATTAAATTCTGTGGCTCTGCAGCAGAAAGATCAGCTGATGATCCAACGCCAGATACACAAACAGAATTCTCCAAATTCCCGCGGGTGGTTATTTATTATGAGGGGCGGACAATTTGTACTCGCGCGAGCTTAGCTTAGACAGGTTTTGGAGCACTGGAAGTCTCTTCTGCCATTCATCCACCCCTTGGCATACAACACATGTGGCGGATTATGCGAACTGCTAAAAACACCATTTGATTTGCATGTGACTCGCGAAAGACACATGAAAACGTCATGAAATTAAAACTTTGGTGGTTTTGTGCGCTTCTCATCTCAAATTTACATCTAAAAGCTTCTCGTCTTCCACATTCCGAACTTTTACCCATTGAGCACTAAAAGCTGCTGATGGAGTTTCGTGGGGTGTTTCAGGACATCGCGGGGTCAAGGTCATATGGGTGAAAATTAGTCCAGTGTCTCACACTTGTCTGCCTGACTGTGTCACTTGTCAATCGTCGGATCTGATAAATGTGGAGACAAAGTGAAAAGGAGAACCACATTCTCGACAGCATCTCGCGAGGAATTTCACCCTAATAACTCAATTACACATGCTAGATTGCTGGTGTGGATGTGTAAAAAGTGCGCGAGTATTTTTAATTCAAGGCTGATGGCCAGAGAAATTGCTCAATCAGTGTCTTTGCTTAGTGCGCTCTTTAGCACATGTTTTGCTTAATTTATTAAATTTAATTTATCAGTTCACACAGTCTCGAGAGATGTTTCATCTACACTCAGGGGGTTTATAATTGGCGTGCGCGCGAGTCATAAAGTTGTTTTTCATGCGCGGGGTGAAATTGCGCGCTTCTTCTATGGACAATTCTCTGGCATGAATCCCAAACTTCCTGGATAATAAATGTTTGTGCAATTTATGAATAATTCAGTCAATAAGTTAGCATATTTTCGCATTGATGCTAGGCGCCTGATTTAATGCTTGGGAATGAGTCTCGGGCTCCAGGAGTACCTCTCATATTTCACCACGCTCTGATTCGGTGCTGAGTGTATCTTTTTCCCCAATAAATCAAAATTATTCCCTCCATGACTCACATGAAACATACTGGCTGAAATCTCAGCTGGAATGGCCATGATTTGCCCTTTTCCATCCAATGCCTTCCACTGTTTATTCCTCAGCACGAGAAGGTAATAATTCTCCCCTTTCTCCTCTCTTTATTTCCACTGCAAAAAAGGCCACGAATTGTATGCACTTCAAGAGCTAAAAGGCCTCTATCGCCA